TTTAGGCTCCTGTTTAGGCTCCTCTTTAGGTTCTTCCTTGGGTTCTTCTTTAGGTTCTTCCTTAGGTTCTTCCTTAGGTTCTTCCTTTCGAATCTGAGGTATAGGCGACTCGTCTTTCTTTGTTGCACTTTTTCTCTCACCTTCAATATTGTGTCTCATTACCTCATCCATAGTCATATCTTCAATTGTTGGAAGAGCATTGACGTTCTCCCAAATTACTTGTCCTGAAGTAGCATATCCTGGTAGCTCACATAGCTTGACTCTAAAGTAGTCAATATCCTTCAATAATGAATGTTTTTCGTTGAAGTCTTTGAATTGAGGCAACTGTGTACAGAAGCATTCAACCAATAATTTCTTGTAATTGTTGAAAATTTGCAGCAATATTAATGAGTACTTAACCTCAGGAAGGTATTTTTGTAAAACTTTTGCTACTGTTAACGTTTCCTTCACCAAAACTTCCATGTACGTATGACATTGCTTGGGGTGCATTAAAGGTTCAGTCCAGTCAATTTTAACAATGCCATTACAATGAGTCACCGTTCTGTCGTACATTATTGACACCAATTTGGAACATAATTCACTTTCATGGTCCTTGAACGTGTTGATAATTTTGCTGAAAGTAAGCTCTTCGGATCCACCTTGTGCTTGATTTATGTTCGGTGGCTGTGGAGAAATGCTTTTTGAAATGCTTTTGAATATTGTTGAAACATGTGCAAGTAAAGCTATATTGAATTCAGCTTCTTGAATCGATAATGCCAAATGTTTTGTGGTTATGTGTTTCAACCCAGCAGTTCTTGTAGCACCGGCATTCAAGATAGCATGCGCTGTTTTAGCATTAAGCAATTTGAAAAAGTTCAAGACGTTATTTTCAATAGGGGAGTTCCGGATTTGAAAGATCCTTGAAACGATTAGATAATCACGTACATGGCGGATTGAAGTCAATGCTAGCTTGGGAACCATAAATGACTCCTTTTCAATCGTAAGTTTGGTTATATCTTCTTTAGGTTGGACTTTTAATTCCTCAACAGAACCGTAATTGAAGAGAACAAGTAACTTCCTCCATTCATCAATAACTGGGCTTAGATTTCGACCTTCGAAGGATTTGGAGTATAATATAATTTCGTTTAATTGATTCTGGGTAACAGTCAAAGCCATATCATCAGTAACTTCTCTCCAGACTTCTTTATCAGCCTCGTGAGCAATAGATTTCAAGCAGTTCAGATGAAATCTATGAACAAAATAACTCACGTGATTCTTTACCCAGTCATTTAAAGAGCTTCCTGCACCACTGGCAACATATCCCGGGTTTATCAACTCACATTCCTGTAAGTACGTTGAGCAAAGTGAATAGAACCTAGTGTAAACAGTGACAGGAGAATCGGCGAGTTGCTCAGATCTGACATTGATAATTTTAGATAACCTCAATTGGGTCAATTCTATAGCTTTGTTGATAGCCAAAGTCAAGTCAAAAACCATCACGTTAACTTCCTCCGATGGGGGGATAGAAGACAAAGCTAAGTCCAACAAAATCTTTTGCTGTAAGGTTAACCGACGGAAACATTCGGACAATCCACAAAAAATCTTAACCAACATTAATTCGAACTCCTTTGAGGATAAACTCTTCAAGATTGATGACAATGAACCAGAACCCTGATTCAGTTCAGGTGGGCCTTGTGGTTCAGGAGCAGCGGAGGCGGATCTCGATGGTGCGTTTGAGTTGTCTGCCAGAGCCAATCCTTTAGGAATATGCATTTTTATAATGTCTTTAACCTCAACGATGATTCTATCTTGGTAAGACTGAAAAGATTGGGATAAGTGGCCAGATTTTACCAAATTCTCCACATAATCCTTGAGACTAGCTTTTGTTGTATCGCTCATCAACTGATAGGAGTTATTCAAATCTTTTGGGTTGAAAGTCTTGGACTTATCCACCCCGTAATACATTCTATTCAATGTATCTGAAAGGGGCACTTGAGAGTAGTGTGACTTCAAATCTTCAATCAATAAATCATTAAAGTCGATTATATAACCTCTCGAACATTGATTTTTCAAATTCTGGAGATCATTCTGAAGATTGAATAATGCTGGTAATCCCGATATATCCAACAAAGGATATCTAAGCTTTGGTAGTGTAACGGAGGACTCAGGGGGAATATCACATATATCTTTACCATATATCAATCCTTCTGCTAGCAATATTTCATTCAAGCATTTTGCGTTGTTGCCTTTACTGAATGAAGATTGGGCTAATTCGCATAAGGAAGTCACATATTTTATTTGGATTATTGAGCTTTCCAACATTTCAATCTTCTTTCGTTCCATTATCAAGCTCAAAATCCTCAAACCTGCAGTATTTTCCTCTGATTCCAATTCCTCCAAATGCTTTTTTATTTTTTTAAACTGATCAACGCATTCTTCGGACTTGTTTTGAACTGTTTTGATATCTTCGATAGTACTGAAAAATGAGTTAGAAGATTTAGAGATTTCATCGATGAGACTAATTTCTACCGAGTCCAAATAATGGGACAATTTGTCTTGTAGTTGGTTGTTGCTTGCAATATTCTGTTTGGAAGAACCACCACTCTCCAAATCATCAATATCAGGTAAAATATTGTATTCACCAATAACTTTCTTGAAGACTCTAGGATCGTCGAGTCTAAATTTAGGGTCTGAAAACACTGTGGGTATTTTATCATTAAGTTGTTCGTTTATTCCATTGTAATTGGAATCAGTTGAAAATTTGTCACCATCTATGGTAGATGAGACATCAACGCTAACATCTTTAGCTGCAGCCTCCGTAAATTTCTGAAGGGTGTCGGTCGTCAAAGACTTATAACTGTCATCAAACATCTTATACTCGGCATCGATATCTTTAAGTAGTTTGGAAGCTATCTCATCATTGGTTATCTTCTTGAGCTTTTCAAGCTGTATTGGTGGGATATCCTTAGTCGTAGGAACTTTCAAATTATATACGGTTGTGACACCACCGTTTAGTGTAACTTGGGTCTTTGAAGCTCTGCGTCTTGCACGAGCCAAATCTGATGCAATGGTCAATTCATATATGGAATTAGGTCCTAGCGGAGAGATTGAACTTGGTTCACTGGAGACATCATCAAATGCTGAATTGAGGTTCTGGAAGTACACGGAAGACAGGAAACTGCTCTCTGCGTCCATGCTATTTCGGAATGATGCAATCGACTCGTGCCGCCTATGGGAATTAGTTGGTTGTGAAATAAATGACCCCGATACATCTGACTCGTTGGCCAAATCGTCATTTAAATTGACACTGGTATCGATTGATAAACGGCTCGATTCATTGAGGGAGAGTTGAAGACTATTTTTGCTCCTAACATCACGCTCTCCTGAATCTAGTGACATATTGTTGACCAACAATTGAGTTGTTTATAATTGAAGTTCTACCACTGCTAGATCAGTCTCGTTTGTTTTCAAGTTAATGCGCTCTGGCTGCTAGCGGCCGATGTGCGCGCACCGGCTTCACCAACAATATCTCAAGCCATTGTGAAATGTGTAAATCGCACCATTACTAATTACTAGCGAATCATGGCTGAAGAAACCAAAAGTACAGAAAAGCCCAAGCCTTGTTGCGTGTGTCTCGACGAGAAGAAGATCAGAGATGCTTGCTTATTGCAAAACGGACAGGAGAGTGGAAAGTGTGACTCCATTATTAGCCAATACAAAGTTTGTATGAAAGGTTATGGATTTGAAATTGCCTAAACTCAGATCTTTCCACACATGTCAATATTTAACCAGAAAAGTTCACCTTGTACATATCAAACACAGAAGAATAGAAAATACATGTAATAACGCTATTATCAGGTTTATTATTGTTGTTAGCTACTCTAATAAATATGCAACTCTCACCATTACGTAAAGGTTCCATAACTGGACTTACTGTTGTTAGCCAAATGGCTAGAGACATCGTCGACACTATTGCTCTGCTCTGTGTCGACGTCCTGGACATTTGGGATTGTTATATCGCTATTCGTAGATTCCTCATCGCCATTCTCCATTTCCAACTTATTTTTGAGTCTAAAATATGGGTTTTGGATGATGTTATCCACCAAGATCAACTGCAAACAGTTCATGAAGACCGGTATCATGAACATAACCATGAAAATTTCCACCTCGTTTGGATAGTCGTGAAGCCACACCAAAAGAATATGAGAAGTGATCCAAAGTAATTGCACTTCGAACATGTTCATAAACAAAAATAGTATGCCCTTGGTGATGATTAACGAGATGTAGTAAATGGACAACTGCTTCCAGTAAGCGGTGATACTAGGTCGGTTAGGGTCTCCATACTCTCCCGACTTGATGTTGGTGATATGAAACCAGTCTCGGCATACCTTGTTGAGGGCTCGGAAAACAAGATACAACACATATACACCAATAGTACAGTCAAACACAATGTTCAAAAGGTACCAGCTGCATTGATCATCATCATTGTTGTCATCATCGCCTTTTGGAGGCGTCAAAGGTCCATTATCAAGGTCATCTTTCAGCTTAATTATTGCAAGAGCAACATTAAATATGTGTACTCCCAACGCCCCCAACAACTGCTTTGAAACGTCAAAGAACCACACAGGCCAAGTTCTTCTTGCAGGCCACTCGTAAGATCTCTTTACTATCAAGGAAGATAAGCAAAGTAGACCCAAAAATGCTTGTGTTACAAGCGAGAACGTCCCTACTAATTCACATTTACCGTCATCGATATTGTCGTTATCATCATCTGGTGCAAGATATGAGCGAATAGCAATGTTATCGGAGTGTATGAATAATGATAGTACAATGTACAAGAAGCTGTGAAACATTTGATCAATGCTTATGAAACATGACATTGATTAAATGACAAGAAATAGATAACCAAAAGACGTGCGCAAGTGATAGGGCTGCGAAAATGGCGATTTGGAATGTAATTTTATATTTACAAAAAATGCAACTAATGTGATAAAGGTTTGTATTTATGATTCGTTGTGTTTCCAATTACCCAAAAAATGATTGGCCAATCCCCGAGCCTGATTGACAATGTTCTTATCTCTTGGAGCAGCTTCCTCTGACCCACCTATTCCATTTTTGCCTGCCACTTGAGATAACGAATTATATGAAGACTCAAAGCTATTGGGAGACGAAAATGTTGGGGAATCCTGAACCACATTCTCCTGGACATCTTCCACAAATTCTTCTTCACTTTCACTATCTGAATCGAACGTGAATGTGCTGCTTTTATTACGTTTAATTTGTTTTTCAAGCGGTGGAGTTGTGTTTCCCAGGAACGCATTGGCAGATGTGGTATGGGGTGGTAAAGGAGAAGCTTTGCGTTGGGTTTGTTGGGGATAAGATCTTGGGGATGACTTCTCATTCGAGCTCGAAGGTTCCATATTAAAGAACTGGTCGGCTAACGATGTAGATGACGGACCTCTAATGGGGGTCGTACCAAAAAACTGACTGGTCAATGAGTTAGACGAGATGGATTGTTTAGACAACCCGGTTGACGATGAATGTCGAGGATTGATAGAACTGACCGTATTGGACACAGGAGTAGGATTCAATCCTACTCCTGAACTTGACTTATTTTCGTAATCAACTGGAAGGGTATTTGCTGGAGTCATAGACTGATAAGCCTGTTGGGCTAAAGACTGACTTGAGGAACGGGTAGAAATTGACAATCCTTCATCTTCTGAGTCTGAGTCTGAATCCGAATCTGAATCATTGAGGCTGAAACCTCCTGGGTTTGAGCGTGGAAGTCCGGGTCCTGGCAAATTTGTGGGTGAAGTTAATGAGCTATGTGGACCAGTGTTTGGGCTGTTGTTGTAGATAACATTGTTGTTGATTACTTGAGAGTCAATGATCGGTAATGATTCATGTCCTCCTTCGGTAACCAGATCATAGCTTGAATAAGGAGCCAAGTCCTCAGGTAAGTCAACCACATCAGGAGTATTGTTATTGGCACTATCTCCATAGCCCCCTTGATTAGGATCAACCGTATACACAGTGTTGTAGTCATAATAGTAGTCGTAACCTCTGCTGCTTGAACTATTCACATTATGAGACAAACTAGAAGTGTAAGGGTTTTCTTCGTCACTTGATGCCTCGTCGGAACCATAATTCAAGGTGGTTGATGGCAATAGTTGGATCGTTCGGTAAATCCTTGAGCTGGTTGTTGAGATTGAAGTAGCATCAGCATCAAGAGACGATTGAGAGCCAGGGTATGGGTCTTGTGTTTTGACTTGTTCCAATTGTTTGTCTCTACTCACCAGAGGAGGAGCCAAACTAGAACTTGAAGGGGATTTCACTTTTAAGAAGAACCCTCCGTCTTCATCATTAGAGTCCGAATCAGAATCATTGCCCAATATATCTGGATCATTGGTATCCTCAAAATCATTGTGACCAGTGAAAATAAAGCTCTGTTGAGACTTATTGGATTCATTATTGTAATATTCGTATTCTTCATCGTTGTCTTCTTCTTCATCAGAGAAATTTGAATCATAATCATGAGAATCATCCTCAATAACATCAACAGCAATGCATTGTTCGACCACATCGTTGAAATGAATACGACGACTCTTCTTATCAGAAATTGAGTCTGTATTGCTGGCATTCGATGATTGCTTTGAAACCGGTTCCTTGGGTTCAACGCTTATTGTGTCTCCCAAATCTATGTTGGATATTTGCTTATCCAAATCCTTGAGATTATTTTCGTTAACTATGTTTGGATTAGACTTACTGTCCACCATTCCTATCAAATTCAATGAACTACTTTGATTCGAACTCACTCTATACTGAGAGTTCAATTTTTCAGAAATTGCTTCGTAGTCATCAAACTCTGGTGGCTCGTTGGAACTAGTTCTCTTATGACCCTTATTCTCTTCGTTGTACTTCCTCAACTGTTCTTTTCTTTGTGCCTTCTTCAATTTCATTCTATTCTCCATTGCCTCTAATTTGACCAAGTTGGCATGGCTGATCATCATGTCCTGAACTGACCGCTTCTTTAAAATACTTTTCTTAGTTGGTTTGTTCGGTATCGAAATGTCACCTGCCACTTTGGATGTAGCGGTAGTAGATTTATGATGTTCTTCATGTTCATCATGTTCATCATCAGAAGCATCGGCTTCCTGAACAATTGGACCATAGAGCCAAGTTATGTCATTTTCTTTTGACCAGTTTAATTCTTTAGGATTGATGGTTTTCAAATTCAGTCTTCTTTGGGCCCAAGTTCTCCAACTAGCATTCTCTAACCGAGCTGAGTTGGCAACATCTTTTCTCTTTTGAATGATGTATCTCCAAGATTTGGATATGTCCGATACATCCCATTGGTGACTGAAGTAGTCGACATGAATAGAGGGCTCTATGATGATATCATTATCATCATGGGGTATAAACTCGGGGCTGAACGGCGTCTTGACAGCTTTATCTGAGTCAGGTTTGTCATTTTCGGTGTGCTGGTCTTCAAGAGATGTGTTGATTGATAGCTTATTGTCGGTTGGTTTGGAGGTGTTAGTGGGGGGATCTTCGATAGCTTCGGATTCCTGTTCTTCTCGCGTTGAATCCTTGTTTTCTTGCTTATTAGCTTCCTCCAACGGACTGATGAATTCATCTAAAAGACCAAGGGACCGAGTTCTTTTCAATTTAAAGGTGGTATTGTTGAAGTGGTCGTCATCTTCAGCATCAATATGTTGGGACGTGGTTGCTCCACCAGTGAATACTTCATTTATATTGTGACTCGCCATGACTGGTAGTATGAGGAGATGATAAAGATTCTTGTTGTTGTGGTGGTGGTGGTGTTAGCCTGTGACTGGAGGGATTAAAAGTCTAAATGTGGGTTGGAATAAAATATTCTGGGGAAACCAGAGTCAATACAACTTTCAGCGGGCGCCGAAATTCAAATGGGGACAGTGAGGTATCTGAAGAGGGGATACCAAAATTGACGCCAGTTTTGATGCCACGAGATTGAAATTAGATTAAACAACGGGGTTAAGAATGACAAAAAATGATTGATGCTGTTTCTCATTTTCCTAATGAAAAAAACTATAGTGCGTGAATTGAGGAGTACTTTTGTGTAACCTTTTACCCATGGGTTGCGCTAATAACAAGGTATTCGCCACCGGTAATTGCCTATCACTATGTATAACGTATTGAGTCTCTGTATTAAAGGCATATCTTTAGCCTAGTTAACTCCTGTTCTGGGTTTAAAATCTTTAAACATCAACAGCCCATTTTATTGCCGACTGCTTTCTCACATACCCGGAGGGAATTATCATTATCCATCTACGCAAATATCTCAATTATATTATATACCAGTGAGCAGTTTTAACTGACAATTTCACTGTTCTACTACTACAGCTATTAACCCGACACCCACTGGTGTTCTAATCATTCACTTTACATTAGCTTTTATGAGTTGTAGACATTTTGACTCTGGCTAACGATGATTCAATTGCGGAATATTTAGGAACACTTTTTATATTTCGGACAAAACTAAATATACGATCAATTGCCTAAAATTCACCCGACCGGGCCACACAATTCCACTTCAGTGCATGAAACAAATTCTATACCGTCATTCTTCTGACAGCTATATAATGTTCCTTGGCTTTATGTTAAATGGTTAACTTGACAACCGTACACCGTTAGGGGGTTTTTCCTGGGGATGGGACCCACCGAAACCTTCCTGTTTGAGCCTTTTTCCAGCGCAAGTCGTGCGCACTCGGAAAAAGTTTTTGTGGGGGAACCTTTTTACCTTGAACAGATTGTATAGTTATTGAGTTTGTGGGGGTTATACTTTAACATTCTTGCATTATGGTTAACTGAATGTTGAGGTGATTTGCTGAAGGTAATTCAGCCATTTTTCCACTCGAAATTGAGTGTTTGCGAGTGTGAGAAAGTTTATATCTCCGATATTTCTGTGCGATTAAGCCCTTCTACTATTGTAAGTATATAGTTGAAGTTCTTCAAACGACTTGTTCATGATGTTTTATATACATTTACAAAATCTTGACTTCTATTTCGGCACGAACGGTTTCACGCTCTAGGCCAAAATCCTTTAGGAAAAGGTTCCATGGTCTAGCGGTATGACGTCTCCTTCACACGGAGAAGATCCCGGGTTCGATCCCCGGTGGGATCATAAGTTGTTTTTTTGCATCCTCTTTCTTCTGTTAAAACTACAAAAAGATGTAGATAATTATGTGTATATCTATTTTAATGCTATATGAGTCATTCTTCATCTGTATCATTGTCGTCGCTACTAGAACTCGAACCGTCATTATTATTCTCTTCCTCAAAATCCTCTTCCTCGCTTGAAGTATGATGATTACTACCACTGGCACTATCCTCGTCTTCTTCATCCTGATTTGGATTCACCTCTGACCATTCTATGTAATTGCTGGTAATGAGCTTCTTACTTAAAGGTAAAACCAACGGGTCAAATGGGAAATAACCCTCTAAATCCAAAAACTCTTGCTTCTGCTTAAAGTTACCAATACTCGCAGGAAGGCTGAGATTATTATCCTTGGTGTCTGTGCTGGTATGCAACATTCTTTCTCTTTTGTTATGCTCAATTATAGAATAGCAATAACACACGTTCAACTTTGTTGCAATATTGGCAAAAATGAAACATACAGTTTCGTCAATAAACTTCAAAGGATTGAATTTGGTGATGATAACCCTTTGAAAAAACTTATCAATTTCCCCTTCCCATTCAAAATCACCTTTGATCTCCACTTGCAAAAGCTTGTACCTGAAACAAAAAATGTATAACAACCCTTGAAATGTAGAATAGAATAATTTAAATCTTTCCATTCCCCCAACGCTTTTGTCATTGGAATTGGATAAGTTGATCTCAAACTCTCTTTCCTCAATATACTTATTGAGCCAGCCCACCAAGTAACTAACCACAAAGACAATTTGATTCTTGGAAAGACACTTGGCTCTGGCAATATATGAAGATAAGTATTGCATTGACTTCAATCTGGTTTCCAAAATTTGGCTAGGATTGAATGTTATATCAATCAATAAAACCAAAAATGAATCACTCAATTCCATCTGGTATTGGGTGATATGAAACAAGAGGAATTGGATCAGTTTGGTGAAGTGAGTGGGTAAAATATGACTTCTGAAAAGGGAAGACAAAGTGTTGAAGAGATAAACACCATTACCATCGTTCAATTGTTCGGCATTGAACGACTCCGATGCCGATTTCAATAGCAAATGGATTATTGAATCCAATCTGTTGACTAGCAATCTAATATCCTTTGTAGTTGTCATTGGGTTGATTAAGTATTCTTCATCTCCCATATTCTCATCTTCACTGTCACTACCACTGTCAATTTCCGGATCCTTTTCGTCGTCTGAGTCTGCGTCTGAGTCTGAGTCATCATCTGAATTATTCTCACCATTCCCTCCTTTGTCACTTTCTTCTACTCCGTTGATCAACTCATCGATTTCTTCATCATCCAAATCATCTAGATCATTTTGCAATTCGACGTCAAGCTTTATGCAACATTCAATGACCAATAGCCAAACATCGTACTGCAATTCCCCACAATACTCTAAGGCTTTAACCAAATTCAAAATATAGTTACTCAATAATTGAGAGTCCGATGCTAGGTAATGGGGAAAATTCCGTTGGAAAACGGATGGAAACTTGTTTAAGATGGTTGGATTATATTTGACAATGTTCTTCATAATACTGTGATGCAAGTGGTTGGAGTGGTTGTCTACGTCCTTGAATTCCAGACAAATCTTATTCAAGACTTTGAATAGATATTTGGGGATTGAAGAAATCAAAACCAATAAAAATTGGGAATAAATATCTTTGAATTCAGAATCTTGGACATTGATCCATTTGTAATCTATGATCAGAAGTATTAACTGGTTGCAGGATTCGTTATCCAATTTTGAAACGTTTGAAATCAAATTCTTCAATACCACCTTAAAATTGGCAGTAGTAATGGACTCAGAATTATCCCTTGGAAGACTTATTTTTGTAGTTAAAGATTCAATTTGATTCGTGTCTCTGTTATGCTCAAGCTTCTCTAATGCAGTTTTCACAAAGATAGTATACATTTTGTCGTTAAAGTCATCTTCTCTAACCTTTTTATTCATTGGTCCTTGATGATTATCTAGATTATTTGGAGACTCTTCATTGGCATTATCTAGGGGACGCTTTCGGGATAGCGGGTCGTGTATCGACATGATCATCTCCGTATTATTATTCGGTATCTTGTGATTCTTCACTGCTATTACTTGGCTGTTGGTATTCCAATGTGTAAGCTTCAGTTTGTCACCTCTTCCCTTGTTAAAGAAAAATTTGTAATGAGCCGCACTTTTTTTGTTGCACACGGTTATCTCGCACGACCCCTCCTGTGGATCAAAAACTACAAGTACATACATACAATATGGATTATTCAACTATTTCGGTCCATTCTTTAGCCCTATTCAACATCAATACAGCAATTAGCAACAATGCTTCAGTGGGGGTTCTTTTGGGTGTGCCTGGGTCCGACTCTGTTTGTGTTCATACTGCCTTTGAGTTGCTTGCTTCTAATGGCACCATAGATATGGATTTCTACAATCAAAGATTACAACAACATCTAACTGTTCTACCGAAGCTTGAGAAGGTGGGGATATATCATATTTTAGATAAGTCAACACCAACCATCCTCACTGAACAACTTTGTCAAGAATTCAATTCATCCGTATGTTTGGTGGTGAATTTGAATCTGGTATCAGATAAAACCTTCATTAAAGGTTACCATAATGGAAAACCTTTGAACACTATCGTCGAGTCCGATGAAACAGAGAATATCTCCTTGTCTACAATCATAAGAAATAGCCAATATCATTTATCTAATCATCGATCGGATGAATTAGACCAAGTTGACTTGAACCAGAGCAAGAATAATATTCTTAATTCAATCGAACAAATGTCAATAAAAGTACAAGGGATTGTCGATTACTGCAATAGTGAAAGACCAGGTTTAGAAGTTTCTAAGATGATTGAAATCAATAACTTGATAGGGCAGTTGTCTCGGCATGTTAGTTATTTGAGACTGACCAACCACAAAGAACCAGAGTTCAATGATAAATTGGCTAGCACCGAATTGGCTTTATTGTCCACTAAGCTAGTGTCTTTGGACAGATTAAAAAGTCAACTCAACAGCAATACTGCTAATATATGTATGAAGAGTAAGAGGATGGTTTAATACGTTTATGTTAGGTATTTTTTATTCATATATCCACGGGAACATGACGAAAATAAAATTAAAACGTTCGAAATATGAAATGTCAATTATGACTTGACAATGCAACGTTTATGCAAAAGGAAAGAACAATCTTATATAGTAACTTTTTCTCGCAGCACGTCAGAAACTCTTAACATTCAACAGCTTCCAACACAACGAATTCAACTTCGGAACATTGACCACCAATGCTTTGGTCATATAAATTGTAGAAAGAACCCGACAAACATTTGTAGAAAGTTGTTTGAGCACCTAAAGCCAATTTATACAATTCATTTCTCTTACCCTTGTCAGCATTTTCTTTGGTTTTAGAATCTTCCTTGTAGTCAATTGGAACCACAGACCAACCAGCGGCATAAATGGCACCAGCTTGTGGTGGAGGACCATCGAATTGGAATTGTCTGTTAGCAACAATAGAACCAACTCTTCCCTTTGCATCAGTCAAAATACCGTCCTTCAATTGCAAGAGTAAAGATCCAGAGGCAACACAGGTTTCAGTAACGTTGGTGTCTGGAGCTTCGCTAGTAGAAGTAGCATCTTGAATTTGACCATCACTGATCTGACTGGCAGCATCAACAGTGGCAGTGGAAGCGGCTTGTACTTGACCGTCACTTATTTGGTTAAGAGCAGCAGCAGTGGAAGTTTGCTGTTGAATTTGTCCATCGCTGATTTGGTTGACGGCTGCAATAGTGGAGGTTTGCTGTTGTACTTGACCGTCATCAATTTGGTTAACAACGTCAGCAGTTTGCTGTTGGATTTGTCCGTCACTGATTTGGTTGACGACAGTAGCAGTTTGGGCCTGAATTTGTCCATCGCTGATTTGATTGAGGACAGTAGCAGTAGTTTGGGCTTGGATTTGACCATCACTTATTTGATTGAGGACAGTAGCGGTAGTTTGAAGTTGAATTTGACCATCACTAATTTGATTCACCACCGAAGCAACAGCTTCGTTAGTGACTTGTTGAATTTGTCCGTCATCAATCTGAGTAACTATGTCATCCCTCTTGGCCAAACCCGTAACAGAACCGGATGCGTCGGCAGAACTGATGGTTCTGATGGATAAAGCATAAGATCCGGGTAAAGAAGAGGTGGCATGAGCCGAAGAACCCAAAGTAGTAGTTGGGGTCAAGCTCTTCCAGACGTCAGAAGAGACAGCAGCAGCGTTGGCAATAGCAACAATTGATAATAAACAGACAAACTTCATAATAGGCAATTTGAGTGATTGAAAAAATTCCTCAACAGGGAAAATAGTTGGAACTATATAGTTTTTGAGATCATGCCCCTAATCTCTATAAATAGCAGAAATAATATACATACCTACCTTACGGACAAATCAAAAGTTGCAGCCAATTAGTTTTCTCAATTATTTCCAAAAATAGACAATTAATTAATTGCATGTCTACTTTTCAGAAGGCAATAAACTAATATACAGTAGTGCGAATCGACTCCTTCTTTCTCTCAGGGTTCTGATTCATGAATTGGATCTATTGCCTTTGTCTACTGTTTTATATATACTACATGAGGTAATTGTATCTTGAATTAACAGCAATAGGTTTCTACCAACTTGATTGACAGCTGTTAAAACTGGGTTCTTACAGAACTTACAAAACTTTAACCTATCCCCCTTTATCTCCTACTGTGGTGTTACTACCAGGATCCGCTGGTCTCCGGCGGATCAAAGCGATACTGTAACTGGTTACCACTTCCTCAAATATTTTTTGGCGCAGTGTACTTGCTTAGAACCATTACCGAGCAGGTGCGGGCGCATCGGTTCATCCGACAAAGCCTTGGTGATTCCGGTTCATGACATCGCCGAAGACTTGAGTCTCCTGATTAGCCTGTTGTACCTACCGAAATCCGTCCGAGTCTGTTGCGTGGTGCATTATTCTTTTTTCATGACTAACTGTGGGGGTGAAAACGCATGCTCATGATGTGATATTGCCCAACTAACTCCCACAATGGTCCTCAATATTTTTTTCCCCGAGCGGCATCATTCAAGGGGTAATTACGCATCAATTGCTGGTATTATTAACTCCTATTGATGGTAGTTGTCCGAACTACAATGCTGGTAGATAGGATCTTCAAGGTTTCAATAGGGGCTCGCTTGTCACAATTTTGAGCGCTTCCTGCACGAGGCGATGTTTGGTACCAGCATTGGTACCAATACCGCAAAATTTGCCGCCGGCTTGCTTGCGATTGGCGCGAACGGCGGCAGTTGAGCGGCCACAGCCAGACTCCTCGACGATAGGAGCCTTGTATTTTCCCCTGGTTCTAATCTTTCTCCTCACTACTTCTCAACCGTTTCTTCATACCGATGAAGAATTGCTCTCTCAGTTCATCCCGAGAACTTTGGGGTTTGAACGTGTATACCTTAGCAAACATTTCTCGAAGTTTGCTCTCGATCAACTCTTGCTCTTTGCCCATGAAAAACTTCATTACGACACTTCCATTTTTGTTAAGAAGTGCTTGTGAAAGTTGCAAAACCGAGTGGCATAAATCCATGCTTCCAAGATGATCAATATCCTTGATTCCAGTGGTGTTCGTCATCATGTCACTTAATATTAGGTTTACAGGACTATTGTTAAAATGACCAAATATCTGAGACTGAACATCTGGATTCAAGAAATCACCTTGAATGAATGATATTCCTTTTGGAGGACTGGACCGAATTAAGTCCACTCCAAGGATTTGAGGAGTGACTCCCTTTTTCTGCATCTCTTGTGCAGCAACTTGTGACCAACTCCCTGGAGCATATCCAAGATCAAGAATATTCCTTGAGGATTTATTGAAGATTCGAAACTTATTATTAATCTCTATAAGCTTGAAAGCAGCACGACTTTTGTAGTTGAGTATCTTTGACTGACGAGTGAATTGATCACTTACGTGTCTTTCGAGCCATCTTTTAGAAGAGCTGGTCGATTTAAATCGCCTAATCATATTTTATGATACCAAACGCTGTCGCACTGTTTTGAGATTTCGCAGCTCATCTCAAAAATTTAATTTTCAATTCCGCTGGACATGAGTGAAGATTTATTGCCAGCATTGGTGGAGGACCCAACAAGAGTGTTCTCCCGTGACATCAAGGATTCCAACTTTTTCAAGGAGTTGGTCAAGTCCTTCGTAGATCCCATCACCAACTATTCCAAGTTGGACGAAATCTACATCGAGGGCCTTGACGCATCGCAGGTGTTTGGTCAGACTAAGTTGGTAGCCGAAAACGCTTGCCAAGCTGTGTTAGAGCAGTTGGATGAGTTCCAAGAATCTTCAGAAGAAATCTCTGAAGATGAAAGTGAAGAAAGTTCCCTAGAACAAGACGAAGAAGAGCACAATGAAGAAGAGGAAGTGGTAGACGAAGAAAATCCACAACCTGAAGGAGAAAGAGATCTTCTAGAAGATGAAGAAGTTAACGATAATGATGAATCTGATAATGAACCAGACACTGAGCTTATACCTGTTAAAAAAGATGCCTTTGGATTGAATGACGAGTTTTTCGATATCGATGCCTTTAACAAGCAAATACTTGCCATGGAAGAAACCAATGACAACGAAGATGACGATGAAGAAGTGGATTATTTTGCAGAGGTCAGTGACAACGATGAAATAGACTACTTTGATGACTTCTATGATAGACCTAATCAGAAGAAATCTGCCCCATTACCAGATGACGAACAAGAGCAACTAAAACAAGAAGAAAGTGAGGAAGATGACGGTTTTGATATGGAAAGTCTTGATGACGATGAGTACAATGCTGCCATATCACAGGCAAGAGAAGATTTGTATCAAGAAAAGTCAACGTTTGAGAAGCATCAGGAAAAACTTCAGAAAGAAATTGGGGAACTAGAAGATGAGTTGGTGGCAGAAAAAAAATGGACAATGAAGGGTGAAGTCAAGTCCACCCAGAGACCTGAAGATTCGATTTTAAGAAACGAAGAAGATTTTGATTTTGATAGAGTTGCCAAACCGGTACCGATCATAACTGAAGAGATCACCGAAACTATAGAAGATTTGATCAGAAAGCGTATCAAGGACGATGATTTCAACGATTTACCTAAAAAATTTTTGAACCAAGTGGTCAAACCTCAAAGGCAGAGAGTCGAAGTATCGGAAACCAAATCAAGCAAATCCTTAGCTGAAATCTATGAAGACAAATTTAAAGGAATTGAAGACAATGAAAAGGAAGAAAAGTTGACTAAAGAACATGAAGAAATACAGGAGCTCTTTAATAAGGTCAATTACAAATTAGACTCTTTGACTTCCTTCAACTTTGTACCTAAACCCCATGAAAATAAGGTTATTGGGGTGACGATGACTACAGTTGATATGGAAGACGCTCAACCAGAATTTGTGAGTAACGAAGCTAGGTTGGCTCCACAAGAAGTTTTCCAAAAAGATGGCAAGAACTCCGAAGAAATAGCATTGAAATCCGGATTGTCCTATTCCAGAGAAGAGTTATCTAGGGAAGAAAAACAGAGACTTAGAAGAGCTACCAAGAGAAAGAAATCCAAACAATATAAGGATTCTCAAGCCAAGAAGTCCAAAACCGATTCGGTTGTTGATACTTTGTCCAGCAACAAGAACCTTACGATTATTAATAAATCAGGTCAAAAGACAGATGTTAAGGGTAACTTGAAAAAACAAACGACAGTTAGTACCAATAACTTAAAACTCTGAACAGCATTATAAAGTAGTTTATAACCTAATATACACATATCCTACTGTTAGGCACTGCTAATCACCCATCTCTTGCCAAAACAAGAAATATTATTTGGTAGCCCCGGGTGAACTACGATTTTCTCGTAATTCAATATTTGGAATTCGCACCTCAAACATGATTTTTCACTCGTACTAGTAGTGGGTTGCCCACGTTCGTGGTATCGATTTGATGGACTACCGCGTTATCGTCGAATTGCCTGCAACAATGTGTCAAAAATTACGTTTTCTTGCACGTCCAAATTAAAGTTCCTGATACCACCCCACCAGGCAACTGTATTTACGGTTGTCGCCTTATTATTTTATTCTTCATGTGGATGCGCGAGGTAATTTATTAGTGGCCGATCAATTCGTATCGTGGTTATATTTTGCGATCGGAGCCAAGGGTGAAATCTTATATAAAAGTAACCGAAGCCTTTACTCTACGAATTTAGGCTTTTACTAACACCAAACATAATGTTGTCATTGAAATTCCTTTCAAGACTATTGACGCTTCCATTCGTCATCGTCAAAACTACAATTGAGTACTACACCGTGGGGACTATCTATTCCAAAACAAACAAAGAGTTCAATACCTTATACAAAAATGTTCACCTCTCAGTTGAAAACCACTTGGCGAACAAGTTCTATCTTTCGGACATTCCAATTGTGGTATACCAGCCAATGGCTCTGATTATTAAAAAGTTTTCCTCAAATCCCATGATTACAGCTGGGCATTTGAAGCACTACGGCGAGAGATTTAATGATCACAGCTTTTGGATCCACAAAAATAACGATTCAAAGCATGTACTTGTTTATTATCATGGTGGTGGTTATGCCTTAAGCTGTTTTGATGCCCAAATAGCTGGGTTCATCGCCATTTTCTATGCCTTACCGGCGGAAGTCCGTGATAGTTTATCCCTTTTAATTGTGGACTATAGTTTAACTTTCCAACCCAACAGCAAATTTCCCAGACAAATATTTGAAGCATTGGAAATTCATGCCAAACTTTTGCAAGAAAAGTTCACGGATATTCACTTGATTGGAGACTCGGCAGGAGGAAACTTAGCATTGGCCATTTTGAGATTCTTGAACTATCCAGAAGAAACCGGCTATTTTGACCAATTTAAAGAATATGACTTCAAACAGTTTGAGGGACTAAAAATTCAACCCAAATCTTGTATTCTCGTTAGTCCGTGGGTTCAACCTTTGCATATTACTTCAAATAGAAAGAACATTAATAATGTGGGTGACTTAGGTGCTAGAAACACCGTTATGGGAGAATGGTATATTGGTGATACTCCTAACGATGAGAAATTGGCCAATTGGGTATCGTTTTCAAAGATTGATGCTACCAGGTTTGATAAAATACAACAATTAAAGGACAATAAGAGTATTGTTATATACGGAGGAAGAGAAGTTTTAACAGATGGTATTGAAGATTTCCTTGAAACTATTAACAGTTTCGGAGATGTAAAACATTATATTGAAGAAGGAGGCATCCACGTCGGGTTATTCTACGTGGAAAGTTTAGATTTCTTGGGTTCAGGAGGTGCCAAGGCAGTAAATGGCGAATTTGAAGGGAAATTCTCTTACAATATTGTGTCGGACTTCCTTACTCCACTTATCACGCACAGTTAGGTTTTGCAATGTTTAAATTAAAACACTAATGACATTTGATCTCACTTAGTATTTATAGTTGCGTTAAACTAAACCCTTTCGTAGATGGCTAAATCTACAAACATCGGGACATTTGGTAAAATATCTGCAATACTGAAGCATTATCCATAAGTGATTTCTCTGCTGTTCCCAGACACATGACTGGCTCTGTTTGATCGACAGTCTCATTGAAAGAACTTTCATACCTTTCAACCATAGTATAAGTGCTGCGAGAAATAGAACTGAAAAACATGCTGTCCAGATCTTTGAGAAAGCCTTGTATAAAAGCTGCTTGACGGGATACTTCTGGCTTGTAAGAAGAGAAATCGTAATCCATCTCAAAAATGTCAGAGAATCCAACATACAATAAGTGAACATATTTCATCTGATTATTCCAAAATCCATTACCGTTATAGAAAGCCCCTAGTTTATAGGTGGTAGCATCAGCTAGATCCTTGATCTTTGAAATCCATTCATCTGAATTAGAAGAATCATATTTATAAAGTTCACTGAGTACACTCAATGCACAACCGACAGTGTAGGTGAGTTTTCCCTTGTTGATATCTGAATACTGAGACTTACTCAACCCATCATAGAATAGCTTATCAGAAGGATCCTGGAAATAAGTGTATGCAAACGACAAGCAGGTCTTAGTAAACGTTAAAAGGGTTTTGTCCTTGGTGATCCCATATAACCTAATGGCTGCAAGAGCGGCCTCAATGGTGGAAATGGATGCAATATAATCATCTTTGTAGTGCCAGATTACTCCTCCATTCTTATCAACTTGGGTCATAAGAAACAGGACGATATCTTTGGCAGTCTGAAGGTATTCACTATTCCCTGTAACCTTGTACCCTTCAATAAAAGCCCATGCAACTTGAGCATTATCATCATTGTAAATGTCTGTGTCTCCAGCCGTACTGGCAGAGAAGACTTTCAAAGCTTTATTCTGATATTTGTAAAGATTTGAGAGGACTGAATCTACCTGGGTATTATCCAGTTGTATAACTCCTTTAGCAGTAACTGCTACGTCCCATACCATTGGCTGCGAAAAAGTACTGCCACAAATTTGATCTTGAGAATTGAAACTTTGTTGATCAGAATTCCAAAATCTTGATAGAATTTTGGAAGACAAAGAAGATTCCTGAGGTGAATATGCCACAGAAGGGACTTCTAGTTTGGAAACATTACTCTGGTTTGGAAATTCTGTTGAAGTAGATGATAAAGCATCAGTAGTTTTTGAAGATGAGGAAGCTGAAGGAACTGAAGATATCAATCCTGCTGGTGGAACTGATACAGTTGTTGAAGCAGATGAGGACAATATAGAATGTGGCATTGTTGATGGTGTTAGCGAGGATAATGAAGGCAGTGGTGCTAATGAAGATTCCACAGTTAACCAGGAAGTCGAATAGATCGTCGAGCTTTCCGTTGCCGAAGATACCATAGTCGACAAGCTAGGTTCTCCTGATGATGAAGACATTAATAGTCCCGACATAGTACATGAACACTGATTGGACTCCAGAGAAATAGTCACTAATGTTAAAGACAGTGAAGAAGGGAAGGAAGCATCGGGAGTTGTACTAGCCAAATTATTTCTGGTGCTTCGTTTCAGTGAGCTTTCCATACTGGTAGTCAATTCTATTACAATTGATTCCTTAGGGAGAACCTCTTGAAAGTCAATAAAAGAAGATTTAATAAATTTGTTATGTTCCTCAGGGGAAACTGTTGCAATTCCTTGTTCTATGGTAGAAGTTCTCAATGAACTTGACCTCCCGTGCATTGCCTCACAAGAAATTACTGTCACAGTAATTATATTTTTGACCGTTACAGTGGACATTTCAACTGGTAAGCTACAAATTGAACTTAAAAGCAATAATAAAGGAAGAGTTTGGGACCAAAACATATTCCAAGAACATTATTCCCACAAAACAAGGAATCATTTGGCCTTTAAATGGCTGCAATAATTGTGGTAAAAAACCTCAAATATGAAACCGCGAAAAAACGTATCTACATTTTGCATTATCTGAAACACATGAAACCATATTTGAAACATCCAGTGGTTAAAAGCACCGTCAAATACTCTGCATTGCCGAAAGTCCACTCCCCAAAGTTGTATCTAGACAATACATATGCCGAATCAATTCAAGAAAACCCTCTAGCGTTGGGATTGTTGAGAACACACAAAGAGTCCAGTTCATTCAGATTTCCAAATGGTTCTCTCATACGATTGTCAGTGCAGAATGAAGATAAACGACACAATCTAGTCCCTTTCTTGGATGAACTTGACCCTAGAAAAATCACCGCCCAAACCTATATCTTGAATAATAAGCGTTTTCTTCAGATCGTGGATCAAAAACAATCCTGGATGAGATATTTGTCAACAAAGTTCAGAAACAAGACACCCACTCACGTTGCACGAAAAGTTCGCCCTATGCCTGAATTTCCTAATGCTTACAAAAAAATTCTAGAGAAACGTGTACTTGAAGGTCTAAAAAAAGTAAAGGCATCTGAAAGCCAATTTGGCATTAAACTAAATTCCTCAGGACACCTCATCGAGGTGCATGGTCAAAAGCTCCATGTAAATATCCCAAATATTGACCAAGATTTATTCATTTCATTCCTGGGAAATCAATCCCTTTGTCTTGATATCGTCCGGTTGGCAAATTTTCATTTTTAAGTCTGTTTTTTGACAGTCAAGAGACCTATTAAATCTTATCAACCACCCTTGATACCTCATAAAACACCTGTGCTAATGAGGAGTATTTCAAAAGACTTTGATACTCATTAGTGGGGCAGGAAGAGTTTCTCACCACACTGGTGTATTCATCGTAAAGGTTTCTTGACTCACGAGTGACTAATCGCTTAAAAGCTTGGTAGGCATCATATTCATAACTTGAAGTTGGGACAGTCATGGCAACTAAATCAGCAATCCCAACAAACAACAAATGGGATCTTTCAATAATGTCATTTATATGACCATTGGTGAAGAACTGGTTATTTAAAGCACCACCCGCAATGAACTGAACTCCAAACTGAACCCCAATGGCCTTCCAGTCTCTATCAGAATCACCATAATAGGCCAAATAAGCACAAGAAGATATCATGGTTCCAATTGTGTACGTGAGTTTCCCTTCATTGATACTACCATCTTGATTCATACCATCCCAAATAAAATCGGTGCTATTCTCAAGTAGATTATCTATTACCCAATTCACATTAGCTTTGGCAATGTCTAAATATTTTGAGTCCTTTTTGGAAGAATACAATTTCAATGCTGCCACTGCTTCTTCCAAAGTAGAAATCAGGGCAATGTATGTACCAGATATCAGCCATAAAATTCCTCCACCTCGTGTTGTATAACCATCAATGAAGTCGGTGATATTTTGATTCTCATTTTGGTATTTGGAATATTTGGTATTTTCATATGCTTGGGCATAGATCCACGCTATTTGGGCATTGTCATCAGTATATATTTCACCATTCCTTGACATGCTGGCTGAATACCCACCAGAAGCATTGCGGTAATTGTTCAACGCTGATATTGCCTTATCCAAATACTCGGGTTTCTTTGTGTTTGTCATGACTTTTCCAGCAACTGCTACTTGCCACACCACCGGCATGGAAGTTGAGTGGCAATAGTCTGACCAGTTGTTCGATTCATTTGCATAAAAGAGATTGACCAAATTGGTGCTCATCTCTTTTGCAAGATCGGACGGATCATATTGAGGGCTTTCAGTTGCAATAGCCTGAATACTGGTGGAATATTCACCAAGGTCTCTTCTTCCCACCACCGCCAATGGGGAAGGGATAACCACCGCAGCAATACAAGTGAATGATGCCAACGACAACCAAAAGAAACGCATTTAACGAAAGATGTTGCAATTCCACAAAGTGTTTTAACCTAAACATCTGGTGGGCCCTCTTGTTCTTTTATATATATAATATACATGGTTGGGAGTCTATGACTGACAAACAAAAGTTCCAGCTGAGGTCAAATTTCTTATGCTTGCTCGAACGATAATAGACTCGTTTCACTTTTTTTCGCAATCTGAACCCTGATGTGGAAATGACAATAGATCGCACATCCTTCATCGATTAAGGTTAAACCATATTCAATGCCAGATATGTTGGCCACTTTCCCCTTAAAGGCAAATCACGGGGTTAATAGTTTCAGAATTCCCTATTATCATCCTAATTTCGGCCAACAGATTTTAGGTTGCAATTTTGCAGTCTTGCAAGAACAGCTTTGCCTAGCATCCTTCCTTGTCGTATGGATTTCTTGCTACTCATTCAAATTGGTCCAGTGTTAGATCTTTTAACCGAAGGTTTCTGTTGTCTATATCTATAGTCAGACTTCCATATGTAGGACGTACAAAACCCTTGACAACCCTCCAAAGAAGCTGAGCCATACTTGTGCTTATTGACATCACTACTTCGGATCCATCAAGGGTTCACATTCTACCAATATGCAAGCACTTCCCAGAACAAATGTAACAAAAATGGATTCAGGGTCCAGCAACCCGAATTCCAAGGACACTACAAGGTTTGGTGCATTGGTTATAATCTTAATTGCTAGCTGAAAGCTTTCAAACTATTCGTCTATAAAAAGAAAACACTAGAACAACATTTGTAAGATAGTCATAATAACGGTAGCAACGGCCCCAAATGCCGAAATATGAGCTCCTGAACTATCTTTAGAGGAGGAGGAGGAAGAAGACCCGGAAGCAGTACTAGAAGCAACAGGCACGCTTGATAAAGCAGTAGCAACTTCGTCCAGGACTGACACCAAACTCTTCACACTAGAAGCAGGTATGGTATCGTTAAAGGTGGTGGAATTTGATATGAATGAATAGACAGCTCCACTACCATCAAATACAACCCCACCTATCATTGTCCCTTTATAATCTCTTGAAAAGTATCCTGGAACTTGTATACCAGTTTCAATATCGTCGGTTCCTTGGTAGTCATGAATGGTGGAACGCAACTTTCCTACTTGAGAGGAAGTGTAGTTCATGATTTCAAAAACATCAAACTCACCACATCCAGATCTCCAACAGGAACAGTTTACATTTGTACCGTATTGAGAAGTCCGAGGAATATTAGAGTTCAAAAGCCAGATAGCGGGCATGTTCCAGTTTGATACTGAACCCTTCTTTAAAGAGGTTTCTTCAGGCATGGTGAACTCAAACAAGAACATCTTGATAGCACCGTAGAACCCATGATAGGCAGGGGTATCTGAACGGTAGACACCACAGTCTCCGTCGATACCGGAATCACCACATGAAATGTTGGAAAAGATGACAAATTCTTCGTTAGAAGCAAGTAAAGCACCTTCTTCAAGAATCGTAGAAGAATCTGCCTTAGAGATACCATCGCTGTCTGCATAGGTCAACCCAACACCTAAACAGGAGGAGTTTTTTCCGGCTTTAGTGAGGAAAGTAACGTTATCAGCGGTTTGTGACGAAGCTTCGTAGTAAGCTAAACGTTCCCAATCTTCGGAGTCACCGGAATCAACTTCAAAGTTGTCGGAAACATAATAAGCAAACTTGCTAAGGGTTAAGGGGCCTCTAAAATGGACTGAAAGCTCTTCGTTAAGAGGGGCATTCGATCCGGAGAACAGAGTGGTGGAATCACTTAACAGACATGAACAAGAATCGGAATAAATGTCTTCAAGGGCTGAGACATGTTTATAAGTACCCAGGAACCCAACATTAGAAAACTCAAGAACATTAGCTTTGGATGCAGAAGCAGCAGCAATAGCTGTAGCTTGAAGAACGAGCGGAATTAATTGAAACATAAATAGGGATAAAACGTGTCTATAAAGCTGCGTTGTGCTATGATAGGGTGTTAGTATTTCATGGAATTTATGGATTGTGGTGACCGCCCAAAGTCTATGACCTTGATCATGCTCCGTAGTATCCGTACCTTTGCTTAGGATATTGTTCAATTTCTTTGGAAATCTATCCCAATTTATTTCTTGAGCGAAACATGGCTTTTCAGCTGCTGCGGATTGGTGGCAGGTGCAGGTACCGGCATCATCTCATCATATTTATCCGAAGGTGTGAAACTCCGACAGTGTTTGTTAGTTAGAAGGATGTTTGGGTTGAAGCGGCGGATCTGTTGTACCTGACTTGCACTTTTCAAGGTCCTATTTGCAGCCATATTTTTCAGTTAAGGTTCTCATCGCATCCGGAGTTAGTGATGCTTGTTTAGGATTCTGCTATTTTGAGAAATCCGAAGTCTGACCCTATAAATTTTTGCAACGCCGAATTGCGTGGAGTGCTCAGCCATCATTTAAAGCCCTGATTGGATTCGAGGGCGGGATTCAAAAGTGAGGCAAGCCAAAGCTCGAGAATCTATCCGGACTGTTTGGTGGCAAATTACCGAACAGTGCATGGTGTGCCGCAGGAAAGTGGCGATTCAGGTGCTTGGCTTTATGTCTTCGTATCCGTCTTATCGTATCCATATCTAGTGCGATACGAACATATCCAATTGGAAATCTGCTCCTTCATAAGGAGAAGTGATTCCCGCCGCTACAATGGGGCAATGTTCATGGGCTGGCGTATCTTAAAAGGTACACATTGATCGGAAACACTTAATGTCTCAAGTAGAAGCTTCGTGTCAGAACAGAAAAACAAATTGGAACCCCACTTATTGGCTTTTAGCAATGAGGTTGTAAAACGCATCTCAAAAGTATAAAACTAATCTACACGTACGTTATCAGCTGTAAAATACGAGCCAAGCCCTAAAAGTGACCTCTCATTCCGCACTAATGTTGCCTTTATGTAGCAGGCCCCCAGATTTAAATTCTAATATCAATACTTAGGCTATAGCTACGAAGGTTAAGCGGCCCTTTCCCCCTTCACTAATGGGCAATCGTCTAATCGGAAAAGCTCCTCAAGGGGGGTCGTAAAAGTGGGCGTTCAGCTACGTTTGGTTCAAAGGTACAACATTGGAATTGGACCAATCAGGGATGGATTAAACCAGAAGTAAAATCGATTGACTGCATGTGCACCCAACCGTTCGGCAAATGGCACCAATAAATATCATGATAATCAATTGTAAGGAAGCTTTTACACGAACAAAGCAATAATTCAAAAGGGCAAAATAGCAATTTGGATATCCAAAAAGAAATATGGAACACTGAGTAGCGTACAATTTAGATGATTATATGCAGACCCTCAAAATTACTCAAGATGATGAGTATTAGTTTTATGCAGCGTATATTATTTGTACTTTGTACTTTTCTTTCTTTCTATTATACGATACCTTTTAAAACCCAGCACTCGATCAAAAATTTAATTTGTTTAGTATCCGTTAATGGGCACAAGGAAACATGACAAGGAAGCGGTATTAGTGTCGGGGGCTAGTGGGTTCTTGGGAGGACATGTTGTCAAGCAACTCTTAGAAAAGGAATTCTTTGTGATAGCAACTGTTAGATCTGAACAAGCAGGTAAAGTCCTTAAAAGTGAGCTTGCTAATATTGACGATTTCACCTATGAATTAGTACAATTGTCCGACAAGCTCTCGTTTGATAAGGTATTCATAAAGCACCCTAACATCTCAAAAATAATACATACTGCTGCACCGTTTGACTTTCGAGTACCTAACCTTCGGAAGGATGTGATCGAAGCAACTGTGGAAGGAACCCGAAATCTTTTGGCTTCAACGTTGGAAAATGCTCCCAATGTCACCCATATAGTCAATACCTCCAATCTTATATCTCATTTTACCTTGGATCAATACAGCAACACCGCATTGATATTGAATGAGAAATGCTGGTGCAATTACAGCTTCGAAGAGGGGATACAAAATCCGTTCAAGGCGAGTCATTATAGCAAAGCAAACGCTGAAAAAGTGTTTTGGGAATTTATTTCATCTCATAAGGATCGCTTCACTGGAAGCAGTGTTTCCCCTGGATTCATGTTTGGGCCTCAACCTTTTGATCAATATGTACTAAAAAGTCTGCTTAATACTTCGTCGGAGCTAATAAATGAAGTTTTAAACTTGGGCCCTGAAGATCTTGACCACCTTCCAAATTTATTTGGGTACCTCACTGACGTCCGAGATGTAGCTAGGTTACAAATCAGCACCTTTACAAATGAAAGCACCCACAATAAACGATTGGTACCAGTATCAGGACAGTTTAGCATGCATGGCATTCTTAATTTTGCAAAAGATAGATTTCCTAAAATCTCAAAACAGCTACCACCAAGAGCAAGGGTAGAAATCAAACTTTTTCAGATTGACGATTCGGCCACGCGAGAAGTTTTAGACTTTCCTTTAACACTTGGGGAAGTCACCATATATGACTCTATCAAGCAAATTCTTCAAGTCAAGAATCGATTGTAGTGTATAAATCCATATAAGAATCAACAGCTTCTGGTTCTACACGACCTATACTTATTTATTTAAGTTTGACGGCAAGTAAAACAAGAGTCAACAAATTAATATCTGCCCATTACTACAATTTTCCTGATGGATTATCTATGCCTTTAAAGGTTATTTTCTAGTCACCACAGCATGTTGTCGGTAAATATACTGCTTTATTTTTTGCAAGGTGGCTGCGAAATTTACAATTTTGGCATTTATCAAAGAATTGAACAATAAATTAAATCAATGTATAAGCATTCTATTAAGTTAAATAAGCTAAATCACTCTCTCGAAATATCTCTTCCGAAAAGTGACACTTTCATCCAATCCAAACATACCAAGAATTGGTTTCTGACAGAAAGACACATATAGATATAGGCAGATCTCCAGAACAAGTAGGTTATGGTACCACCGGTAGTAACATTGGACCAGTCACCCCACACCAAATCGGCTACAGCTCTTTCAGAACCAATGTAAGCCAAAGAACCTTGATGATTATATTTGAATATTGGCAACTTTTCCTTCAATTTGGCCAGCTTCTTAGAAAGTCTTTCAATTTGAACAGAGTCCAAATCTTTAGCATTCTTGACTTGGAAGTCCAACGACTCAATTTCGTGCAACTTCTTAAAGTGAGAACCTAAGAATATACCTTCTTGGAAAGCCACTTGAGCAGTTGGAGCGAACTTGGTGAAAGTACAGTCACCTAAAGCAAAAATGTTATCGGTACCATCAACCAACAATTTGTCGTTAACTAGCAAACCTCTTCTAGCATTCTTTTGTTCTTCAATCTTGGATGTAAGGTCTCTAGTAATAGGTCTTGGTGCATTGCCAGTAGCCCAGATTAATAAACCGTAAGGAATTTCAACTATTTCGGTAGATCCATCTTTTGGAGATTTCACTTGAGCAATAACGTTCTTGTCAGTCACCTGTTTAACCATGGTGTTGGTTTTCAAATCAATGTTAGTATCTTGGAAAACTTGCTTCGTGTAGTCAACCAATTTCTTGTTGAACATATTCAAGACGTTAGGCAAAGCTTCGACCAAAGTGACCTTGACTTCACTGGCAACTTCTGGGATCCATTTCTTCAAATCTTGGTCAATGTAATCTTGCAATTCACCAGCAACTTCAACACCTGTTGGACCACCACCGCAAACAACAATGGACAACAATCTCTTTCTGTCAGCATCACCCTTAGGTAAAATATTGGCAGCTTCAACTACATCCATCAACTTTTTTCTGATTTTGATGGAGTCACTCACTTCCTTCAAGAAAAGGGAGTTTTCAGCAACACCAGGAATACCGAAAGTAGAAGGTTGAGCACCGACACCAACCACCAAGTAGTCATAGTTCAAAGAAGTAGTAATCTCTTCCACACTGTTAAGAGTGGACTTGGAAGAAGAAGTGTCCTTACCGGAGTGACCAGAGTGGACAGTAGTAGATTGCTTAATGGTCAATTTGTTATTAACAGGGTCAATTTTAGTAGCTTCAGCTTCTAAATAAATAACTTCACCAGGTAATCTTCTGGTAACGGATCTAACAGGTTCAATGATGGAACGTAATTCAACAGTTCCAGTTGGACAGGAGGGTAACAAAGGAGTGAACAAGAAGTAGTTTCTAGGACTAACCACCACAACGTTGTATAAGGCGGTATCCAAATTCTTTAACAAGGAGATGGAACCCCAACCCGAACCCAAAATCACCAATGTTTTCTTTCTTTGGCCTGTTTCGAAAACTGGTACTTGTTTAATCTGGTTGGCAGGTTCTTTGTCGGCGTATATCTTGTAACCAACAAAACCCACAGAACCCAAAATAGCTAAAGCGGTGATTCTCTTGGTGTTCTTCCACAAAGTCGAGAAACCACTAACTTTTTTGGGCGATGAGGTAGTAGAATTGAATCTGATGTTCGACATACCAAATCTGGCGGTACGGGAGATCTTAGCCGTCTGGCCAAACGATCTGAACATGATGATTTTAAAAACTGTAATAGCTTTTATTAGTATTTCGAATTTTCTGATATCAGGAAAAAGTGGCCCTTTTAACTGCTGGGCGATAATGGACCGGTAATGAGGTCCGAGATTTTTAAACTTGCCACACCTCTCTAAAATAAATGTCGCGGGCAAAGGAGGTAATAACTTAGTTTAGAAGGCAATAGGCGAGGGACGACAGAGCTGAAGGGGAGACTTCAGCTGGTCATCTTGTACATAAATGCTTATAATTATTGTTATGAGTGATGATATCAGCTTTGTTAGTGAATTCTATGTCTAAGAAATACACGCAAATTGAGACACACCGCCTGGCTGCCAAAACTAATATGGAGATTATTGGAATAAATCTTTTTACAGAAGCCGTGAGGCAGTTCCAATGATAATTCTCAAGCACCATATGTACAACGAAGACGGCAAATAACAGCAACTTTGTATACATCTGGCAAACCAGTAGAGCCTTGAAGCAAGGTAATACGACATCCTTATTAGAGAGGTGGGAACTGCTGAAGCAGTTGAGGTGTTTTTTTGGTCCGACCTGGTAGAAGCTGAAACGGATATATTAGAGTAATGGAAACCTCGGATAGGTTCCACAAGGTTTTCATATATCGTATGACCAGTTCTTTCTAGTACAACAGTTCTTCCGCCTAGGGTTTCTTTACCTATCTGTTGCGGCTTCCTTTGCATTTTCGTAATCGAGTAGCCTGACCATGCCAAACGATAGAGCTATAGAGTAGAACGGACAGTTACATTGAGCTAGGTCCGAAACTTGATGCAGAATAGTGGGGCAGGTTTTGTCCAGTTATTGGGAAAAATATTGGAGATCGATTTGGAAACCGAAGCAGTCGCCGGCTTATATTCGCTCTAGCATTGGCTGCGCAGGTAAGAACATTTAGGCTTAACACCTTGCGGGGTGCACTGAAACCCGAAGTGTGTCGCGCCTCTCTAAACTGGGATTCAGGACTTTTAACTGTTTGACTTTGTTCGAATTACCGGGTGACTCTTCTCCATTGCAACATTTCCAGGTAATATGCAGTTATTTTAGTGGAGTATTCTTGGGGTAAGGGTCTCAGACACTCAATATTGTTATAAAAAGCGATTCAGCCAATGAAAAGTCTATATACTGGAGGCAGTTTAGTGTTTATTCTTGAATATGCAATGTTAAATAAAACCTGTCACCCGTTCCTCGTTCCAGCGGTTCATTTTTTCGCTTCGTAGGTGATACTTCTTTCTACTCTTTTTAAAGCTTTCAAGCATTTCGTCTAGCCTGCTAGAATTGACTTGAGTATCTTGGTTGGTGTACTCTTTTATAAATGCTTTGGACTCTTGATCCTCAGCCGCTATGACCTTCCGGAACTTTGCTTTCAAGCTATCTTGGTTGAAGTTTTCCGCCAATAATTTGTACTGGATCATCTCTAAATCGGTGAATTCTGTATAGACATTTTTAATGGTCTTAATCAACTCATTGATACGTTCACTTGTTTGAGTATACTCTTCTACCAATTCGATCACTTGGTTGATGGTGTGGATCTGAGAGTCTAAGAAGGCCATTGTATCAGAGTTATACTCCTGTAATTGTGGTTGCAGCTTGATAAACCCCAAAAATATGGAGTGCTGTTGCGTAAGCTTATCAATAATTCCCGCAGGTAAAACACTGAGATCCAGAGGCATTTCACGAAGCGTCAACACAATTGGTTGCACAGTTCGATTCGAAGGTACTGGAGTATGCGATTGCGAGGGGATCAGCTCCACCGTTGGTGAAACACTACCGGACATCTCAAACGAAAGAGTATCAAGTCACTAAAAAAAGAGCCTTGTCTGCGCGAACAAACTTAATACTATTGGACTAAAACCGTTTGTTAATACTATCGATAATATATATAAGCTGGGCGTTGGGTCATTTTCTATCGTCAAGGACACATATTGGTGTGCCCATAATGTACAACTTCATTAAACTCGTTATTGTTATTTAGAAACCGCCGGAGAACTAACCCTCATTTTGGTCAGAGGGTTGACAATCTCAAGGGGTTTCCTGATTCTAGGGGTTGACACCCGAGGACTCTGGGGTTGGTTGCTAACAGGAGACATCTGGTCGCCGTTACTGCTAGCAACACCAGTGGTGGGCGAAAATACCGATGCAGTGTAGGGGTTAAACTTCTTAATTCCAGGACTGTGGCCACCAACATTGAAGCTGTCAGCATTAATTTCGGGACAAAACTCCATATCATCTTCGACATCAAAAGATTTGGACAAGTAGTATCTCAACCTTGGGTTATGAAACGAATAAGAAGATGAAATTGATGAGATGGACGAACCTAAAGAATCGTAATTCAAGTTAGGACTCGTGTTGTTATCCATCAAAATTCCGTTGGAGATGGGAGGTGAATATTGTTGCAGCAGTGTCAGCAGCAGCAGCGGCTGATAGTTGCTATACATGTACTGATTGCTCATAACAGGAGGGGTGTTTAGTGGTATTCAAGTATGGTTCTTTTCTTAAAGTCAGGTTTTATTTAATCATCCCTGAATTTTGTTGAGGGTGATTTCTTTTTTCTCGCCCAGAGGTTTTGTGTCATCTTCTTTACTAGCCAGCTTGCTGGTAATACCACCGGCGTTTATTTGATTGGGGAATATGAATTATTACTCAATCTTCTTTATTAGTCAAAAGAACCAAGTTATTCAACTTTTAAATCAATTTCTTGGGACTGTTCATGTTCATTTTAACCAGGTTCAAATGACTAGAGCCTGACACTATATACAGGCCAACCTGATAGCGTTCGCAGCATGGCAGTTTTAAAACTGTGTCCTTTCAGTTATAAGCTTACCCTTTATAACCAAAAAACTTGAAATATAGCTAGTACTGGAAAGATTTTCGTTCGGGCTGGAGGTGTTTACCACTTATTTGTTGGTGGATGGTCTCGAAATGTGTTAGTCAACGGGGAAAATATTTTTGGCACCAAAGAGAGAAAGAAAAATCTAATTCGAGTGAAGTGTAGATCTTATGATTTCAATTCTGTAGTAGATTATGTAACCAGTGTTTCGAAAACCCTTTGTTGAATAACATACCTTGACTACATTGAAGAAATCGGGACAAATTAGACTTGAGAAGAGACACCGGCCTATTTTAAGCATATCCCTCCGATGTAGTGTAACGGCTAGCACGGTTGTCTTTCACACAGCAGACCCGGGTTCGACTCCCGGCATCGGAATGTTTTTTTGGATTTCAGCCCCCGTATCTTATGAAATAGCTACTTACGTACTTGTGGCCAGGGTCGCCTCTTTTTCGTGGGTGGCTTGGGGTTCGCTGTGTATTAATAGACAAGGATCTAAAAATGCCTATTGAGATTGCTCGATCAGGAAATTTTTGGGGCCACTTATTTGTACCTGGATTTTTATTCCAAGTAAGATTAGTTCATAAAGACACCAATGAAACAAAGTCCAAGTCTTCTGAAGGTGGGTGTTTTTCCTACAAAGTTTCTAGTTCCCAACTCCAAGTCGGATGACCAACTTCGAGCTGTGACCTTGGATAATGGTTTAACAGCACTTTTAATCTCGAATCCTAACATGGAAACGACTGCAATATCAATTCTGGTAAACTCTGGTTCCAATAACGACGGTGATATTAAAGGATTGGCTCACTTGGTTGAGCATATGCTTTTCAGTGGAACAAAAGAGTTTCGTCAACCTTACTTTCTAATTGACAATATATCCAAAGCGGGCGGAACCATTAATGCTTTCACCAGTTACAATCAGACAAATTACCATTTGGAAGCTTCTAATACTTCCAAGTCTATTAGAAACATAAATCCACAAGTAAAGTCTGATGACGGAGTAGTAGGATACTTGATACACATGTTCTCGAGGTTCTTTAAGAACCCAGTTTTCAACAACCAATGCATTAAGAACGAGATAAAGGACATTAATGAAGAGCATCTAGCCAACTTGAATTCCGAAAGCAAGAGATTCTATCATTGTTTGAAATTATTGGTATCTGAAACACACAGTTTCCATAGTTTTGCTACTGGTAACACTAACACTTTAAGTTCAATTCCCAAGCTTAGAAAGCATTTAGTCAATTATTTTGAGCGGTACTATTATGCCAGCAATATAAAGATAGTGATCAAAAGCTCCTTGTCTTTAAACCAACTTCAAAAGCTAGCGGTGATGAATTTTAATGACATTCCTGATAAACCAATATCCCCTCAACTTGCCCTACCATTCTTTCAAACTTATGAGAAAGGAAATCTACTCCAAGTGGAAACCACTAAACAGCCCAAAATGAGGGTGGTGTTTCCTATAAACCAGTTGAATGATAGCTTAATTCAAATATCTAAAGTGTGGATAGAGCTTTTGGGGCAAGAAGAACCTGGTTCTCTATGTTTTCATTTGTTGAAGCAAAATTTTGCAACCGAAGTGAATGTCTTTGACCAGCTAGTTGATTTCAACAATTTGATGATATTCATAGAAATTCATTTAACAACCAATGGATACAACAATATTAAGACCATAATGAGGTACATTTCGGCATATATAAAACTAATTTTAAGGTCCCCCGTTAAAAGAATTGGGAAAGTAATTGATCAGTGCTTGAGGCTAGAGAAGTTTGAGTTCATATACCAAGACAACGATGATAGTTCCATGGATGAGGTAAGTTGTCTCAGTGAACGCCTTCATTATTTACACCCAAGTGATGTACTAGTGGGGTACAAGCTTCAAAGCAATTTACCGACCAGTCTCTTTCTAATAGAGACGAAACGTTGGCTTAATATTCGAAGTCTGAATCTCATAGTCTTTGGTCCTTCCACTATTGATAGCAGGCCCATGAAGTGTCAACTATCAGATGAGTATTATACATTGAACTACTGTGTTTGCAGACTTGACTCTAAAAGCGTTGATTATGATTCGGTTCCGGAATTCAAATTGCCAGAGAGAAATAAATTCCTAATTTGGTCACATGAGGAGTTAGATTCAATGTTGCACCAGTTTCATGAGTTCCAAGGAAATATGAATATGAATGTCAAGTTCAAAATAGATCAACCACCTTTCCTCGCTGAACATTCCCAAAACTTAGAGTTGTGGTTCAAAAAGGAGTTCACTTTTAATTCGAAGTGTTTTGTCTCATTTCAATTATGTTCAAAGTCATTGGAGCACAACTGTCGCCATTTGGTTGCTGTTGACCTACTTTGTGAAGCTTTAGGCGTTGCACTAGCATCATCTTTATATCATTCAGAAAAATTAGGCTTCTCGTGGTCGATTTATCCGCTGTTAAATGGAACAAATTCCATAACTATCACTTTGATTGGTATAAATATGCTATTCAAAGAAATTTTACAAGAACTAATAGGCATTGTGGTAGATGAATTGAGAAACTTACAATCCTTGCCTTACTCACTTTTCATGAGGTATAGAGTCGGACTAAGAAAACGTTATAAGAAATTATACGAAGAGGAATATTTGGTTCAATCTATGGCAGCAGGAATGTTTGTTATGGAAACAAACGTATTTTCGATAGAAGAAAAGTGTGAAACACTCGAAGAAATAGTACTCGAAGAAGTTGTGGCCATCTCATTGCTGTTGATCAACGATTCATATACGAGCATTTTCCTCAATGGAGATGGAACAGTTGACGACTGTTATGATATATCCCATATCATTAATAGGCTATCTAATCATTTGTCACTCGATACAACTCGAAAGGTGAACGATCCTAGCAGCTTTCAACCAATCATTGGCAAATTTAGATTTGAAATACCGGCTGCAACAGCCAATGACTTCTGTTACTTCTATATCCATTTAGGGGAAAGAAATAATTCTTACATTAGAACTATTAGCAAACTCTTGGAGTATGTTACTGGAAGAAATATTCATAAGCTTAAGAGTGAACGAAATCTAGGATACAGAATTGTAAGTGGGTTGAAAATCTTCAGGAAAACCATGGGCCTTTTTCTTTATGTGGAAAGCAATGAATACAGTTACAAAATGCTTTCTAGGAATATAGAGGATTACCTCCATGTGATAGAAAGTGAGATTGAAAGCTTGAATAATGAGCAATTCAGAGAACAGATGCTCAATCCATGTCTTAATTCTCTTGAATTTCATAATGAGACGCAATTCTCCCCTGATACAGTCTTTGATTTGTTACCTTGTAAAGCAAGCACCAACTTTGAAAATGATAGCAAGAGCTATTTTATTCATAAAAGTACCTGGGTGCAAATTTTAAACAGAAACTACCGTTTTAATGCAAAGAATGGAAATGAAGAAGTAGACGTTGACCTTTTGAGGAGGGTTACTAGAGTAGAGCTTTTAAAGATGTTCACCCTATTAGTATCACCAGATTCAGAGTCCAGGTCCATAATTACAATAACCAATGATGAAAACTCTCAAAGATTATCACAGAAAATCAATGATTACATCGATAGCAGAAGTTTGAGTATCACTTCTGAAGCGAAATCAAACTTGTTGAAGATAAATGAGTTTGATATTATCAAAGAGGTACTTGAGAAAAGGTTTACCCAGAAAAATGGTATGAATATAAAAGGGTTTCTAAAGCCAATTGGAAACGATTCTCAGTATCTATACCCCCTGAAACAAAAAGAACGAACTATGGGAGTTTCCAGATATCACCATACTACAGATATAATTAAGGATCAACAGGACCATTTGGAGAGACTTGAGGTTTATATTTCTGGTCAATAGACTTAAATACATAGAAACTTTTTTGGGAGTGTTGAATTTAAAAAAAGGCAACCAAGGTTAGAGATGCAAATACCATGAAAAAGCTAGGAGCAACCCTGAAGGCAAAGGAATCCTTCGTGTTACCTGAATCGCCATCGGACCCAGAGTCTGAATCTGAGTCTTCTGTGGCTTCGGAAGTAGAGTCAGAACCATTAGCTAAGGTTGTTACAGCTGTAGCAGAGGGTGATTCAGATCCACCTGTCAAAGCAGATGTCTTTGCATTCTTGGCACTAGAAGCACCGGGAATAGTACTCAAAACACTTTCGATGTTTGAGTCAGAAGAGTCGTGCTTGGCCTTTGCCAAGGAGATAGTTAAATCTTCCAAGTCATAAACCACATAAAAGTTTCTGAGGAAATTGTCACCAAGAATGTAGGATTCCAAACCAGTTTCAGAATCCGCTGATTGTCCAATGATACCAAGATAACAAGTGTCTCCATCACTTTCAAGAATGAAGCTTGATAAAGAAACTGAATAACTGGTACCAGAAAATGTGAAAACGACTTGAGCAGCTGAATCGAGGTTACAATCAATTGAATAGGCACCAACATTTTGAGAGTAGTCAAGGTTGAAAGATTCACCCAACTTGGTAACTACACTTTCAGGAAAGTAACACAACGTAGTACCAGAATCCAATAAAGCAGTGTAACCGTTATCAGCTACTTTGTGTTTACTAGATGAGTTGGAAGCGGCTGCGCTGACACTGTCCAAATTAATTTCCAACCTGATGGGTGATGAGATACCCAAAGAAGCATAGCTGTTAACAATGGGAAAAGTGGTTAAATCACCCGAATATTTTGAAGTATCCACAGCTCCAAACAAGAGATCACCGTATTTGGAGTCGGAATCCCCCAAGTATAAAGAGTAAACGACTTTCTTGAGATAGCCCAATGCTTTTAATCTTAACGGTAAGTTATCGTACTCATAGGAAGAGCTGGATGAACCTGAGTAAGTGACTTCGGAACCAGGCAATCCAATACCCAAAACTCCAACGTCAGAAGAACTTTCATTAACCACAGCTAAGCTCAAGCCCTTGACGGTCACGTTACCGATTTTAACATCATCAGTACCCCATACCCCAATGGCTTCACTACCATCCGCGTAGGAGATGTCGAAGAGGTCACTGGAAGAGTTCTTTTTGAAAGTATCCGAACCCTCAGTACTGAAAGAACCATAAGATGTACAATCAACAGTTGCACTAGCATCCAGATCACCATCAGAACCACTTTGGCCAGATTCATAAGAGGATTCACTGACCAAACTAGCGAATCCACCCAAACCTGGGTCAACCCAAGGGTCAGATGACTCATAAGAAACGTCTGTAGCCTCAATTCCAATTTCACTCAAAAGACTTGAGTATTCATTAAGAATACCCTTGTTGACGGTTTTGGTTGGTTTACTAGCGATATCAATCACATTACCACCTCTATGAGCTCCGATATCTGATGCTAAGTTCCGCTTTTTGGTAGAAGAAGAAGAAGAAGCTAAGCATTTCACGTCACCAGACATCACCCACAAATCAGACGAGCCAGTATCCACCAAAACCTGGACTTTATCTTCCTTAGAGCCAATATTCAAATCAGCAATGTAGAAGGTTTCGGCATTTTCAAGCTGGACTTCAATAGGGTTGTTGGATGAGGCTCTTTTGACGAATCTTCCCTTCTTGTCAGAATCAATATTAGCAAGGCCGTCACCTCTTTTGACTTCGAAACCGAGTTTGAAAAACCCATTATCATTTTCTTCTACTGAGGTGGCCAGTCCCAAACTAGCCAAAACCGTTACTGCTACCAAGGAGACGAACTTCATGGTGACAACACTTTTATCAGAAAAAAAATACGCAGATTGGTTCTATTGTATTTATATCCGCGAAAGCTAATCTGCGGGTCGCTTACAGAGTTTTTGACGGTAGAAGCTTTATTTTTGCAGCTGGACTCCCGTGTACCGTACAAAGTACACGAGGGCCAGAATAGATCTATATGACCACAACGTACCTGAACATGAGCCCCCCTGCATGTTTTAAATTCTAATGGGGGCTGTTTTCATGTAAGCTTCTGTGCATCACGTCAAAAAGTCTCACCCCGTCAAATACCTTAATATTTTACACGTTGCACCAAATTTTTCTAACTGGAGTTAGGGCCTACTGTAAATGGCTGACGCCATAACCGTTGTTTGTGCATGAATTCTGAATGAAGGAGACATTACCTTAGTTTACCTCCTATCCCACGAGGCAAGCCTCTATTGTCTACCCCTGAAGATCATAAGATGAGTCTACGTTTTACCTTGTAGGATTGACTGACACTATATGTGGGAGCTTTTGTGGCACAGTGTTTTATGCCTCGCAGTAAATACTTCGCGCCTGATTACATCGCTTAAAACTTTCAGGGCTTTGCCAGTATGGATGTACCTGTATGCGTTTCTCTCGAAAATCTCGTGAAGGGTATTGATGATACGACTCTAGACAAGGCCTTTGGACCCGACTCCTTGGGAATCATTATTATTAAAGACCTTCCTGACTTTTTTTCGGAGCTTAGATTGAAGGTGCTCAAGAGTGCGTCGATCTTAGCCAACCAGCCGGAGCATGTATTGCAACTGTTAGAGAATGAAGAGAGTATATGGCTAACCGGTTGGTCATGCGGAAAAGAGATCTTGGGGTCGGGAAAACCAGACTATGGTAAGGGCTCTTTCTATGTGAATTGTGCCTTTCATCAGCAGGATGACTTGGAAGGACCAAGGCTTGATTTGTGTGAAAGGTACCCTAACTATAAGGCATATACCTCTCCTAATATCTGGCCTCCGCCCAACAGTGGACTAGAAACCTTCAAAGGTGACATGAAAAAGCTATGTAGCTTCATCATCAGCGTGGCAGAGAAAGTGGCAGTTAACTGTGACAACTACATCTCCAAGAGATTTGAATTACCGCCAGATTACCTTCAAAACATCGTACACACTTCTACGTGCACCAAGGCGAGACTATTGCACTATTATCCTGTCAAAACCCAGGACCTGCTGGAAAATGATGACGATTGGTGTGGTGAGCATTTGGACCACTCTTGCATTACAGGCTTAACCTCAGCATTGTTTATCGATGAGTCCCAAGGCCTAACCAATGACTTGCCACAGAATCCAGACCCAATTTCAGGGTTGTACATCCGAAATAGACATAACCAGGTGGTTAAGGTGAGCATCCCAAAGGATTGTATTGCTTTCCAAACCGGGAGCGCTTTGCAAGAAGTATCCAAGGGCAATTTCAGAGCAGTTTCTCACTTTGTCAAAGGGACTAATTTACCTAGCATCGCCAGAAATACTTTGGCAGTATTTTGTCAGCCAGATTTGGATCAGAGAGTCAATGATAAAGAGACTTTTGCCGATTTTGCAACTAGAATTTTGGCAGAAAATCATTAGGTTACTATTTATTTAAGAGGAATGAGATGCGAAAATCGAATCTTAACCTCAACATCTTCCATATTATGTATAACAATACAATACCGGTCATTAATGATACGAAGGTTACATTCAACAATCGGAGCATACCGACATCCGACGCAGAAGTGAGACTGTTGCTTCGAAAGTTGAAAGAACCCATCACCTATTTTGGCGAAGATAATGCCGATAGAAGGCTGAGACTCATCAAGTTTATCAATGAAATGCCACACACGAATTTTGGGGAAAACTTCGTAGTGGATGATGTTACTATGAAGTCTGATCAAGAAGATGAAGATGTGTCGGAAGACGATGAAGAATTCTATACACCAGGCACCCATGAATTACTTGATGCTCGGAAGCAAATCCTCACATACTCATTAAGACAAGCCAGTGCCAGAATACGAAGACTAAGAGAAGAGCACGAGCCCGACCCCATTAAGGTGTTGAAACACAGAAGAATCATCAACGGAAAAGCAGCGAAGTTCGAAATCTACGGATCCCAACTTATTCCCAATAACCAGCGTGCTATTTCCACTGTCAGGTACAACGACGACAATTCTAAAATTGCCTGTGGATCTTGGGACGGAAATATCTATATCCTCGATCTGCAATTGAGTCTTGTGGGACGCCTGGTACCAGGTTACCACCTAGAGAAAGTCAGTGGATTGGACTGGAATGGCTCAAAGTTATTAACCGGAGGTAACGAAGGTAGTATAAATTACTGGGACTGTAGTTCAGACCCGACGAAACCTTACACTCCTTTAAAGACCATCAAAGCTCATGACTCGCGTATAGCAAAGAGTCTTTTTCACCCCCAAAAACTGCATTTCATATCCACATCTTTTGATCAAACCTGGAAACTTTGGGACTTTGAGTTTGGGACCGAGATCTTGCAGCAAGAAGGGCACCTGAAAGAAGTGTTTGCTGCTTCGTTCCATCCAGATGGAAGTATCTTGAGTACTGGTGGCCTTGATGCACTTGTGAAACTTTGGGACTTGAGGTCTGGAAGACTTATCAACAATTTATCTGGGCATATTCAGGGAGTTTATTCGATGGACTGGTCCTCAAATGGATATCATATAGCTACTGGAGGAGGTGATAGTGCTATAAAGATCTGGGATCTTCGGAAAATAAATAACAACTTGAATAAGAGTCCTATAGAGTTATGTTCTATTCCAGCCCATACCAAGCTCATCAGTGATCTACGGTTCTACAATCCATCCTCATCATCTAGCATGAAACTTTCTGAGATTGTAACCGACAAAAATGACGAAAATCCCACCAAACTCAGTAGTAGTGGGAAATTATTGTTGAGCTCTTCGTATGACGGTAAAATAAGACTCTGGAGTGCAGATAACTGGATCAAAGTGGGGGAGACTATTAGTACAGACAAAGTTATGGGATGTGATATTTCACAGGACGGTGCTCAAATAGTAACATGTCATTGGGATAAATCAGTTAAACTCTGGCAGTAGCTGCAAATAGTATAAAACTCAAAAAAATTCTCGTGAATTACATAGTCAATACGCAAAATATATCGAGAGGAAAAAAATCAATCTTTAGGAACATGAATTTATTTCGGATTTTGGACAGTACACCCGAGCCGCCTATCGTTGACTTGGAAATCGACCACATCAATGATAGCGGTGAGTACAACCTTACCACACCAATTTATGAGTTTCAGAGAGAATTGACCGACCAAATTGTATCCTTACACTATAGTGATATTTTAAAGTACTGTGAAACAAACGATAAGACAGAACTTATTGTTAAATCCTTGGAAATCTGCATTCGGAATTGCATGTTGGTAAGCTCCCACCCTTACTTATTGATCACACACTATATGCCTAAAAATTTGTTGCAAAGAGACATGACTTTGAAGTTGGCTGAGACAAGTGGTAAGTTCAATGTTTTAAAGGATTTGATAAACGTTATTTGCCGAAGCTGTGACGATTATAATCTCAGAAAAAGAGGGGTGGGCAAACGTACCGCTAAGGAAGATAGGGAGAAGGCTGCATTACATCACAAACATATTGGTGTGGTGTTGAGCAATATTAATAAACTCACGGACTTGGTTGAGGCGCTCTTAATCGGAAATGTTTCCAGCCCCATAAAGTTGAAGAGATACGTCGGCAACTACTTGAGAAGGGACCATAAAAAGAATGAACCGACTAATGCGAATGTGACAGTGCACTTGATACCTACTGACTTGAGTGAAGTGAAAGAAGACTTATCTGGTCTTAAGCTTGACTTGGTGATAAAGTTCGATGAATTTGTGCCTAATGATCTAATTACAAATTTAAGATCTCAAAACAGGTCCTCTCCTGCCAGTCTTATAAAGTTAATTCCAATGTTGAGTATTGAACATTGCAGAATATTCTATGAGGGGCACGAAAACGACACTGACTACTTGTACAAGCTCATATCGTCTATTGTGTGCCTCCGGGACCAGATAGGAATTTTAGCCCCGGACATTTTCCCCATATACAACCAGGGCTTGAACTACTTGACAGCGTTTTTCAATCAAATGCTTGAGTCAGACTCTTACCCTGTATGGCCCTTGCCTGGTTTACCAGATATTCCCGAGTTTTCCGTAATTGACGTGGAAAAGTCTTTACTAACGGAAGTCCATTTTCACTATACCCCATATGATACTGACCTCACGAGTATTGATGATGTTAAAAGGGTTCATAAACATAAGAAACCCAAAAATACTTACTATCAGATGAACAGATTGAAGCTGAACTATATCACCAACCCACTCATGAATAATTTCGATAATTTAATTGGAATATTCAACCATAACTTGAACAGCACAGATTTCGGTAATCATAATCATCTGCTTTATTTAACCCATAAGTTGATGATGCAATTAAACAACATCTATCTTCAATATGAGGTTATCAAGCAAGAATATGATAGTCACCTTTTCTACAATGAGGACGAAGTTCAAAACAATAGAATTGGTAGACGGCACCAGGAATTGGCAAAAACATTGAGCAGTTTGTTAATGGACGTTGACCACTCCAGTTCCAGAATTGAGACCGGTAACAAGAAGTTCACCAAGAAGCAGGAGGAGATTGAAGTCTTGAGGAAAGATATAGAAGAAATGAAGCAAACGATACAAAACTTCAAAGACCATGAAGATGTCAGATCATATGAAAAGAAGATCAAGTTGATTGGAAACCAAATCAAAATTTGGGAGCTAACCAAGTCAATCGAACATGGTATCGGGAAGATTAAATCGAAACAGGAAGAAAAAGATTATATGAAAACCGAGTATGAAAACTCTTTGAAGTCCATTAGAGAGTCCAAGTCTTCCATTAATGAGTTGGAGGAAGTGAACGAGAATCTAGGTAAGAGATTGGACAATTTCAGGGAGACTGATGAAGAAGAAATCAAGAAATTCAGAATGGATAGAAGCAAATTAATCAACAAAATAGAAATGAAGAAAGAAGAAAACCAGCGGTTGAAAGAGAAGTTAGTAAAGTCCTTCAGGTATTTGAGAGACTCATCTCATTTGAAGAAAAGAAAAGGAAGAGGTATAACACCTAAATGAGTACACCGAACAATTTATATTACAATGTATATATAGGCATCTCCGACCTAAGACCATCGAAAATCAACACATTATTAATTGGACTCTCTTTCTTACTTAAAAATTGGATTATGTCTTGAGCCAAACAGCCTCCCAAAATTGCGCTCGTAGGTGCAAACTCGGTGAATCCTTGATCCACAAAAAGCTTCAAGTATTCATCAGTAATAATATCGGGATTCACTCCAAGCTCTTCACATGCTTTCAAAGCATGGCTTTTGAGAGTTTCAGCATTGATATCTGAGACTCTTTGAAGCTCAAATAATGCAAAAATCAATGGCAAAGACGGAGACAATCTCTTCAATTGCCTTTTATTCAACTGCTCAGGAAGCAACTTCGAGCTGAAAATCTCTTTAATTGGTCTATATGAATCATGGATTGTAATGAGTTCTTTGTTCGTCAGCTCGTTGCTCTCAACTTTTATAATGGTTTTGTTCAAATTGAGCTTTGTGTTTGCTTTTCTTGGCTGGTTTCCCATATCCTTCTCCGTTTCGTTGATATTGTCTATCAAGTCCGTGATGATGTATCCAAACATCCCATGAGTTCCAGCTATATATAAGGGGAGATTGAGCTCTCTTGTTAACTCATTCAATTTGAAAGTATCGGGCTTTTGGATCTCCGTAGCAATTATCAAGTCAAACTTCTTGAAATAGGAAGGATCGCCTTGTATCACCGTATCAAAACTTTTTGTGTTTATGTTGATCTCAACTCTATCGTTCAATTCTTTTATGGAATCCACCACATTAGGTAACTTCAATTCACCAATTTTGGAATCATCTTTAGGCAAAAAGAACTGGGCACCATAGTCTTCAGACTTTATGGTTGAGTTATCCATCAATTCTATGGAATTAACACCTCCCAATACAAGGTTTTTTACGGCTTCCATCCCTACGGAGCCTAAGTTTATGAGAAGTAATCTTGCAGATCTTAGTCTCAATTGAGTTGCTATTCCCCACAACCGGATTTGCCTATCATAAAGGGCTATTTCATCTAGCGGGGATTGTTAGTGTCGTTTCTTGCATTAAATGTTTTAAGTTTTACTTACCTCTTGATAATTCTTCAGAAGTCATTATGATAAAAAAATCGAGTCGCAGTTTGGAAAAGTGATAATTCGAATCGTACTTTTAAAATTACTGACAATATAAAAAAGATTATGAGGAGCCAGAGACAACCAACTTCTGCAAATGACCCATGAAGACCTGTAAAGAAACATCATCAGTCAAAACGACAGCTCCATTACCAATGACATCCTGGTTATTATATGAGGTCGATGGATTTAATTTGGAGTATAAGAATCTAGCTTGTGAACCACCTTCTTCAGTGTCAATGAATCTCGGTAATGGGAATCTGTCTACCAATAATTCAGCAGCTTCTTGCTTAGGCTCTTCCAATAATTGTTTAAAGTTGGCATAGTCAGGCTGGTCTTGGTATCCTGCTTTTCTCCATTCACTAATTGTCTTTCCGTGAAAGATTAAAATGTGGAAGAAAGTATCCAATAATAGAATAGCATCATCCTTAACGGAAACCGAGTCTAGCAATACGGCTTGAGGGTCGGAGTCTAACTGGAATGATGTCAATGTTGGTTGAATCATGATCAACGAATTGTTGGTGTTTTCCGTTAACAAAATATGTCTGTAGAAGGCAGTTTCATCGGGAGAGTTATTGAACACTTGTAAGAACTGGGACCTTCTCAAATAGTAGATGAATTGAGGATATAGTGAGAATTGTGGACTTAATCTGAAGGACTCATCCATATCCTTTCTGTAATCGGCAAATTTTTGGCACAATCTGATCAACATTCTGTCAACCCATCTTAAAACATCAGCACCATCATCTTGTTCAGATTTGAACAAGGTAACTCTCGACATTATGACAGCAGCAGCTTCTTGGTCAAAGCTTTGGGTCAAGACTCTTTCATCGCTTGTCAATAAGTTTGACACAGTGGTAACTCTTAATCTATAAGTACCAGAACTGTGTTGATAATGAGTAATGAACTGGATAAAACTTTGAGCATTTGGTGGTAAACTATGGGTGTTTGCAATATCAAAAAACACCGCATACGTATGCTGAGGTGATAATGCACACAATCTGTATTGAGAAGTACCTCCAATACCCACTTCAGTTTCAGATACATTGGGGGTCTTAACACTCAAAGAAGAAGCATGCCCAATGAGTCCACTGACCTTCAATTCCTTGGAGGTTTTGATATCCAAGATACCGTTGAAACCCATTGATAAGAAACCTTCCTCATCCTTGTTGAATAATCTCAAGAAGGACTGTTTAAAAATGGAAGTGGTGAAAGCATCAGTCAATAATAAGACACCACCGGTTAAGTTACACAAATCCTTCATTTCTAAAACCCCTATTTGATCCAAACAACCTCCAAATATATCCACGACATGAGAGTTTTTAACAACCCTATCAGCAATAGATTTGTAGAACTTGTTGGCCTTTTTAAAGTGTTTGGCATTATCCTTATCGATATCAGAATGGGATCTAATAGGTTCTTTCAACTTGTTGCTCACAATGATACCAGGTTCCAAAGTACACGGACCAGAAGAGAATAACATGATTCTAGCACCAAAACCCGAATAAGTAGCACCCAACAAACTCGAAGCAATATTTAAAGCTGAACCACTACATCTCAAAGGTCTATCACCATGAGCGACAGCCCATGGATCTTTAGCCAAGTTTTCCAAGATGCTAGTCAATTGGTATTCAGTTTCTTCTAATGGTAAGAAGAACCTGTTCAATGAGTTTCCAAATTGAGGAGGCATGTTTGGTTGACCCGGTTGACCATTGAAGCCAGTCAAAATTGGCTTATTCAACATCTCAGAAATCTGCTTATCAGTATAAGTCTTGTCACCTCTAAATATGTACGACTTACTGACAGATTCACTTCCTAAATCATGAAGTTGAACCATGGTACCGTAGGTGATCAAACCAATCAAAGCATTTGGAGGTAACAAGTTCAATGAAACCACCAAGGAATCCTTTAAGGCTGTCAAGTTGTCATCATCCTGGCACAAATCAACCACGAACAAGAAGATGGGAGGGTTTTGAACTGGCCTCGAAGTAATATATTCTATGGTTGAAGCATTGGAAGTCAATTCCAATGGTAAGTTCTCTTGAGTAATACCATGGTAATGGGTAGGCAAGGGGTTTCTACTACCACACAACGGACAAGACCAAGAGCCTGTTGGGTCAATTGAACAATAAGGATTCAAGATGGCTTTACAGTTTTGATTCATACAGTAAATAGGATCGTACTGAGCCACTGGTAAGTCGCCTTCTTCCCTGGTCAGTAAAGGGGTGTACAAACAGCCAGTTGGAACAACAATCTTGTTGGCTTCCATCTTCGTGGATGGCAAAGTGTTCCAACTGAACCTGATTCCATTAATGTCTTCCGCCTCTTCAAAGTTCATTGTTGGTGTTTACGTGTAATTGATTTGAATTTCGATGTTGAGAGTTTTTTCCATTCGACAGTGCGGGAACAAATATTCTGAATCGAGATAGGGAAATAGTTTAAATTCGTGGTTAAGAGAGAGGAGAGCATATATGATGATCTGGTAAGCATAGTGCTGTACCCAAACCCACCTTCTTTAAGATTTGGCTTTCTCGAAACCATTGGTAAAAACAAGTCACGTGATGACATTCACCCTGTGTGCGTCCTTAACCCCAGTAGTTCCGATCGAATGTCGCAGCTCGCAAGGTGCTCTTTTTTGCGCTATTAATGTCGTGTCTCGGTCATTGGCTTTCTTTTTGTTCGTCGGAGTTTAAGTAGTGCTTCCCCAGATTTCGCTGAACTCATAAATTCATTAGCTTTGGGAGCAATTTTCAGTTTCCTTGATGATTTCGGAGTAAGGGATGCCCCCGAAGTATAGATTAAAACTCCGAAACCCGTTATTTGCATCAAAAATTAGTACAATTCAATATTATTTGGGATATTTGAATAATCTATCACACCCAGACCGGGCAAGTTCTTGCTAATGATTGTTTGATAGGGACTCTCAATTCCCACAGTCAACTGAATATTTCTTGGATTACAGTGAACTGAGGCAAATAACGCAAAAAAAAGAAACGGGTTTGAAAAGCTGGCGGAATTATTTATGGGTATTTTTGATTTATTTCTGATGGGAACTAATTTTAAAAAGTGATCACTATGACCATTGACACCCCAATTGATAACCATGATGCTTATATAACATATAGAGCTCGTGTGTGACTGTTTTGGTGATATCAATCATCGAAACCTAGAATTATGGCCTCCAATTTTAAGTGCGGACTTTGCAAAAATGCAGGACTCAGAGGAAAATTTTTATGGGGGGGTTATGTTCAAAAGGTTTCTAATCTCCTTGACATTTAAACACACATATTTTTTTTGATTCGAATATTGCCAAAGAGCGAATACCCTGTTTCTTTTCCTCTCCTATTTTTTTATTTATCATATACACTTACATGACTGTATCATTTTGATCAACTGAACAACCACTAATGTTAGCTACTTCGGAGATAAACATATCCCAAGCAAAGAAGGCACCAGATGTCCATGTTAAAATACTTGCTGATGGAAAGGTTTTGAAAGTGCAAAAGACAAGACAAAGGAGAATTTTGAGTTGTATTCATTGTCATTCCAAGAAGATCAAATGCTCCCGAGCAGTTCCAACCTGTGATCATTGCCAGAAGCTAGGTATAGATTGCCAGTACTTTGTTAATGAAAGAATTAGCAAAGGTGGGAAACGCAAGAAGAAGTCAAGATCATCATTCCAAAATGGCAGTGCAGCAAGTAATAGTACAAGTGACACCAGTTCCATCAGTAGGGAAGATTCCAAAATCTTGAAACAGGAATCAAGTGAAATGGAGATGGAGATGGAGAACTCAAGTAAAAGTAGTACGAATGACCATCCACAATCACAGGAGATGACGATTCAGGACAACAAGTTGATGGAAACCTTAAGCTCCAACTTCCCTAATCTACCGAAGTCTTTGTTACAGACACCTGTGATGAATAGTATGAGCAACAATATGACCAATTCATATTTTTCAAATACAAATGGCTCCACCAATGCAAACGCAGACCACGAGAAGGAAGATCAGTATTCATTCAACTTAAGTTCTTTCACTTACGCCAGCTATCAGGGAAGTCATCCTCATACTCAAAGCTATAATAAGCTTGTAAATCAAGACCTCCATTCTAGTCTTTCGAGTCACAATAATAGCAGCACCAACATAAGTTCGCTTTTTGCCAAAAATCCAAGCCATATATATCCACAAAATAGCATCATGGATCATTCTAAGAGTCATCTACATCAGAATACCCAAGGACCCCAGACTTTCCGTAACCCAGCATCACCGCACTATCCTAATTCCGCCTCTTTTGAAATCTCCGAACGGTTGGATAATACAAAGAACTTTTTGAACGGTACAAATACATACTATGACAATGAAAACTTGTTAGAGGATTTGGAAAATCACTTACCCACTTCGAAGCCAAAATCATATGAATTAGTAGAAAGGTACTTAAATTCAGTTCACATTTTATTACCTATCATCACCAATATCGACGACTTTGTGAGAGAACATGATAAGTATTGGAAAGAGTGTAACCCTTATGAAAAAGAGACTAACAATTCGTTGACTGATCTCAATTTGTTGCAGTTCTATACTCTATATTTCCCCATATTGTATGCTGCAACCATTAGTGAATTCGAAGAGTATGACAATTTATTGTTAAATCAGGATATCAACAAGTATTTGAAAGGATTTAATAAGATTTGCCAGTACTACAATTATCCTCATGGATTGAAAATCATTCCTTTGTTATTAGGTAATGTTATCATTCAGTCTACTTCTCCTAACCCGTCTACCATGGAAATGTCCCTGATAATCAGATATGCTAAGTTCTTGCAAATGAACAAAGATCCAGTTTTTTCCTTAAATATCAAGAATTACGAAATCATTAAATTCAGAAGATTACTTTGGTGGACAATTTTTGGTTTAGATTGCTTGACAAGTCACAATTTCTGTCTACCACCTGTTTGTAAATTTGATGATTTTAACGTCGTTTTACCCAGTGACGAGGAACCCATTTTCAATCAAGCAAATGAAATAGTTGGTTATACCTTAAACACTTCTGTTTTATCTTTGAACATCAAATTCAAATACGACAGAATCTTGAATGAGTTGGTAAGCCAATTGCACAGTGATAATTCGAAGAACTTATCAAAGGAAAAGATGAATGAAATAAAGAAAATGATTTGTGAATATTTTGATTACATCCACCTTTCCATCAATAAGATGAATCTTTATCATAAAAAGTTTCCACCAAAAACTGTTGGTGAAGTCAATTTGCTCAATTTTATCAAAAATCATAGTTGGAGTTTTGTGGACAGAGCCGTTATGTTGTTGCACAAGAAGTTCCTATTGAATGAACATGACTCAACTGTGAATGTTGGAGAAGGAAGACATTTGGCAAGTCATTTGTTGAGCGATGAGAATAACAAGTTGAGTTTGAGCAGTCTTCATATCACTAAGAACGGTTCAACAGAACCAAAATCTAGTGATAATTCAAACTCAGTGGCTTCTCCTCAAGCGAAGAAAGAGCCGGGGTCAAGTTCTAATTCCAATGCTTCATACACATATTCAATCGATTCTTACGATGTTCATTTGACAAAACCAAGAAATGGTATTTTGTCATTTAATCTGTTTGAAGACACTTTCCAAAGCTTAGTTGAAGAAAATTTAATCAAGAATTTTGTCAATTTTCAAAACTTGAACTTGGGTCTTGATTTCAACCAATTCAATAATTTCAGCTACAATGATATTAACAATAACTTAATTCCTTCCATCTTACACAACTTGAATGATTTCCTCAAATATAACGATTTCTTGAAGTTTGGAAAGTTTAATTGGTACGTGAAGAGAACTATTCCTTTAGACTCTATCATCTTGCTTTTCATCATCATTATTGTCAAATTCAAATTTGAAACCATCAAATTCAATGAATTGATCATATATGTTAAGTTGATCAACAAATCGTTGTTCATTCTTAACAGAAAGTGGTTCAAGAATGAAAAGTATAAGAGAATGTTATCTTTGACAAATCTTACATGGGAGTACATCTTGAAAAAGTTCAAAATCTTGCACATCATTAATAAGTTTACCAGTTCTAACTTTTCAATTACTTCATCGAATAAGAACAAAATATTCAACAAATATGAATACTTCAACTATCAGTTGACTGGGTATTTGAATACTACAGAACTTTTCAAAACCATGCAAGTTGCCCAGCCAAACCTATCGATGGAATTGATCAACAAATTGAACAATCAAAAAATCAAGTATATTTCTAACACAGGAACTGCAGCTCCAGATTCTCCAGGTATTAACCTTAACATAAATTCTTTGGTGTTCGGCTCAATGAATGGTTTAAGTGGAATTCTGGAATCTCCGGGTTTGAATAATAAAACTACATTTGATATTTTGGATGATGATTTGTTGATGAATAATCAGAGAATGAGCTCCAAATATGACACAGATATCAATCTTATCGAGTCCAATGATGATTTTAAAATTGAGAAGGACTTCACCATCAATTCAAGTTTAACAGGAACTTTCCATATTGACGAAGACGAGTTGGTTTTATTGCATGATAAAATTTGCTTTGATTTGAAAAACAACTACGTTGATATTAACGACTATTGTGCCTTTTACATTAGTTTAGAAAATATTCTTCACCAAGTCATCAACTTTGTGGATTAGTTGCTTGTTAAAAGTAGTTAACTGATTCCAAATATATGTATATTATGATGACTTTTAATTGTAGTTCAAATTTGACTACTAATTTTGAAATTTTTAGCAATTACTTTTAAAGACATGAAGGCTTATTTGCTTTGAGATGTATTCCAAATTGGACCTAATTGTTCTCATTGGAGATATTTTTAGAGCTATAGGCATATTTGTAAGGTCAAAAAACCAAGTTATGATAAACTAAATTTAGGCGCATGTCAATACCTCCTCACTTTTCACTTGCGAAATATGCCTGGCTAGCTCAATCGGCTAGAGCGTGTGACTTTTAATCACAAGGTTGCGGGTTCGAGTCCCGCGTCGGGCTTTTTTTTCCTTTGTTTGTTAACAAACAAAGGAATAGAAAAGATTCAAATCTTGATTCAATCTTTTTACGTACACATACAAGGATAAAGTTATGAATATATTCAAATTCAACAAATAAATAAGCAAAAAAGATGTTATAAAATGATTTACAATTAAGCCTTATTACTGGCCATCTTGTTTAATGCAGAACCATACTTGAACCATTCAATTTGTTCAGCGTTGAAGGTGTGAGATAATTCAGAGTCCCATGGTTCACTACCATCCTTTGGATAAACTCTAAGGTGGACGTTCTTACCTGGGGCCAATTCGTTCAATTCCAACAAGGAGATTTCATCTTCTGGTTGAATCTTGTCATAGTCAGCAGTGTCAATAAAGTTCAATGGCAATAAACCTTGCTTCTTCAAGTTAGTTTCGTGAATTCTGGCAAAAGACTTAGTAATAATGGCGAAAGCACCCAAGAATCTTGGTTCCAAAGCAGCGTGTTCTCTGGAAGAACCTTCACCAAAGTTTTCGTCACCAATAACAACCCATTTCTTACCAGCATCTCTGTAATCAGCAGCAGTCTCTGGAATACCCTTGTAAACACCAGTGAAATGGTTCTTAACGTTGTTAATTTCACCATTTTCAGCATTAGTAGCACCAATCATGTAGTTGTTAGAAATGTTTTCCAAGTGACCTCTGTACTTCAACCAAGGACCAGCCATAGAAATATGATCAGTGGTGGTCTTACCAACGGCTTTAACCAAAATTGGTAATCTTTCAGCATCCTTTCCATCCCATGCCTTGAAAGGAGTCAATTTTTGCAATCTATCGGACTTTGGATCAATGACAACTTGAACAGTAGATCTGTCAGATGGAGGAGCCTGGTAAGTATTAACACCCTTGTCGTAACCTCTTGGGGGTAAACCAACACCAACTGGTTCCTTCAACTTGAATTCATTTCCGTTAGCATCCTTCAAGGTGTCTTGAATTGGGTTGAAACCTAAATCACCAGCAATGGCGTAAGCAGTAACCATTTCTGGAGAAGCAACGAATGCGTGAGTAGCTGGGTTACCATCGTTTCTGGAAGTAAAGTTTCTGTTGAAAGAAGAAACAATGGTGTTCTTGTCACCCTTCTTGATGTCTCTTCTATCCCATTGACCAATACATGGACCACAAGCGTTAGCCATAACCACACCACCAAAATCTTCAAAGGTCTTCAATTGACCGTCTCTTTCAATAGTAGCTCTGACTTGTTCAGAACCTGGAGAAACAGTGTAAATAGACTTAGCCTTCAAACCGTGAGTAGCAGCATCCTTAATGATAGAAGCAGCTCTGGTCATATCTTCGTAAGAAGAGTTGGTACAAGAACCAATCAAACCAACTTTAACTTCCAAAGGCCATCCGTTGGCAATAGCAGTTTCCTTCATCTTAGAAATTGGAGTAGCCAAATCTGGGGTGAAAGGACCGTTCACGTGAGGTTCTAAAGTGTTCAAGTCGATTTCAATCACTTGATCGTATTCACAACCTTCGTCAGCCAGTAAGAAATCCTTTTTGTACAAGTCAGCAAAACTAGCAATGCTTGATCTACCGGTGGCATTCAAGTAATCAGCCATAGAGCTGTTGTATGGGAAAACAGAAGTAGTGGCACCAATTTCAGCACCCATATTACAGATAGTACCCATACCAGTACAAGAAAAGGTTTCCACACCGGAACCAAAGTATTCAACAATAGCACCAGTACCACCCTTAACGGTAGTGATACCAGCCAATTTAAGGATAATATCCTTTGGAGAAGTCCAACCAGACATTCTACCGGTCAACTTAACACCAATAATCTTTGGAGCCTTCAATTCCCAAGCCAAACTAGCCATGACATCGACGGCATCAGCACCACCAACACCAATGGCCAATTGACCCAAACCACCAGCATTTGGGGTGTGAGAATCGGTACCAATCAACAAAGCACCTGGGAAAGCATAGTTTTCCAAGACAATTTGATGGATAATACCAGAACCTGGTTTCCAGAAACCCAAGTTGTATTTGGCACAAGCCGAAGCCAAAAAGTCAAACACTTCCTTGTTCAAGTCGATGGCTCTTGCCAAATCCTTAACAGAACCAACTTGAGCTTGAATTAAATGGTCACAGTGAACGGTCGATGGAGTGGCCACTTGGGGCATTCCAGCGGACATGAATTGTAAGATGGCCATCTGGGCGGTGGCATCTTGACAAGCAACTCTGTCAGGTCTCAATTTCAAGTAAGAAACCCCTCTTTCAATATCTTGTCCGTGAGGGTCATCTAAATGACCATATAACAACTTTTCAGCATAAGTCAAAGGTCTGTTCAATCTAGACTTGACGATGTTGACGTTTTCAAGGTGTTTTTTGTATTGGATAAATGAAAAATCTTCCAACAAGTTTTGGTTAACTTGGGAATCCCTGGTAAGGGATGCAGTTGCCAAGTTACGGGCTCCATTTAATCTAATGGATCTTTTAGTAGCAGACAACATTGTAATTCCAATTATTCCTTGAACTTCTAAAAGAAAAAACTAAAAAACTTGTAGTTGGTAAGAAAGGGAAGGGAAAATTTTTGCTTCACCAGGATTTAAAGGATCATAAATAATGGGAGTTGGATGGGAGACCAAATACCTGTGTATAAGTCGAGTTTTGGGTTTCAGCCAATTAGGAGCGAAATAATACAAATGCATTACTTGGGGTGCCCTGACCGAGGCTACCCCCGGGTGTGCGCGAAAGGTATGCTGGTATAAATTAGAAAACCGTACGGGACAGACGGGTAATGGGCCGAAGATGCTCTTGTTAAAAGTGTGATAGATATCTTAGGTACGGTGTAGAGTACACTGCCCCCGGTAGATTTACGTGAATGCCCTAAACAAATAGCTCATATAATGTGTTTCTACAAGTAAGTGGTAGTCGATGACTGCGACCGGTGGAGCCCTCGAAAGTTGGTTTTTCATCTCCAGATTTCAAAACTCCTCATGTTTGTTAATCGTGTTTGAAATGGCTCTAATTGGTTTTGTTGATTTCGGACCCGACGCTCGCAGTTTTTGGTAAATGCGAGAAAACTCCGTAGGAGAATGTCGGTAACACGACCACTTGGTGCTCGCGCGACCACCACCCCCCTCGGTGAGACATTGCCCCAGTCCGACATTTATCCTAGTCCGAATGTCGTGAACTCCGTCAGCACCGCACTTTTAATGGATCGTTTTGTGCCGATACTTCAAACACATTTCATTATACTTAATTAAAATGGCAGCTGCTACAGGTTCGAAGTTTCAAAGATTCTTGCAGTCCGAAACCGGACCCAAGACCGTCCACTTCTGGGCTCCTGTTATGAAATGGTCCTTGGTGATTGCTGGGGCCAACGACATGCAAAGACCAGTAGAAAAATTATCTGGAACTCAACAAATTGCTCTTTTTTCTACTGGTGTTATTTGGACCAGATGGGCTGGTTTTGTCATCAAACCAAGAAACCCTCTCTTGGCTTCCGTGAACTTTTTCTTGGGGGGTGTGGCTGGTTATCAGTTGTACAGAATTATTAGTTATAGAAATGCTGCAGGTGATTCTCCTAAAGAAATTGTTAGTTACATCTTCAATGGAGAGCCTACCAAGAGGGAAATCCCCAGCCCTGAATTGGCTGCTGCCAATTGATGAATCCGATATATTTTGATAGTATTTAACATATTCATAATTTGTATGATATACACTTTGATAATAAAACATTAGTCTACAATCATTTCATCTGGGTCTTCTGATGAGCGTGTGACATTCTGTTCCTCTATACCATGTTCATCTTCTACGTCTGGAGTTCCTTCGGTGTCTAGCGTTCCTTCGGTATCTAGCGTTTCCTCAATGCCGGGTGTTCCAAGTTCTTCGGGTTCAGAGTGCCTAGACTCATCATCTGAATCTTGTTCTCCAAGGCCATGCTCGGCATCTTCAATAGCTGGATCTGGTCCAGTTGGTTGCTCTAATTCGTCTATCGCTTCTTCTTCCTCTTCCTCGTCATCTTCGTCATCTTCGTACCCATCTTCAAGCTCTTTTTCCAATTGTCGTATCTCATTTACCTCTTTTATTATGTCGGGCAAACGCTTGTTCACAAACCCACTTAAAACATTGTTTCTACTAGTCCATTTCTGGGTGGCCGAGGTAAGTTCCTTTTTGATTTTCTTCAAGATATCGTGTTTGATCATCCTTTCTATTCTCAACTGGTACTCAATATTGACTAGTTTATCGAATATTTCCATATCTATCTTTGGCCTTTCCCCTCCGTCTAGAGAAAATACTTCACCTATCGACACTTCGGTCCGGCCCTTTATGTCGATATCCTTTAATAATTGTTCATCGAGTTTCTCGATCGCTAATATTGAAACAGATACACTGGGAAGCTTAACCTGAGCACGCTTTTGGTCATGCTCTTTCACCATATTCTCAATATCAAAATCAAGACGACTCATCTGTCCTAGTTTCTTGTTATAAGCAGAGATTTCGCTGTCGACAAACTGGTTCTTTTGTTCATTTTGCAAACTCTTGAAATCTCGATGGAATTTGGTAATTATGAACGAATCCACAATGAGCCCCTTTTGATGGGACCTATTGGACAACTCATCTAGAACAAGGTCAGCACTAGCCTTGCTTGTGCGAACTCTCTCAAGCCGCTGCTGGAAGCTTTCGTATGTAGTCTCTTCAATCATTGTCTTCAGTCTGAAAATCTTCAGTCGCGAATTGTTTGGGTTTGGATTTGTATTTGTCTCCAGGAACACAGATATCTTCTTAGTATGGAGACAGATGAGTCAATTGACCAGTTGAGGACTGATTTGTTAAAGGCTCAAATCACACTATCCAATATCAATCTCCTCCAAGCATCTAAGTGGTGTGCTGAAGCCATTAATGGGTTATCAAATGCATCAAATATCACTCAAATTCCTACACTCGAATTTGATCCATATGACTTGCAAGATTATTCTAGGTTTATATTGGCAAAATCTTACTTTGATGTCAAGGAGTTTGATAGATGTGCTCACTCACTAGTGGGATGTAAGAGTGGGAATGCTGTTTTCTTGAAGTTATACTCAAAGATTCTTTCACTCGATAAAAAGATGGCTGAAGAAAATGATGGATCAGTCAATTTATTTCATGTCCCAGATGAAGCTGATCCTAATCAAAACAACCATAGAACACAAGGAAATATAATAGGTGGACAAGCCAACAGTAAGGATTTGAATTCAAAGTTGTCAAAAATTATCCAGGAGATAGAGAGTTTCAACTCATCCAGTAACCCAAACCACTTTTTATACTATTTACTAGGAATAATTTACAACAAAAAGAGGAACTACAAGTTGGCTCAACGAAATTTGTTAGCGGCCCTAAAGTTGTTCCCATATAATTGGTCTTGCTGGCAAGAGTTGATCAATTCAATAATAGATTTTGATGAAGCTATGGAGTTGCTCAATAAGGTCAAAAGTTCAAAGTCGTCTTTAAACCCAAGTATAATGTTCAACTTCTTCGAAGTGGTGTTATTACAAGAATTCTATCAGCAATCAGTCGATGTCAATCAAACTCTTGAAAAATTATTAAGCATATTTCCAAACTTCAATTTCTTGAAGATTCAAAAGTTTTTAATATGTTATCATTCTTTGGATTACTATCAAGCGGAGCTGATTTTTGATCAGATTCTTGAAGATGATCCCTTACGGATTGATGATTTGGACACTTACTCCAACATGTTATATGTTATGGAAAAGAAATCAAAACTATCATTTTTGGCCCAATATTCGTCTAACATTGATAAGTTCAAACCAGAAACCTGCTGTATTATCGCCAACTATCATTCTATGAAAGGTGAACATGAAAAGGCTATCATGTATTACAAAAGAGCATTGATATTAAATAAAAACAGTCTAAGTGCTTGGACTTTGATGGGTCATGAGTTTGTTGAACTTAAGAATAGTCACGCAGCTATTGAAAGTTATAGAAGAGCTGTGGATATTAATCCCAAAGATTTCAGAGCCTGGTACGGGTTGGGACAAGCATACGAAGTTCTAGATATGCATTTGTACTCCTTGTACTATTATCAAAGAGCCACAAATTTGCAACCAACTGACAAGAGAATGTGGCAAGCAATTGGAAACTGTTACGAAAAGATAGGGAAGTTTGATGAATCATTGAAATCTTTCAAAAAGGCGTTAAGCATTGATAATACCAATAAACCACAAGAAAGTCATGGAAGCTATGATCCTTACATTTGCTATAAACTTGCCAGCATTTACGAGAAGATTGCTTCTGTAAAAGAGTGTTATAAGTACATGAAGCTATGTTTTGACCAAGAGCTTGACTGGGGAATCACCGATGAAACATCCAAAGCGAGATTGTGGTTAGCTCGCTATGCGCTAGAGTTGAAGAAATACGAGGAAGCATATGAATTAACCAAGGATTTGAATCATAATAATGCCCATGATATTGAAGAAGCTAGAGCCATTGCTAGAGAAGCAAGAAACAGAATGAACAAATAATCAAATAACCATAGAACAAGAGTGTATTAAAGTATTAGGGTTGATTAGATTAGAGATTATTAAATAAAATAAGATAAAATAGAATGATCCCAAGAATCTTAGCTCTGATCAAGTATAAGCTTGGGATATGTGATATGGGTATGTAGTGAAGATCAGTAAACCTTCATCTCGGACGTTAAGGTGTCCAAACTGGATTCTCTATTGATTGAACCACAAACAGTGTTGACGGCGCCATTAATAGTTCTTATCAACAAGCTTAGGTCTTCAATGGAAACTCCTGTATTGGCATAAACCATCAACCTTGGTTTGGCAACAGGAAGATGTTCATGCACCAAAAGATTTTTGGACCTTGAGATGAGAATATTAGAACTTGCCAACACTTGATCGACTATCTTTTGCAAGATAAAGTTTTCTAAATTGTATTTTTCATCAAAAGGGTTGTTATATTTAGATCTCCTAGCAGTCGTCAAAAAGCTAGTGTTTCCATAAAATTCAGGGAGATTTATGGCTTCTCTGAAAGGTCCCTTTAAGCTCAATTGGATAACCGGGGAGTTGATGTTTGAAATAACCTCAACAAAATTAGAATCTTTGATGGCAGAAGAGATCCCCTCGTGAAGAAATTTGGTGTTTTCATGTAATTTGGAAATTAAAATAGATTTTCCATTTGAGTTTAACTTTTTGATTTCTTTAATTGCTTGACAAGCAACTTTAGCACAATAAGGGGGTAAAGAGGCACTGAAAACATAAGCTAAAGAAGATAATCTTTGATGATGGACCATTGGACTTGCACCAACACAAAATCCACCCGAACTTGCTAAAGAGTTGGCCAAGGTTCCCACAGTGATGGAGACGTCAGACCTAGGAATGCCAAAATATTCAGTGATACCTCTTCCAGTGTTACCTAAAACCCCAATAGAATTAGACTCATCCAAAAATAACCTGTACTTGTACTTCTTTCTTAATTCAACCACCTTAGGTAAGTCCAACAAAGAGCCACCATTGCTGAAGATTGCCTCAGTGACAATGAATCTTCTTTTAAGTGGTTTTTGTTTGTCTAAAGTAGGAGTGATCTCTTTCAATAAGTTCTCCAAGTGCTTCATATCATTGTGGTGGTACCATTCGATTTCACAACGACTAACAACCAAAGCCTTTTGAATAGCAATATTGACACCTGTATCAACCACACAAACGTCACCTCTTTTAACAAAAGCCGGTAATACTGAACTTGGAGTCACAAAGTCTTGACCATATAAAATGGAGTTCTCTCCATGCAAGTAATCAGTCAAGTCTTCTTCCAATCTGACATGGAAATCTTGAGTACCGTAGAAGTTTGGTGCAGAGCAGGCACCGACACCGCTATAGTTAATGACACTCTTAGCGATAGTTTTGAGTTCTTCACTCTCATTCAAATTCAAAAAGTCATTGCTAGCCAAGTTCACAACATCCTTAGCCTTGTTCAAGTTTTCCAATTGTATACGAGCACCATTGTGGCCCTTAACCACAGGAAGTGATTTCATTTGCCACTTCTCAATAGGAGTGACTTCATCAACGATTTCAACAGGATTCCATTCATCAATCAATTCATCGATCTCACGCTTAGACAAGGTGACCAAGTCACTCTTGTTTTCCTTTCTTCTGGAATTAAAGAAGTAGTAAACCCCAAAGAGAAATAGTGCCAATTCAAAGAGCGATCTGACGGGATCATCTTTGTAGGAAGCCTTGATGTACCATAATAACCAATCTCCACCTGGAACTTTACCCAAGTAGTTCAAGTAGTGAACAAAGGTATCAGCCAAGGTATTGCTAAGACTCTCGAGCGTCGGAGGTAAAGTTGTGGTTTGGATTGTGGTGGTAGTTTTTGTGGTGGTAAAAGTGAATTCACTTTCAGGAGACATGTTTCAGGTGCTTGAATCGATAACAATAATAGGGGTTCGGAACGTCAACTAATATGACAATAGTTCAATCAAAGTATGAGAGTATGCCCAGAATTATTGGGATGGATACTGTGAATTAATGAATGTATGCCAATAATGAGGACTATTACAAATGGAGGGGGTTAACTTTTTTCCGTCGGTAAATAATATGATCAAGAAACTGTTAGGCCAGTAAAAATTTTTAGAAGTCAAGGCTTGTGCGCGTTTTTCTCACATTGTTTTCACATCAATAGTCAGAGGTTCGCGCATAATTCATGTATTGAGACAACTTTATTATATACCGGCAACAATTGCGCTCATGGAATAAAGACTCTGGAAACTCCGTATACGTCCCTTCTGCAACAGACGCATCCTTCCATTCCTTTGCTTGCCAAAGTTAACCTACAACTTTCACAAAGAGAGAAGCATCGGCAGGGCCACGTGATGATTTCTCTTTGGTTGGTTTGGCAAATAACGCATACCAAGTTGTTTTCTTCGTCGCTTGCTTGAATCGGAACATTACTACCATTAAGTACCTCTTGTAAGTAGCCTTGTCTCTTGCTGAGAAGAATTTCAATTAGTTTTGTGGTTTCATCTTTGAGTTCCTCGGTTCGACTGCTAACAGCTCGGTACTGAGCTCTAGTCATGATTCTATCTTGGTTCTTCATGTGATAGTGTAAAATTTGCATGCCATTAGTGTCACCTATAAGTTCCTGGAACAGCTCCGGTGATATGAATTCAACAACATCATCATCATTGATAATGATACTTTCCGCATCTGATTCACTCTCAATATCATCAACATCGGTGATATTGAAGTCTCGTGAATTATCCACTTCAGAAATATTCTTTTCCTTCAATAAGTTGACATATTGATAAGCGAGTTCATCATCTGTGATATTGTCTAGCTCTACCAACTTTTCGCTTTTCGCTTGAGGCTTGCTTCTGGGTCTGACGAATTTTCTCAAGAATGAAGGAAGCCTTTGTCTTCTCTGCTCAAATTGCTCATACACCTCTTCTCCTGTAGCATCATAAATTGGCTCAATTTCTGGTTTCTTTCTCCATCTGAACAATTTGTTGAATAATAAACCTTTGAAAAGTTCAAAGAGATTCATTAACATCATTTGCAGATAGATTATTCTTCTTTTTAAAACGGTTGCATCATCAAGGCCGTAGGGATCATACTCCTTCCCGGCACCTTGATCACCAGTTACCAAAGATTTACTGGGTTCAGTGATTAAGTTACTGTACCCTTTCTTTTCGTTTTTCAAATAGTCAACCAATCCCGACCCACTTAGGTTACGATTGCTTTTGAATCCATTCAAGCTGTTCTTGTACTTTTGCCAAATACTTCGGTCGAGCCAAGTTTCACCGTCAACGGTTGCTATACTCAATTCAGTGATATAACTGGACTTTCCAGCCAGAGTGACAGACAACATGCCAAGGTTCATAAGCATGGTGTAAAAGTCATCACTGAGCCTGAAAAGAGTATTTCCCTGGAAATCCGGATCATTTTCACTATTGGTAAAGAAGCTTGCATAATTTAAATCTTTGAGATTAAAGCCGATAGCTAAGACTGCCATCAGGAAAATTGAAAATGATAAAAATATTATAGACACCATTAAAAGCTGAGGAGAGAGTGAGCCAATGACTATGATTGGGAATTTTGACCAAGTACCGTAATAAACCAGTTGGGTGAAATAAGTCAACATCCCAATTCCTATGATACTCGATGGAATCAACCTATACTTATTTCTATTGATCAACCCACCAATCTGAATATTGAGATGATTTAACGTCAGGAAAAGGCACACAATCAACATCTCCTCGGTGGGTCTTCTCACAAGGTTGGGGTCACCCAAGAAAATCGCCTTGGTTTGACTCGATTCTTGAAATGCCAAAGAGTGCTCAAATAATGTTAATCCAGCTTCAGTGTAGGGCTTTTCACCATTTATAACCGAAGCAAACGTCTCCATATATGCCAGTAGGCAAAAACCCAAAAATACCGGCCAATAGACATCCGTGGACGGACCGATCATCACCTGGGTTTTGGGAGCTTTCAAGAACCTGTTATCTGTTTCCGTATCATATTCGAACCACCCGGTATACTTCAACAAACGGAAAAACAAAACATCTTCTCGGCCTCTCAACACTGCCATAACGTTCAATGCCACCAAAACGTTATATGCGTTGTAGAGCAACACGGCAATTGACCCCATTCGAAAGCAGAATTGACTCGCCAGCTTTAAAAATTCAGTTTTGCTCCCATTGGTCAAGAGATTCCGTCTCCGATAAGCCATCAGCTGCTGTATTCTGGACGTATTAGTTGATGCCACCACCAAAGTTCTGTTCAAAATCACCGATATTACCAAACATGCTATCCCGTACCATGAATAGCAGTAGGTGAGAAACGACATGATTCTATATGGTGACATGTCTGCAGACTCTCCCTGAGCCAAAATGGCACCTTTGAACTTGGTGAACAAGACCTCGAATATATTGGACAGTTCTACCGAACTCATAGCATCCGATGCAGAGAAGACATCCATTATATTAATGGACGGGTTGGTTATCACAAGTGTGGAGGGTGTGATTATGCGATCTTTGAAATCGCATAGTTGAGGACGAGCCGGTCGTGTCCCGCGCGCCTCGAAAGTGCGGTAGTCTGTTTCGGATGAGATGCCATTTGAGATATCACCTAAACACAGATACACAATTAATCACAACTATGAGTGGAAGGTTGCCACCGCCACCACCGCCACCACCAGGTTCCAAGAGATCTGCGAATGGCCATTCCATAGCTAATGGTGCAAAGGCCTCTTTACCAAAGGGTTCATCCAGTTCTCGTGCTCCACCACCACCACCACCCTCATCTTCAAGAAGACCTCCACCAATCCCAGCCTCTTCTTCAAGGCCCCCTCCACCACCTCCTGGGATTCGAGGGAACATGAAACCAGCACCTCCATCCGCTGCATCGTTGCCTCGGTTGAAGTCTAGGCACAGATCAATAGATGTGAGTGAAAAAGAGCTTCAAGAGAGGGCCAAGAAGTGGATACAGATACAAAAAAGGCGCTTTGAGCCACCAAAGCAAGACAGGAAAAGTGGAATTGTACGAGCCAATAAAGTGGAAATGCCTCCAGAGCACTTGAGAAAGATCATGATTGATCATGGAGATTTATCTACCAGGAGAGTGGCAGCAGATAAGAGAGCACATCTTGGTTCATTGAAATATATGCCTCATGCCATCCTCAGATTGTTGGAGAATATGCCTCAACCTTGGGAACAAGCTAAAGAAGTCCGAGTGTTGTATCATATGACAGGTGCCATCACTTTTGTTAATGAAGCTCCCAAGGTGATCGAACCTGTTTATAGGGCTCAATGGGCAGCTGCTTGGGAGTCGATGAGAAAGGAAAAAAGAGATAGAAAGCACTTCAAGAGAATGAAGTTTCCTCCTTTTGACGACGAAGAACCTCCTTTGGACTGGTTAGAAAACTTGGAGGATGCTGAAATCCCAGATCCTATAGATTTACAATTGAAAGATGAGGAAGTAACAGAATGGATATATGACGACAAGCCATTCTTGGATGATCCAAGTGTCGTGAATGGAGATTCTTACTCTGACTGGACGTTGAATTTGAAGAAAATGTCCAAGCTTTACCGGTTGTCAAAACCTTTGTTAGCCAATATCTCAGACCCTAATTACTATTACTTATTTGATAAGGAATCATTCATCACTGCCAAGAGTTTGAACTTGGCCATTCCAGGAGGCCCCAAGTTTGAACCATTATATCAGGAGACCAAAACCAATTCCAATAATGACGATTTCACCGAGTTCGACTCGATAGATAGAGTCATATTCAGACAGACTATGAGAACTGAGTATAGAGTTGCATTCCCTTATTTATACAATTCCTTTGTGAAGCTGGTACAACTCTCAAAGTATCACCACCCTATAAATTGTATTTCTAATGACAAAGAAGCAACCGAATCTGATATGGGGTTCTTCTTTAGCAAAAACTTTGAGCCAATTCCTACAGGATCAACCACAACTGAAGATGAGATGCACGAAGACGATTTAGAGCTTCCCAGCAGTATCCAACCATTTATGTCAAGAAACCCATTATCATCCCAAGGTGAAACAGAGGAGAAAGATTCGGATGACGAAGAGGAAAATGACTCGGATAACGAAGAAGAGGAAAATGATCAATTAACAGTGGAACCTGAGGGCACAGCTGATGCATTATTACTTTGGTTTTCCCCATTTCCTTTCAACAGGAACAATGGAAAAACAATAAAGGCCCATGATGTACCACTAATCAAGGACTTGTACCTTCTGAGGGCTTCCAACAAGTTGCCCTTAAAAACCAGAGTTTCACATCAAAAATTAATCAAAGATCATGTTTTAAACGAGCTTCGCAAACCTAACAAATCTAAGATAAGAAGCAGAAGGAAAATCAGCTTGCTAAAGTCTTTGAAATCAACAAAGTATTTCCAGGAGACTACAGTAGATTGGGTTGAAGCAGGTTTACAAGTATGCAAACAGGGCCATAATATGCTTAACCTCTTGATCCATAAAAGAGGACTCACATTTTTGCATCTTGATTATAACTTCAATTTGAAACCCACGAAGACCTTAACCACTAAAGAACGTAAGCGGTCCAGATTTGGTGGAGCTTTCCATTTGATAAGAGAAATTCTAAGAGCTGTTAAAATGCTTGTCGATGCTCATGTCCAGTTTCGCTTGGGAAACGTCGACTCGTATCAATTGGCTGATGGTATAAATTACATACTAAATCACTTGGGTCAATTGACTGGTATTTACCGGTACAAGTACAGAGTTATGCACCAAATAAGAGCGTGCAAGGACTTGAAACATGTTATTTACTCCAAATTCAACCAAAACATCGGAAAGGGACCTGGTTGCGGAGTTTGGCAACCAGCTTGGAAAATCTGGATCAACTTCATGAGAGGTACAATTCCCTTGTTAGAGAGATGGTTGGGAAACTTATTGGCCAGACAGTTTGAGGGAAGAAGAAGTAATGATGTTGCCAAAACGATCACCAAGCAAAGAATGGATTCTTATTACGATCTTGAGTTGAGAGCTCAAGTGATGCACGATATTTTGGATATGATTCCTGAAGGAATCAAGCTGAACAAATCTCGTGTTATTCTTCAACATCTCAGTGAAGCTTGGCGATGCTGGAAAGCCAATATTTCCTGGAAAGTTCCTGGACTACCCGAACCCATTGAAAAGATTATTGAAAGATATATTCAAGCAAAAGCTAACAACTGGGTGCAAGTGGCTCACTATAATAGAGATAGAATCAGAAGGGGGGCCACGGTAGAGAAAACAGTCGTGAAGAAGAATCTTGGAAGATTAACCAGATTATGGCTTAAGAATGAACAGCAAAGACAAATTGAGTTTGCCAAAGAAGGTCCTTTCATTAATCCTGATGAAGGAATTACAATCTTCCAAACAATGGTTCATTGGCTAGAAGGTAGACAATTCAGTCCCATTCTTTTCCCACCGTTATCATATAAGCACGATACGAAGCTTTTGGTCTTAGCTTTAGAAAACTTGAAAGAAAGCTACAGTGCTGGTGCCACCTTGAATTCTGCTCAGAGAGAGGAGTTGGCTCTCATTGAGCAGGCGTACGATAATCCTCATGAATGTCTTGGAAGAATCAAGAAGTTCTTATTGACTCAGAGAATCTTCAAGGAAGCGGGTCTTGAGATGATGGACTATTACACACATTTGGTTCCCACTTATGCGATAGACCCATTGGAAAAGATCACAGATGCTTATTTAGATCAATACTTGTGGTACGAAGCTGAAAAGAGACAACTTTTCCCTAACTGGGTAAAGCCAAGTGATGATGAAATTCCTCCACTTTTGGTTTATAAATGGTCCCAAGGTATCAACAATCTTGAAGATATTTGGAAAACAGAAAATGGTGAATCTAACGTTATGTTGGAAACTTCATTAAGCAAATTTTCTGAAAAAATCGACCTTACATTGCTCAATAGACTATTGAGATTGATAGTTGACCCAAACATTGCTGACTATATGACATCGAAAAACAATATCAACTTAACGTACAAGGATATGAATCATGTGAATCAATATGGATTAATTAGAGGATTGCAGTTTGGTTCATTCGTGTTCCAATTTTATGGTCTTGTGGTTGATCTTTTGATATTGGGACTCGACCGTGCTAACGAGATTGCGGGTCCACCAAATGCTCCTAATAACTTTCTTCAATTCAAGGATATTGAAACCGAGAAACTGAATCCTATAAGACTCTATTCTCGTTACTTCGATAAAATTCATATTCTATTCCGGTTTGAGGCTGACGAAGCTGACGAATTGATTGGAGATTACTTGACAGAAAATCCAGACCCGAACTTTGAGAATGTGGTTGGCTATAACAACCACAAATGTTGGCCTAAAGATTCCAGAATGAGGTTAATGAGACACGATGTTAACTTGGGACGGGCGGTTCATTGGGAGATATCCAATAGGATACCAAGTTCAGTCACCTCGATTGACTGGAACAATACTTTTGCTTCGGTATATTCGAGAGATAATGCTAATTTACTCTTTTCCATGTGTGGATTTGAGGTTCGGATATTGCCAAAATGTAGAGTTAAAAGCTCCATTTCTTCAAGAGAAGGTGTGTGGGATCTTGTGAACCAGGAAACCAAAGAAAGAACCGCCAAGGCATTTTTGCAAGTGAGCTCAGAAGAGATTGACAAATTCCAAAGTCGAATTCGCCAGATTGTAATGTCTTCAGGATCTTCTACTTTCACCAAAGCAGCTGCCAAGTGGAACACCGCATTGATTGCTCTTTTTGCATACTTTAGGGAAGCTATTATTTCGACAGAGCCATTGCTTGATGTTTTGGTTAAATGTGAGACAAAAATCCAGAACAGAGTGAAGTTGGGATTGAATTCTAAAATGCCCTCTCGTTTCCCCCCAGCAGTATTCTACACACCAAAAGAATTAGGAGGTTTGGGGATGATCAGTGCATCTCATATTTTGATTCCAGCATCTGATTTGAGGTGGTCACAACAAACTGACACGGGTATAACTCACTTTAGAGCTGGTCTTACCCACGAAGAAGAAAAAATCATTCCCACCATATTCAGGTATATCACCTCTTGGGAAAATGAGTTCACAGACTCCCAAAGAGTTTGGGCAGAATATGCTATAAAGAGACAGGAAGCCATGGAGCAACACAGGCGGTTGACGTTCGAAGATATGGAAACTAGCTGGGACCGAGGAATCCCAAGAATCAGTACTTTGTTCCAAAAGGATAGACACACTTTGGCTTATGATAAAGGCCATAGAGCCAGAAGAGAATTCAGGCAGTATAGCTTAGCCAGGTTTTCTCCATTTTGGTGGACATCAAATCACCATGATGGTAGGCTATGGAATCTTTCTGCTTATAGAACTGATGTCATCCAAGCTTTGGGTGGAATCGAAACAATTTTGGAACATACATTATTCAGAGGAACTGGGTTTGATTCCTGGGAAGGATTATTCTGGGAAAAGGGTTCTGGTTTTGAAGACACCTTAAAATTCAAGAAGTTGACTAATGCCCAAAGAACGGGGTTGAGTCAAATTCCAAATAGGAGATTCACTTTATGGTGGTCCCCAACAATTAACAGAGCCAACGTTTATGTTGGGTTTTTGGTTCAATTGGATTTGACAGGAATTTTCTTACATGGTAAAATTCCCACGTTAAAGATTTCGTTGATTCAAATCTTCAGAGCACATTTGTGGCAGAAGATTCATGAAAGCATTGTCCAAGACATATGTCAAGTATTCGATAAGGAACTCGAAGCATTACAGATCGATACAGTTGAAAAACAGGCTATTCATCCACGTAAGTCTTACAGAATGAACTCATCTACTGCAGATATCGTTCTTGAAGGTACATACAAATGGAATGTTTCCAAGCCTTCGTTATTATTCGATAAAGATGATTCTATGGATGCAACAACAACAAACAAATATTGGATTGATGTTCAATTGAGGTACGGTGACTATGATTCTCATGATATTTCGAGATATACCAGATCAAAGTTTTTGGACTATACTACTGACAGTACCAGTTCGTATCCAACTCCTACTGGAGCCATGGTTGGAATTGATTTGTCTTACAATATGTATGATGTTTACGGCAACTGGTTCAATGGAATGAAACCTTTGATGCAAACAGCCATGAAGGAAATCATGAAATCTAATCCAGCTTTGTATGTTTTGAGAGAAAGAATCCGGAAGGGGTTACAGTTGTATCAGAACCAACACCGTGAAGCATTTTTGAATTCCACCAACTATGCTGATTTATTCAACAACGATAACCAATTGTTTATTGATGATACCAACGTTTACAGAGTTACTGTTCACAGAACATTCGAAGGTAACTTGGCCACCAAGCCCATTAATGGAGCTGTATTCATGTTGAATCCAAAGACCGGTCAATTATTCTTGAAGATCATACACACCTCGGTTTGGGCTGGTCAAAGGAGATTATCACAATTGGCAAAGTGGAAGACGGCAGAAGAAGTGGCAGCCTTGGTTCGTTCTTTGCCTAAGGAAGAACAACCTAAAAATTTGATCTTGACTCGGAAAGGTATAATGGATCCCTTGGAAGTTCATATGTTGGACTTTCCAAACATTTCTATTAGACAATCTGAGCTTAAGTTGCCCTTTGCCCATGCTTTGAAGAATGACAAATTGGGAGATATTGTATTAAAAGCAAGCGAACCTCAAATGATTTTGTTCAACTTATATGACGATTGGTTGGAGAGAGTTTCTTCATACACCGCTTTTTCAAGAGTTATTTTGATATTAAGAGCCTTGGGAATAAGTCAAGAGAGAACAAACTTGATTTTGAGACCCGATGCCTCAATAATTACAGAGGAACATCATATTTGGCCATCTTTCACAGATGAACAGTGGATTGATGTAGAGACACAATTAAGAGATCTTATTCTCAATGATTATGCAAACAAATACAACATCAATATTCAATCGTTGACCAAGTCTGAGATCCGTGATTTGATTTTGGGGCAAGACATCAATGCTCCTTCAGCTCAAAGACAACAGATGGCAGACATCGAAGAGAACAAAAAACCTGAAGAAGGGTCCAATGCCAATCAACAATTAACTGCTTTGAAGACAACCACTCAAAATGCCCAAGGGGAAGAAATTGTCACTATTACAACAACCAACTACGAACAACTGTCTTTCATTTCCAGAAACGAATGGAGAAGTAGAGCTATTGAGTCAAATAGCTTGCACTTGAGGACAAAGAATATCTTTGTTTCAAGTGACGAAATAATGGATGATGATAGTACTGTGTATGTGATGCCAAAGAATCTCTTGAGGAAGTTTGTACAGATTTCTGACTCAAGAAGTCAGATCGGTGGTTTTATCTATGGTAAGTCGCCAGATCCCAACTCACCAGTCATAGAAATTCAAAAAATTGTTATGGTCCCTCAATTAGGTAACACCCATTCAATTCAATTCCCAAACGAATCTCCAAGTATCAATGACATAGAATTGCTTGGTTGGATTCATACCCAGTCTACAGATTATAAAGCACTCACACCCGTGGATATCAATACTATCTCCAAATTTGAACGAAACTATCCTTTCTGGAGTAAAGATAAAGTGACTTTAACTGTTGCATTTACTCCTGGGTCTGTGACTTTGTCTTCTTACACATTGAATGAGGAAGGTTATGAGTGGGGCAAGTCAAACAAAGACTTGTTATCCATGTCACCACCAGGATACTCCTCTGCATTTAGTGTTAAGAATCAACTAGTTCTTTCTGACCGAATTGTGGGCTCTTTTATGGTTCCAGATGATAACATTTGGAATTTTGCATTTTTAGGACAACTTTGGAGTGCAAAGAATGAATTTGACTTGAAAGTAGACATTCCATTGCCTTACTACCATGAATTCCATCGACCAATTCATTTCAGTCAATTCAATGAAATTGAAGCTAACCCATTAGAGGCTGATCAAGAAGATAACTTCGAGTGAGCAGGTGTATATTATGTATATATTTTGAATTTTTCATAAGTCATAGTACAAACTAATTTACCAATGTCTGACAGAAATCAAGTGATCCTCAATTTGTATAAGAAGTCTTCTGAAATCGTTCCTGGGGATATTCTCTTTCAAAAGAATCAATTCGAGAGAGTTTTTTCCGTTCATATACTTCAATAAACTGAAAAATATGACAGTCAATTCGGGAGAAAGCTTACATTCTTCTGTGACAACTTTGTTTATCCACCTTCTCTCCAATGCATTTGCTCTAGCCGGGTCAAGAATAATTGTATCTTCATCATCTTCTAAGACAATTTCTGGTCCCTGATTGATATTCTTAATCCCCATTACGATATCATCGATATCTTTTTCATACGAGCTGGGGTTAGAAACATTACTTAAAGAAGGTTTCTCCACTACTTTGGAGGTGTTATCGGTGCCTTGAACTGCCTTTTTTCTTTCAGACGTTTTGAAATTCATATTTAATGCTTCATTTTCCATGTCTTCTTCGACCTTAATTTTCACCTTCTTCGACACTTTCAACCATATAAATGTATTTAGTTTGGTGACATACCCAAACCGTATAAGCCATGCTAATGCATCGAGGTAGATTTCCCTATGGTCTTTGGAAGGAATAATTGTAGCAAACTGTCTGGGCTTTTTAGTTGGTGATGACAATAGCTTGAGAAATTGGGGTAAAGAAGGCATTGTTGAAAACGCTTTTTTGAACTCTGCAATATCTTCATACATGTTAGTCGTAATAGGTGCCATAGGGGAAACAATATACAGTGATCTAGTATTCAATGGTGGAATTGCTCTTGCTCTCCTCCAATAAATTAAGTGGAATGCAAAGGATTTAATTTGGGATATGTCAAGCGACATCAAACTAGAGTCAGCCTTCAATTTATGGCTGAGTCTCAACAACGTTTCTGTTGGCTTGATCATTCTGATGAAACTAGCCAAGGTTGAATCTGATTCAGCCTTTATATCGGTGATAATTCTTTCGGGGTCGTCTAATAGAAGTAAAGAGAGATAAATGATGTCATCAGCAGAAGAGTCAGCATCTTCATCATTCAACTCATCAATATCTCCATCATTTTGGTCCACTAAGTTACCTCCCATCATCATGGACATTGAATTTGTGATACCATACCTAGCGGTTTCACCAACATTGATCAAGCCTGTTTTTCCTATCATATTAACGGTTGAGGATAAATGGGAGCCTGGTAAGTACGGAACGGTGGAATCGGGTATGGAGTAGAACTCCGTTTTAACAGGAATCTGGAAAGACCTCAACTTACTATTGATGGACAAATTTGCAATCTGAGAGCTGCTAATAGCATTATAACAGTCTGAGATTAGTTTGCATAACGAAGATTTATCATTCAAAAAGCTGGTCAAGTCATGGAAGATATTTTGATTCTTAAAGTCTTCTTTGAGCTTGGAAATCAATCTGACTTGTGACCACACATAGTCATGTTTCAGTTGTTCATGTCTCAATACTAATGATAGCCTCGAAACAACATAATGGTACATTTCATCAATTCTATAGTTGCTTTCAATCACTGGGGGCTTGGCAATGAAGACCAAGTGGAACAGTGTCATTGAGGTTGTCGTTCTGGGGGAATCCACAGAATCGTCCAAGTTAGTGCTATCAGTGTTACTGGCTATTTTTGTCTTCTTTCTCCAAGTACCATTATCGTAGCAGTGAACAGGTAATCCAGAGAAAATGTAGTCATCGATGTTGATTTCAAACCGAGAGTTACACATCTCCTTCGGTGGACATAGCATCTCTATAAGATAGTCCTGTTCAATACCAAATATAGTGGTAGATTCCGGTCGACCAATGCTAACTTTGGAGTTATTACTCTGAGAATCTGATATTCCAGATACAGTTTTCTTCAAGAAGTTGGACGTATCCACAGACACGGAGTCTTCTGATTTTCTTGCCCTGTGTCCATATCTACCATTACTACCACCCAAATTCTTTATGCCTAGTCCTATATTTTCTTGAAAAGTTCTGGGGGGTTTGGGAGAAGCCTTGTCGCTTTTGATATTTCTGTGTTTATCTTGATCATCTAGAAACAGTAGGATATCTTTTTTGGTACCAGAATAGAAATTATAGTGTCTGGTGTCCCATTCATCTTCAGAAGACTCTGTGTCCGAATCTGAATCGTCAGCCCTATACTCGTCATTTTCCAACTCTTCATCTTGTGGCTTAACCGCCAAATTGTTCGGATACTTGAAGACTAATTGAGGTCCATTATGTGTTGAGATTACAAGTATAAGCCCGAGTAGAGACGGGTTCGGTAAATTAAAACTCATTAGTGCTTTATTGACAGAGAAAAAAATCGTTCCGCGATAAGAATTATTTATTTGAAACTATCCCAAGCTACATCTTGTGCTTAATGTCCTTCTGGGCCAATTGCACGAACCGTGATTGAGGAACCCCTTCAACCCATTTGTAGAGACCCATTACCACTTCTTTGGAGTTGGCAGCATGAATAGCTGGCTCACGGTTTACCTTCAATAGTTCTTTGTTCAAGAAAATCGATGCCTCATGCAAGTTTTCAAACTGAGCTACAACATCTTTGTAAATCTGGGCATTGAATTCCTCGGTGGAAGCAAACTTGTAGTCATTGTAAGCCTTATTAACAAAACCAAGACGGGTCAACTCGGGCCCTTGAATTGGGCGAGCAAACAACAATGCTTCAGAAGCTTTACTCCATCCCAATCTCATGAATAAAGTGGCAGAAGTAGCCCCTTCACAAACCAATCCCAAATTAGAAAATGGGCATAAAATATAGAACTGGGTGTCATCCTTAACGTAAATCAAGTCACACAATGCCACCAAGGCAGCTGACAATCCAATGACAGGTCCATTGACAGCTGCAACTAATACCTTCTTATGATTGTGGAACACATTCGTGATATAAGTATTTCTAGCCACAAACTTATTCAACCAATAATCATGGCTAAACAAGTCTTCAGTCTTCGCCTGTGAAATTCCTTTATCGCTGAAGTTGGCTCCGGCACTAAAAAATCTACCTGTCGACTGAATTATGGTAACAACAGTGCCTTCTTCGTTATCAGCATCTTCAACTGCACGTGCTAATTTCATGTATTGTTCTCCATTCAAAGAGTTTAACTTATCGGGGATGTTTAAGGTGATGACGACGGTTCTGTCTCTGACTTCGTAGATGATATCTTCAGCCATGGTTATAGATTTGGAATTTTTGGGAAGGTGCGATTAATTGACTTATATACTTGAAGTTTGCGGGGTGTCCAACCGAGGGAAGACTATGAAAAGTCGCATTGGCTGCAAATCAGCTGGGGGTTTTTATAACAGAATACTTATAACTCCACTCAGGTTGAGACAGTCATACACAAAGTGTTTGATCCATTCGAGTCCATTCACTAGATTGCACAAGGAAAGTCCCTAAAACAAATTGGAGGGATATGCTTTACTTTGTCAATGTCATTTCACCACATGCCTCTCTTGCTAATCGCATGGTTAATAAACTCCGAAGAAAACACATTCAGAGTGAGGTATATTTATGTCAAGAATGTTAGATATAATGGAGGGAACAAATCCTCATCTTCTTAAATCCGGTTTTACAAACTGTTGGTGAACTTGATTTTCAGGTGCAAAGTAAGTCCCAAATTTTGATTTGTAATCTCATATTCGTAAATATGTTAGTTGGTCGAGTCTGAGACAGCCAAATTAATATACGACCATATTGAAGCGGTACAATCTCAGATATAACACCCAAACAACATAACCAGGTGTTAACTCACCCTTAGGGTGTAATCCAACTTTCCCTGGCCCATTCGGTTGGTTGGTACACTATTTGGTTTCGCACTCCCCATACTTTTATCCCGACTAAAGATACAAACACTACAGTGACAACTTTGAACACGACTGCGGTTTCATCAATACATCTAGAGACTCGGTGAAATATCTTTGTTATGCAATTCATACAACCACTGAGTATTTCTCCAGTGCACTATGACACCTCCAGAGCGAGCGTTGACTTTCTTTCTAGTCCTGATAATGCCAGTTATAAAGACAACTTGTTTAACTTTAACGTGCCCATCTTCCAGATTGAATCCGTTCATTACATTTTGCTCAAGGATTTGGCAGAAACTTGGAATTATCCTTCTGCTTACCAATTGATGGGAAAGCTATTGAAGAATACCAGCATGAATAAGCAAGATTTTTTGAAAACGAATAAACAACTCAACGAGTCTCTTGTTGAAGGGAGCCTTATTAAGGATGTTAAGATCAGTTATTTCTATGTTAAATTGGACTCAATTTATCAGCTTGTTGGAAACAAGGATGTATTTTTCACGGACGAAGAGGAGGATGACATAGTATCAGAGTCTAAGTCTTTCGGCGACTTTAACGAAGACAAAATTACCGTGAGCCAAGTATTTCCTTCTTATGGGTTTGTTAATTCTTCAATAGACTTAAGGCATTCCACTTTCAACTGCTTGACTAATTTGTCCAAATACAATTATTACAAGTCAGTGGAGAACTTCAGATTCTTACCACATTCAAAGCTACTACCCCTGGAATTGGAAAACTTGTACAACGTGAACGACTACTCCAAATTAGAACTCAATAAACCGGATGTAATTGTCAATAACATCAAACGGAGAAAACCTTTAGGAAAACCCAGAAAGAATGCCATCAATATTGACCCAAATTCTTTGGAGCTTAAGGATACTGTTATTCCTGGACAGGGTTTTATTCAAGAGTTCAATATCAACCATGTTTGTAAAGTTCCAAACTACTATATCACGAACAACCTGCAGGTTCTTACTTCTAATTCTTCCAGCAGTGCTTCGTTGTTGAATAACTTGAATGCGAGCTTTCTTAACCTCCCCAAGAAAAATGATTCCAAGTTAGCCAGAAATTTGTCTCAGTTGGCATTTAATAATGATTATGAAAACTTCAACTATACCAAGTACTTTTACACCAAGACATACAGAGGCCCAGGAAGTGGTAATTATAAAGATGCTTCGCTTGTCAATAGAATCAATAAAATTCCTGTACATCAGGACTTTTATAAAGTTTCAAGCAAAAGGCATTTGAAGGACTCCAATAAGAAAAGATATAAATTACATTTGAAAGGCTTAACCCATGAGAAGTTTAACAAGGCTTATGTTGACCACATTTTAAGAGGACAGAGAAAGCAGGTAGAAGATCATGAAAATATGGAAATGTTACATAATACATTGCAATTCAATCTATTGATTAATACTTACCGGGATATTTCATTCGATACTTGGAGTAACTACTTCAAATTCAAATTCATTGATTTTGAGCAGTTGGTGGAATCCAAACATGATAGTGAGGAGTCTATTAGACAGCCCTCTACTTATGGTGGAGTTGGTTCAAAGCATCTCCTAAAAAGATTCAGCTTACCACAAGATTACAACGAAATAATCAGAAGAATGCCACTTGAATTTCGTGAAGACATAAAAAACCCCTTATATTTCAACATGAAGACATCTGAGTCCAATAATTCCCAAATGTTGACCAATATTGATATCATTAAGTTACCGAATGCGAATATAATAGGTTGGGATAACTTAAAAAAGTATCTGGATAATCGGGATACCTAACTTCAAGCTTTAGTCCTTGAAGATTTCAAAATCATCAGTCAGATTATTTAGGTTCTGTAGTTTAAAATTCAACAGTATCTCCTTAGTAAATAGTCTTTTTGGCTTTATCCTTTGTTCTGACTGGGTTAATTTTTTAATTACCTTTTTTCCAGATTTATCAATATACTCATTGTATTTGGAGTAGTCCACACCTTCATGCTGTTTATGAAGCTTGATAGCCTCCTGTTTTGTGCTTATGAACGGGTTGGTTATAGCACCATCACTTAGATCATCTACCATGTTAGCCAAATTGCCATCCTCGTCATCTCCATCTTCACTGGTGTCTGTTGGTGTCTTTTTAGACTTATTCCATTGCTTAATCATTTCATCATCAATAAGTTGCGACATGGGCGTCGATGGTTCGAGTTTGGTCTTTTCATTCATCAAAAGGGTTCCGATATTTCGTATGCGAGTGCTCTTTCTAGTATCAAGTTTAATTATTTTATTTGTCTTCAAAGATTCAGGGGTTGGAGGGCATACCACAGGATGAGTCTTTAGTTTAGGAAACTCTTGTCTTATGGGTGAATTGGGCATATCGCAATCGGAAGGTGTCTTATGCATATTTGAGGGATGATGGACCATTGACCGCAAATATAGAAATGAGTTTTTTTGTAAAAAAGACGACAACACGATAAGATGTACTGGCTGGATTTACAAATTAGGAAGTGTAATGAGAAATTTTTTTTTATTCATGAGGCTGGTTGATAATTGAGTTCGGAGGATAAATTAAGGAGAAAAGATAATTGTACTACAGGGACTGATACACCATGCTTCACATCGACCTATCAACCTCACCTTCATTAATAACACACGTCTAACTACAACTATTTCCTACGTATTTGACTGCTCATCACCTTCATACCAATTGAAAACACGAGTTCTTTTAAAATCCCAAGACGTGTAAATAATAGTATCGCCTTCAAAAATGCCACTTTAGTTAAAAGGAGCAATTTATAAGGTGTTACTGGCGCTTGTAGTAATGACAAACTACTCACGAATCAACCTTTATCAATTTTTTTGTTTCACCATAGTAAAAGCATGCTCTTTGGTCAGGGTACTACTCCTGTCCCCAAATGAGATTGAGAATAAATTCTGTACCCTTGAAGCATGCATTTTGTGTGTATTGTTAAAAATCCGCTACGGTAAAGAAAATGTGTACCTGAGCAAAAATAGAACGCGACCGAGATCAAAATTAATATTTCCAATCCAAAACACTGTTAAACGAACGTCTAAATCATGAGTTTTACCGATAGCTTCTGGACACTGGAATATAATACTGGCTGTAGAGTATTATTTGATCAGTTGTATGAGGGAGTCAAGGAAAATGAGGCTTTTATTAAATTGTTTGAGAAGAGACTGGAGCTGGAGAGCATTTATGGTAACCTTTTGAATTCCATAAACTTAACCCCTGGTTCCAGCAAGAGAATGAATGATGATAACTATGTCTCCAGCATAAAAAATGCATACAGTAAGATAAACGAGAATTTTGTTGGTCAAGGAAACTATCACGTTGAATTGAGTGAAAGCATAGACTCCAGAGTTATCAGTCCTTTTTCAAAATGGTGTAAGGAACACAAAGAGAGAGTTGAATATTCCGATTCTGTGTTATCTGAGAAATACAAAGCATTCAAAACTTATAAGCTCAACTTGGAGAAGGTACAGAAGAAGTATTTCAACAAGTGTAGAATTTTGGAAGACTTTAAGAACCATTTGGATGAAGACGAATTATCTTCAGGTATCGAAAATTTGCTGTCAAACATCAGCAGGAGTACTGATGATGAAAATGATAAGGACGACTTTTTAGGAGAAGTTTACAAGTTTGGAGATTTATCTTTTGATGAAGCAAATTTGAAACAATTGCTCAAGGATTTGATCAAGAACATTGATATAAAGGATCACAAAGTGGCTATTTTAGGTACTTATAACAATGTATCCAGTGGCTCATCAATTACTCAATGGTTATTGAAAAATGTTCCGGGGTTGCAGAATGACTTTGATAAGGTGGAAGGTTTTGGCCAAGATTTGATAAATCATGGCTTTATTAGACTTATAGGTACAATCAACAATAACAAGAATTTCATTAATTCTTCTCAATTTTACTATCAATGGAAACCAAAGACATTTGATTTGATTGGTTACGATAACACGGATGAAGTATTGTCTAGATCTTCATCGGTTATACAACAAAAGACCCAAATCTCCGATTATTTTGAAGATATGAAGCAAGTCATTGGCGTAAACTCTGTTGACTTTAACGATAAAGGCCAATATATCAAGATCAGTCAAGAAGTCAATTACTTGGACCAAAAATATTACCAGATGGTGTTAGAGTTGGACAAATTGAGATGTAATTTGGAAGAGTTGATAATGGACCATTTGTCATTTATGGAGAAATGCGAGTTTGATAGACTTAAAGCTATCAGAAAAGTATTATTTGACTTTTTGAAAGTCTTTCAAGAAGCTTTTAAAGATAACAAGACTTTTTTGGATGAATTGCTGATTTTAGAAGAAACCATAAACCCAGTGAATGACTTGAAATTCTTCATTGAAAACTTCAAAATAGGAAAGTTCAAACCTACAGTTGTTTTATACGACAATTACTACAACTCCAATGTGAACCAAAGTTTTGGGGTTGACTTGACCATTAAGTCTAGATTAGATAAGAAAGTTGTTCCTATCTTGGTTCAATGTTGCTTATCACATTTGGACCGTGTTTATCCTGATGTGATTAACGATGAAGAAAGGATCAATCTTTGGGAGAAACCAGTATCATTAAGCAATATTCATGGTTTGAGATTCAAATTAAATCATCTCAATACAACTGAAGAAATAACGGAAGTTTTGAAAAAGCAACATCCTTTAATCATAACCAACTTGTTGAAATTATATTTATTAGAATTGCCTGACTCTTTGATATCGAGCAGTTATTTTGAAATCATCAAGTCATTGTACACCAACTACCCAATCAACACCAACGATGAGCTGATTGACAACCTGAGAATCAATGGGTTACAAAATGTATTAGTAGAGATGCCAAAATGTAATTTGGCAACTTTGGATGCAATTTTGACCCATTTAAACAGATTGGTTCAAATCATAGGAAAGAAAGATCCTGAATTAGCTGGAGACTTCAAGGTTAAGTTGTCAAAAGAATTCTCCTCTATTTTGATTATACCTAAGCACCATGGACACTTTTTGGCTGACAATTTTCAATTCAACTTGATGGTGGATCTCTTCAACAATAAGGAAATCATTTTCAAGGAGTTAAGAAGAAACAATTCAGGAAATGATAGATCTGGTGACTCCATAAGAAAGAAGAAGAAAGCACAAATGAATAGTCAAGAATCTAACAAAAGCAACCTCCCTTCGGTACCTGTTAAGAATGAAGTCATAAGGTTGGATGATTATGATGACGTTTCAAACATAACATCTGACCTTGATACCGCTTCATTATCTAAAGTTCACACTCCATCCAAAAATTTCTCTACCGACTCCTTTGAAACCGAAAAGGAGAATCAAAGGGATGCGATTCAGCGAGCCCCTGTCACCCCAAAACCCATAGAAAAAGATGCACCTCTGACCCCCAAGTCGTCAGCTACAACTCCTGGCTTGAGAAGATCAAACTCACCTAACAAAAAATCATTGAACTCTTATTTGGACAAAGGCACCAGATCCACCGCCAAACAGACATCTACACCAATAGTGTCTTCCTTGCCAGCTAAAAAAGATATTAATTTATCCGAATTGGGTCAACCTAAGTTCGCTCCATCGCTTGGAAGGAGACCTTCAGTAAAGGATTTGGCACAACAGTTCGATAGTCCATCTACATCCCCAACGCCGAAGTCTTCCGCATCTTCTGCCAAATCATTAAGTTAAATGCTATAGACATGTTGTAGACTGTATTATGGCAACTATATTACGATTTCAATATATATATATCCTACAATAACTTGGAATGCTTGACGTCATGTCTCAATCTGTAAACGAAGATGACCAACACCAATACAACAATAGTTATGGTGATCAACAACCACCTTATAATTGATGTGGAAGTGTCATGGGTGTTGATTTTTTGGGCGTTGGATGATTCATATCGTAATTCTTTATGGTTGGCCATCAACAAGTCAACCTTTTTGCCTAACTCATCGATGGTAAATTGCTGTTCTCTAACTTCGCCAATAACTTTTTGGTTTAAACTGGAGATAGATTCTAACAATTCAACATACTGGCTTGATATAGAACTCTTAAATTCATCAAATGGATATGTAACAGGCTCTTCCTTGGTGTTTTGAATGTCCTTGAGGGTTAATTGAACTGATTGAAGTTGAGTTTGTATCAAACTGTTCTGCACAATCAACTCATTTATCTTCTCAAAGTCAAAAGACGAAGAACTTATTTGTTGCTGTTGTGTTTGTCCCTCTATGTCTTCCTTTAATTTCCTGCTTCTCTCCATTAATGACTCTCTAATTTGAGCAGGAGAAACTTCATCATTTGTTTCTTGTTTCACAACCGTTTGTACTGCAACCTTCAATTCACCGTCACTCATCAAACCGTGGTCATCGATAGCATCTTCTGTCAAATGATCCCATACATTCAACTTCAAGACTTCGAATACTTCCTCACTTGCAGGACTGACATAACCAGCAAAACCAATATGGAATTTTCCTGAAGGAATATTGATCTTCTCAGTTCTGAAACACAAGTTATTGTCAATCTGGACCTTGAATACGTTGTTTTTTCTAGAATAAGAGACTCTCACATTGAATGGTACACCAGAATTTAAAAAGGAAAACTCACAGTTCCCAATAGTTTCCTCTAGGTCATTTTCAATCTTCTTGGAATTATCATTAGCGTATATCTTCAACCCTTCTTTGCCCTTATTGTTCAACAAGAATTGAAATCCATCAAAACTTAAGGGGCCTCCAAAATTTGAAACATCTTTAGTATTTGGGGCTTCAACCAAGAACAACGATAATCCATTAGAGTCGGTGAATCTCAAATCGGTAGTGGCACCTGTAGACCTAAACACAAACTCAATGGTCCATTCATCATCAGGGTTTGGTAAAACATCCGTAGACCAGATGGATCCACCTAATTTCCCAATTAGCATTCTTCCAGTCTCCACCTTTATGTTGTTGAAAAAGGACCATGATTTTTCAAGACCAAATATATCTTCAAGATCTATCAAATTTGGAAATGATAATGAAATGGGATCAGTGGAATGCCCAAGGACGAGGTTCCCCCATAAACATATCAAGCTCGATATGAAAAATGCTTTTATTATCATCGTAAAACTTGCTTGATAAAATAATTTGTTCCTGATCTTAGCTGGTCGCGATTCAGAGACATGCGCATCTGCGTTTTTGGCTCTATGCATGTTCTATACTTTGCAACTATAATACAATATACATGTGGATGCTAATGCTGACCCCTCCTCATGATGTTTCTTCTTATTTTCCAAACCCCATTGATCTTGTTGTTATAACTTACATAAGGAAACGTTGGAAGTGGTCCTTTTGATTTGAAGCTCTGCTTGTAACGCCTCTTAAACTCTTCTAATAACTCAGTCATTAATATTTCAGATTTTGGGATATCGCTTTCTCCCTTCACAACAAGCAACTTATATCCTTGTAACATTAACTTCTTTATTGTTTCTAGGTCTTCCGACTGCGATAGATATAAGTTGAAGAAATTCTCGATAACATTGATGCTATGGATTATTCCTGATCCCATAAACTTCACATGAGGAGTATTGTACTCTATCAAGTCGGAGAATTTAGACGACGACAAATATGGTAATCTATTCTTTGTGTATGTTATAATCTGCTTGTGGGCTTCAAAGTACTCATTTTCAATTACATAGAGCCCAACTATCGAGGTATCAAGCATCAATACAATATCTTCAATGTCAAAGTTTAAACCCATATCATGATTCAATATCGAAACCACGTTGACACCCACAAATGAACTATCTTCACCTGTTTGGTAAGAAATCTTCAAAGGAGAGCTGTCTAACAAATGGTCAATGAAATTGTACTGGAGCGGTTTGGTCTTATGGAAGTACACCAACTTGTTAAAGTTTCTGACCTCGGCAGCTGAATATCGATTTTGAACAAAGTAGCCTTTCCAAATCCTTAAGTTTTTAAATACGAGGTTGCTTAAAGTTTCCTCATTGTCCAATTTGTTAGCAGATAATAGAATGAGATGGTCAGGTTGAACCCACTCTGTGATTTCAGTGAGTAACTCTTTACCGTATCCCTTGACCCATCCAGGAGTATTTATTATCAAATGGTGCCCCTTTGGTTTTAAATTTTTCTGGTAATGTTCGATTAACAGCTTGGTAATCTTTAAGTATAATTCAGGGTTCCCCTGAGGAGTAGTGAATCCATAGAAATAATGTAAATCATTCTCATTTTTATGGTAATTGAACCCAATGATAGGATCAAAATGGTTGGTTAAGGATAAGCAATATGGCTTGGAGTATTCTGATTGGCCTGGATCTAAGTCTAAAATACTTATAGGTGAGCTCTCCACCAAAGTATTCAACAAGAGTTTGGATATAGTGGACTTTCCGGAGTTCTTGTTTCCTATTGTAATAAAACTTGACACTTCTTCGATTCCATCGATCAACCCCTCAATTTCAACCACAAGACCTCTATCATATCTTATTGAAGCTTCATTGTTGGTGAGAATGTCAAAAGTGTAGTTTTGAAGTGGGAGATCTTGTTTATCTTCTGGTAATGAAAATAGATTCTTGAATGGTTGATAGTACTTGGCAATATTCTCCAACCCAGTGGATATATTTTCCAAGCGAACAACACTTTTATAATCACTGCAGAATAGATGTTCATTTTCATCACTTGGGAGGTCTCTAACTTCACTGGAATTAATGATCTGTGTACTGGAAATAGTTGGTAAACTTGAGATATTTGGCTGAATTACAATAAACTCTTGTGGAGCATGATAGTAGTGAATACCGTTAATAAGTACCGCTCCTCTTTCTATCACCAACTTAAACTGGCCAGATAATGCAACTGATTCGTTTACTTTGAGACCGACAACCATATGTTTCAGACTGTACACTAGGTTCTTCTCATCTGCTATGAAAGTGGTAGATGGAGAACCACCTTCTGGAACGGCCACTTCGGCGAGTATTGTTTCCGGAATACCTTGTTCCTCGTCGGAAGAGTTATCATACTTGATTACAACCTCTTCATCTTCTCCAAATATGCTTCCTTCTCGAAGGGCTGCATAGGCACTCATTTGTGTGAAAGGGCAGATTGGGTTTTCGCGATGCGGCTAAATGGCTGCGAACGGCAGAGGTTTAAGGAAATGCATAAAACAGCTCACTTGCATTCAAACGGTTCCCAACTTCGATATTCGGCAAATTGTAATTATCCCAGTAGTTCACCTCTCTCATTAAAAATCGGCAATCAGTTTATCTTATACGAAGCTAGAAGGGTTAAGTGTTAGTCAGTCCCACATCGATTTAAAAGTTCTATTCATTTTGTGCCAATAACAACACTGTGATAGTAAATACTTGCTAGAGTTGTGAATATTAGGACTGATCCACGGGTCATATCCTCTACATTTGTGTCAATTAATCGCAGAAAATATAAATTAAGTAACGCCTGCAGTATTTGCTTCCAATGAGAGTAACTTTAGCTGCCAAACGAGAAGCAGCACACCGTCTTTACAATGGGCCTTCAATTTTCATCTCACCGTTGCTCAATTTGAGCCGCAGAGATTGTTGCCCCTATCAAGAGAACCCAACACTGTGCAAAGAAATTCACACAACATAAATGATGGTTTGTTCCCTATTGGACTAGTTATCTTACGACTCAACACCCAAAAACATCTCTCAACAATCTAAACCCAACTGTTTACGAGAGAAGACTGCTTGAAAGCTGACCGCAGCACTTAGATCAAAATAATATCTAGCCTACGCCACTATAATCTCTAGACAGCGCCCAATCAAATGCAATTAAAAAGATATATCCCTTGTTAAGTAGTCTGGTGATATTTGTTGATTTAGTTTTTGCACTCAATATTCTCATCATGAGAGTGAATGTGAATGACTGCAGATGCGAGAGGAGCCAAAAAAGTTGAGAAAATTTTTAATATTAAAACCACACTAAAGTACTGTCTTTTGTTTGAAAATTTCTAACTCCAACCATGTTTAGATTTGTTTCAGCTAATGCCCGTCAGAGCTTAAGACCAGTGTTGTTACAGAATCTCGGTAACAACTCCGGGATCATTGCTCCACCTCCAGTTCCCTTCACAACTCCTGCAAACGGCTATTCAAAATTCCAACGGTTTAACTCATACGCCGCCAATGTTAGTCAACCAAGTAAAGAGCATATCGAAGACTATGTTTCAAAGTTGCAAGAAGATCCTCTTGTTGGAAAAGCCATTAGAGATGAAGCTCAGATTAAGTTGAACTATTTCAAAGAACAGGTTGTTTTATTTGATCAATACAAGAAATTATCTGATGTGGAAGGCAGAAGAGCCTTCTCGGAGACTTTCCACAATATCTTGAATTCTTTTGAAGATAATGAATTGAGATCTATATTCAGCACGCATGACTTGAGGAGATACGTTGCTGCCTTAAATTTTTCAATTTATCATAATAGAACCAGCAGATTGGCAAGTAATAAAAATGTGGATAGAGATCAGTATTCCAGCAGTACGTCCATCGATGAAGTGCTTTTAAAGAAAGCCTTGTTAAGATTCAACGATGTTCTCATGAAAGGAGAATTGAAGAATATATTGAACGCCGACAGTCTCGTGTTGTACTTCAATGCCATGAATCAATTTCAATTTTACACTGAATCTATTGATGCTTGGGAGCAAGGAGTCAATGATAACAAGATTGGTGGGATTTATTTGTCCGAGAAAGTCTTGTCTGTGGTCTTACCCATCGCTCAGAAGATCGAGAGATTTTCATATGAAGAAATCTGTCGGATTTACGAACTAAACACTGCTAAAGCCTCCGATATCCTGCCACAACTAATCTGTTCAATGGGTAAGATTTCCATTGCTGCTGGTGATTATAAAAAGGGATTGGACTTTTTGGAGTCGTTGTTGAAATATTTCGAAGAAAGAAAACACAATCCTTCAAACGCTAATTATTACTTGGGAGACCTTCATTTATCCTTCATTGGATCATGTGATGATGTTGTGGTCGCTAAGCATTTCTTTGACAAAGTCATCAACTATGATTTACCTTATATGGTGAAGTTGAAGGTTCCTTACGTTCAAAAGTTGATGGAAAACTGTCATAAAAATAATGAATCACTTGATACCATCTTGTATTTCTGGAAAGCAACTGTTCATCATTACGCTACTGACAAACGTGCAGTGGAAATCAATTCTCGCTACTCCAACCTTAACAATACAATGTTCAAGATATTTTTTAAATTTTACCCTGAATTGACAACTGAATCGTTCGGCAAGTTGAAAGAAATCATCAGTGACTTCAATTCAATCAAACCCGTGGATGAAATTTTCTTGAACACTTTAATCACTAACTACGCCTGGAAGGATAAAGTTGTGTTCAACCAATTGATAGACAATTACACTGTATTTGGTATTAATAGAACTCAAGTGTCTTATAGAGTTTGCTTGAAGAAAATTGGAGAAATCAAAGGCTTCACCCATGAAGAAATCTCACAAAAGTGGAGCGAGTCTTTGGAAAGCCTTGATGAAAAGAGGTTCAAATACATTCCAAATGCCGATTGGGCCTCAATTAGAGATGCTACCATTTGGTCCAAAGAAGAGAGAGATGAACGAATCGATCTTTACTGGCAAATTGTTCATCAGTACAAAAACTTCATGCAAGACAAGTCTACATGTATTCGATTTGTTAGAAACTGGATGAAGAACGAGCATGGATACGAGGATTTGAAGAACCATGTTGTCAATGGCAAAGACCTGGAATTACAAACGCCAAATTTCAAGAACTTGAAAAGATCCGTTAATTTCGATCAGGTCTTTGCAGATACTACTAACCGTAAGTAACCACCCTAACCCCCCCTTTGTAAATAAAGTCCAATGTCCATTTGTAAATAGAGACAATTTTTTAATGAACGTAACCATGAATTTTAGTCGAAGTTTCTAAAACCGCACTTTCGTTTAAGTGATTCGTTTGTAGCGGTGCTCCTCTATTTGTTTGTGTCCCATTCTACAAGTTTGAGACCAGCACTCATTTTTACTCCAAAATTCCCTTCTAAGTTCTTGAAAGTCACATTTATGGGCAGTTGTTTTTCCAAGTCCGAGGGAGAAACCAAAGAAAAGACCACTACCCAAAAGACTAGATTTACCTCCACAGAACAAAGATTAGGCTCTGAAGTGGCTACCGAGGCTCCCAAGACTTCCAAACAAGAGCCAAATAGACAATGGAACGAAAAGCAGTCCCAAGGTCAGCCAGCAGGACATAAACTCGGTTCTTTAAATGATCATACAAACGCTGGTTCTGATAATACCAGGGCTGAAGCTGCTAGAGCTGCAGAGGAAAGATACAACAAGCAGCAGCAGAAAATTAAGGAAAGCTCTTCCAAGTTGAAAGCGATGTCTAAAATGTCAAGACTGGAAAAGGGACTTTAGTCCGTTTTAAAGAACTTATAGCTATTTGTGTGAAATCTACAAAATTTAAACAATACGAAAAGTGTAACGAACTCCCAAACTGTGTTTTTAGTCGAATACTGTTAGAGTGGTTGTAAACTGTTCAAAAAAACTTTTAAAAGACCCAACTAGTTCCAGATCTAACAGTTGTATACTTATGTTCATAATATATTGAAAGCGTGTAGAATAGTCTATGTAACTAAAAGTTAGTTTCCAGTATCTAAATGCGAAAATCAGTAATTATTTATAACTTATATGACAAGTGTTCATGATGATGAAATCGATTTTTGGGAGCAAGTCTTTTTATGAACAAGAAAGGGATAAGATCAAAGAAGACTTGAAGCTCCCCTTGTTGGAATTGGTCCTTGAGTATCTACCACACGTCCAAGAATCAATAAAGGAGCAGGAAGATCTGTGGGAGCTCATTGCAATTAAATTGAATGATCATCGATTTGTGGATGCCATAAGAGGGGGCACCTCTTCCCATCCCAAGGGAAGCAAAACCAAGAACAATTCAAGGGAATTCAACCTTAGTGAACTTCCAATGCTTAGTGGTGTTTTCGTGAAAGAGCTATTCGAAAGTATTATGAGAGAATTCGAAGACGGCGTACCTCAATATAATTGGAACCATAGAATTTACAGAACGCGGGTAGTTGTTCCTGCCGATGGTCATCAAGATGGTTCCATATACTATGCGTTCAACTTTCCTGTGAAGGAAGCGTATTCCCAAAGAGAAGATTTAATATGCACTGAGCTCTTCTATCTAAAGGGCATTGACGTGGAAACGAAAGCCAAAATTTCCAAAGACAAGCTAATAAGGAGAATTACCGAGCAAGAATCAGAGAAAACCCTTAGAATAGCCGAAGACTTGAACCAAGCTCGTATATCAACCAATGACAAGAGATTGGAAGCTTGCATCGAAGAGCTCAAGAAGAAAGATCTAAGAATTGAGACACTCGATCGTGAAAACAAAAGACTCATGGAGTTGAATCAAACGTTGCTAGAGGAATTGAATGAACTCAGGTCCTGACATCGTTATTCACAACTTAAAAATTTATAGATATTACAGCCCCTGTATACAACCCATAATCACCAAACTCTTACAGCTTGGTTTTGAAAAACCGCGAACAACCTTGAAATAAAATAACTTAGCAAGTGAGTTTCTACCGATTTTGATCAATTTCAAAATGGAATCAGGCTCAAAGATACCACTTTCACACTCATTATGGTCACCTCATGATACTGTGAAAGATGCAGCCGAGTCTTTGGGGATAAATTTGACCGAGGAGTCTGCTAAGAATCTTGCTATGGATGTCGAATACAGAATCCATGAAATCTTGGAAACTGCCATCAAGTTCATGAGAAGGTCTAAAAGAAAGCTTTTAACCACTGGTGACATTAATCACTCTTTGAAAGTGTTGAATATTGAGCCCCTTTATGGGTATGACAACTCCCAACCATTACAATTCAAAGAAGCGTTAGTGGCAGCAGGTGGTCAAACCTTGTATTACATAGATGATCAAGAAATTGAGTTGGAGAAATTAATTAATCAGGAGTTGCCTAAAGTTCCTCGGCAAACAACTTTCACTGCTCATTGGCTTGCTATTGAAGGAGTACAACCAATTATTCCTCAGAACCCATCGCCAGCTGAGATCAAGTCATTACCGCCAGCTATTCGTGGGGCAACCTCGTCGATATTGGGTAATGATATATTGAATGCTGCAGGAAATACCGAGAAGAATATCATGTCAACTGGTTCAAAGAATAAGAAAGTCACAGATAAAGATACAGAAGTTAAACCATTGGTCAAACATGTTTTGTCTAAGGAATTGAAGTTGTACTTCGACAAGGTTGTCGATGTCTTATTGTCCAAGGATCCAGAAAAGGAAGGTCTTCAAAACTCTGCCTTGAACTCATTAAAGAATGATCCAGGTTTACATCAATTAGTTCCATACTTCATCCAATTTGTTGCGGAACAAATCACAAATCAACTAAGAGATATTGATATTTTAACTACTATGTTGCAGGTTATATCTGCATTGGCCGATAACAGACTGATATTTTTGGACCCTTACGTACATGCCTTGATGCCATGTATTTTGACATTGTTGTTGGCTAAAAATATTGGTCCCAACGTAAAGGATTTCAATGATGAGAATGGGAAAAGCGCTCTTAAGAGAAACTTAGCAGTGAGAGAGTTTGCTGCCATTTTGTTAAAGCACATTATTGTTGTTTATGGCTCATCATATTCAACTTTAAAGGCAAGAGTAACCAGAACCCTCTTACGAGCTTTATTGGATAGTTCCAAACCAATTGGTACTCATTATGGTGCTTTGTTGGGATTGAAGAATATGGGTAATGAGGTCATCAAGTTAGTATTAATAGGAAACTTGAAGTTATGGTATAATCTGGTTATTGACGGCATCAACAATGATTTTGCTAAGGAAGTATTGATTGACAGTGTCATGGACTGTTTAAACGAGTTAAGAATTGAAGATAAATTGAAAACTGATGACATGCAAGTGGATTCAGAAATATCAGAAGATTTGAAATCCGAGTTGGCTCAGAGAATTGGTGAACCATTGGCTGAAGAAGTGCTAAAACTACAAAATAGTAAAGAGATTATAAGAGGAATATTCTTCGGAGAACTCAATGTATAATTAGAAAAAAAAAGTTTATCATGTAATATATGTCATTAATGCAATTTTCGTTTACTAGCCAGTTTGAATACGGTACCAAACATTGTTAGTCATATCGGTCTTCATTGTTATTGTATGGAAGTGATGACCCATTTATTGAGGATCCTCGTAAAGAGTCCAAAAAGGGTGAGTCAATGAAGTCGATTGGTTCCCCGGGTCGTTTCTTCCTCTCAGACGATAAAACCATAACAGGGGACGAATTCACGGCCACAGGAGTTTTCAACGTATCAATGTTCTTGAATCTTTCATTAATGGGCGAAAGAAGTACTTCTTTGATTGGTGACAGGTTGATGAAAGAGGGTTGGGAGACACCCACAGGGGTTCTGAGATCTTGAATTAGCTTCTTTGGTGGAGGCTTCATAGGTGTAGCTGAAACCTGGGAAAACAGCTTAGATAAATTGAGGGACGTATTTGGTTTCGGCTTCTTAAGCTTTCGAGCTTGAGTAGTAAATACCGAAGTAGGTGGATTTAATTCAGTCATTGATTTCAGCTTTAGTACTGGTTTAGAGAAATCCACCTGTCTTCTTTGTAAGTTCTTGGACGATAAATTAGAACTTGATCTCCTCAACATCAACTTGGGATCTAGGATTTTGTCATCGAGATTTAAATCAGCAGATCGTACTAGCTTAGGCCTTTCTATTGTTTTCAGTTTCTTCTCGGTAACACTTTTGGATGATTGTTTTGCCCGAGATGACTTCAATTTGGAGCTGAGCTTGAAATTCAGATCCTTTATACGGTCAATAATATACTTGATCGTCAACGGAAGATTATTCTTATAGTAGGGAACCAACACATATGCCACAAAATTGATCAAGGTATTATTTTTTTGGGTGTATAAGGTATCAAGAAGCCTTAATCTTTCAATCAACAGGTCCAATGTATGTAATAAGGAATGCATACTGAATCCATCTGATTCTTGCTTTTGTCCATCTGGTTGAGTTTCGACACTTGAAACTCCCACCCCCATTCCTAGAAATGTTGGGATAATTTTTCGGGGTTGATTTTTCCTCCTAATCAAACGACGACGGGTTACCTTCTTTTGAGTTTCAGATAGGACAGGGTGATTGTCATACAAAAAGTTCAGTTCAACAAGTTCCATAGCGAGTATCAATTCTAACAATACTATAATTTGCAACTGAGACTCCCGGAGTTTGAGTTGCAAAATATCATTATTCAACAGTTCAGTACTTTGGATAAGGTTGTGACTGGTAACAAAGTCTGCCTGATGGCTGATTTCAAATTGCTTATCCAAGCAGTCAGTGGAGTTATCCAAGGACTTCAACACTCCAAATTTCCCATCGTGTCTGGCATTTAATTGGTCAACTGTTAAGCGTATCTGACAAATATGATCTTTGAGGTTAATTTTGTTCTGAGATAACACCTTCAACCGAGAAATAGCAGTTTTTGGGAAATAACTCAACGGTATGGATGTGGAGTAAAGAATACTATAGTATCTCGACTTGATGTAAGAGATAGGATCTGAAATTTGTTCAGGGGAAATCACTGTAGGTTTTATGGTTGTTGATAATGTAACAGGTGGTTTCATGGAGAAGTTGATGGTTGACAACTCGATGTCTTGAGCAGCAGTATCGGGTTCGATAGGATGAAATTCAGAATCGCTATTTGCCCATAGATGGAATGCCAGTTTTGGTTTATTGGAGTTGATTTCCAAGATACCAAAGAAGCTTCCAAATATGTTAAACATAATGCCTTCTTTAGGAATGTAGCTACCACCTAGAGTGTGGCCGAATTTCACCAGGAAATACTTGTCCAGCTCTAGCTCGTTCTTCACTTGGTTCAGCACATTGAGCACCATCAACGTGTCATGGAAACGTTCAGAAAGAACACCGAGGTTAACAGAATGGAGAGTATTGAGCACATCGATGGAGATCATTTTTGAGGCACCCCCTCCCCCGCCGTCTGGATTTATAAGCGTTTCAAACGTCACCATCCGATGATTTGAATATTTACAGTGCGCGTCTAGTGTTTTGGTATCGAAATTTTGGCAGATCGCTAACCATGAGCAAAATATGAGAAATGGTTCAAGTTGGCTTTCATGAAATTCCTTTGTAGTTCCCTTGCTTATGAACACACCAGTTATCACGAGTCATCTACCCTTCAACTACCTTCAAATTGGTGTTAGAAAACAGCGTCATTCGGTGACTGCCTGTGATCCATCATGGTGTGCACATAAGCGGCGGTGATATTTTGCAGCATCTTTTTATGGTCACAGTTGCTATTGAGATGGGCATGTAGAAATCACCTTCCTCATCGACACATTACAGAATATTATTGGGGATAGTAGAACCACCTCGGTTACAACCAAGCTTTTCTGTGACCATGAATAGGATCCTAGTTTACAACAAGTGGTTAAGTCAGAAAGCAAGTATTTAATGTCATTGGAAACGTACCCCTCAGGGACAACATGGGAGGCCAAGTAATAACAATAAACTGAGGCCTGCAATTAGTGGGATTAACCTGCTTCTGAATATTTCCGGGAGAATGTCTGAAGATCACCGGCAACATCCCTGAAAATTTCCGGGAGCGTGTCTGATTGTGTCTGAAATTTCCTGTCACATGTTGGAGAGCAAGCAAGTAGTGGAGCAAATTTCTAGAAAAGACTACGTGAGACTGGAATTTTTTATTGCGCCGACGCAGAGCGTAATAAGACCCGATACGTATTGATACTAGCGTTGTGGAGAGATGATCAAGGTTCTATGATTTATATTCCATCGCATGGGTATTTTTCTGTTACTTTGCGAAAATATTAAAACTTAGCTTAAGCCCACATCGGGAATATATACGGGGAAGTACCTTAATGAATAACGTATGATTGTTCGGAACCAGTACCGTATTGCTGCAAAACTAATTGCATAAATAAAATTTTGGTACACTAGACCAAATAGAAAAAAAAAAGAAAATAGTTGCTTTACAAACTGCGTTTGCAGATCACTCTTTAACTATTTTTTTGTCTTCGATAGATGCAAGCAACTTTGTTAAACCAAAAATAGTGGTTGGACCAAGTTGGTCCACATACTATCAAATATCTTATTTAAATAACCGGACTTCCATATGGTTTCATTTTTTTTTTCATTTTTCCTTAATAATATCTTTCTGAAAATAAATTTATTGTCGGAAATCCGTTGATATTTATCAAAATCGTTAATGGACAAACCTTTCACCCACTGGAAATTTTCTTAAATTAGTTGTGGCCTTGTTCCATTTTTTGACCTTGAATTGGTTAGAATACATTGTTCATCGAAACAAATCCGTATCCCAACCGTTGAAATACCAATTGTTAATAAAACCCGTGTGAAATAATTTTGTTGGAAATTTAGTGATCATCTGACCAAATCAGCATAGAAAATTGTCTCAAACATCCCTTCTCCTTTTGATTCACACTTATTGAGAAACCATTCTCATCATTCCAATTTGATGAGATCAGAATCAACTGTCACTTCTTGAACAAAGTCCCAGTTAAGCAAATACTGTTTCCTGTCGAATTTTTTTATCATTACCTCCTCGCATAAAGTACGAGAATCTGAAAGATGGCGGAAACATACCCAATTTCATGCATATCCTGTCGAAGGAAGAAGGTAAAGTGTAACAAGCACAAACCCTGCAATCAATGTAAAAAGCGTCAAATTGTTTGCCAATTCCCTTCAACGTTTCGAAACATCCAGATTAAGGAAAATGAATATGATGACAAGCTCGATAATGTCGCCACTAGTCAATTCGATAATCACGAGGGTGACAATCAGTCCATGAAGATCAAAAAGTTGAACTCAGAAAAGGCTGAAATACTCAACAAGAACTATCAATTGAACGAGCATGTCAAGCAGTTGACGAAGCAGCTTGAACTGATGAACGTTCAATCCAACTATTTTATAGAAGATCTCGAAAATCTGTCCTCTCTGGACCCATCAAAGTCTTCCAAGCCTCCTTCAACCTATAAACCCGAAAGCTTTAAGATCTCGGGTGAAACAAGTGAGTTGGGTAACAAGTATTATGGACCCCAGAGTTCAAGTTTTATGATAGAAACCCTCAAGAACACCCAGTTCATCAATGACAACAACTCCTCAAGGAACTACCTTGATATAGATAGTGACATTAAGTTTGAAGGATCATTGATCAAGAAACCATTGCCCAAATTGAAGCCTGGAATATCCACTTCAGAAAATTTGAACATCATTTACAGGCTAGTGGAGAAGTTCTTTCTGAACTTGTCTTCCAACTATTATAAGACATTTATTTCCAAGCATCAGTTATTGGACTTTGTCAGGGATTATCCCAATATTGATAACAATATCTGGGAGAATGATGATGATTTGTTGTTGTTAATTATGGTTTTAATTATCTCGATAATCAGAATCACACCGGTGGAATTGAGAGACATTTTCAATCTTCCTAGTAGTGAGTGCGGTGCTTATATCGATAACTTAATTCACAACGACTTGATCTATAACTTTGAAAAGTTAAGACACAACTTGGTTAATGAGTCCACCCTTACTATTCAAAGTTATATCTTGTGTACTGAGTACTATTTTATTGAGCAAAGATATGAAGAATGTTGGTCCATGATGTTTCACACCTGCTCAATTGCATACTCCATTGGACTACACGTTACCCAACGGTTAAAGTTGAATAAGCTCAACGATATTGATTTGAATACCAATATTGATACCACTCTCGATGAAAATGAATACGACGAGATGGAAGATATAACCAAGTTGAAAATTTGGTTCTCCCTTAGAATATTGAGTGATAAGGTATGTTCAGTATTGGGAAGACCCAATCCAATTTCTTTCCAGGTCAATTCAATCATCTTGAAGTATAACCAAAACTATTCCAACATCAATCTCCGGAAAAACACCACCTCCATTCTCTTGAGAATCGGGTTGAGTGAGTGTCTTAGACTATCAAACATGATGTTGATTGAGAACTTTATGATTGACTTCACAATGACCGACCTATTGAACTTGAGCTCAGAATTTGAGAAGGAGATTTACTTGTTGGAGTTGTATTTGACTGAAATTGAAAATGATAGTAGCCACGCAAGCACTGAAATTGTATCTTCAACTACCAGCAACAGCAGCGGCGGCCATGGAGGAGTAAGCGAAATTGTTGGATCCGTTTCAACAAGCTATGAAATCAATGATAGCAATGGTAGTGACGGGCATGACTCATTTAATGAATTGAGTTATGATGAGCTGAACTACCTTCCCATAAAAATTGAGAAGATTGACTTATTGAATGATTTGGTGGTGTTTTACATCAATAAAGCCAAATTGTTTGAACCATTCATCGTCAAATTCAATAAAGCTGATGATGACTCTATTTTGATTTTAACCAATTTGACCAATTCCATTATCAACTTCTTGAAATTGATTATCACAATCTTTAGAGAATTCGAGGAAAAAATAAGCAAGAAGAGAGTGTACTATTTGAAGGTTGGCAAATATTTCCGAATAAATTTCCCATTCTTAAACTCGTTTATTTATCAAGGAATTGTGATTATCTTTACTATGCTTAATTACAAATCGAAGGATTTCGCCAAGCTCAAGTTCAACGAGAAATTTGATAACCAAGGGTTTTTGAAGAGTTTAAAATCCCAGCTCACAATTCTACTCGATATCAATCAAAGTTTTGAGGAGAGAATCTGGTCCATCAATACAATTTACCTTATCAATCGTAATTTGGGGCTTATTGAATCTATCGAAAAGCATATATACCAGAACAATTTTGATGAGGAATTTGCCAATGCTCTTCTTAACCAACCGAATTTCCAACAGCAACAATCACAATCGGCTGCAAATAATTTAGGCATTATCAACGGATCGCCAATTTCAATTAATTCGAATACCCAATGTACTTCCAACTATCTTATGAACTTCAACTTCAATGACCCATTCTGGATTACCAACCCAGATAATTTACCTTACTATCTTGGATCTCCTAATCAAGAGTTTCATAATCAGGCAGAGGAGGAAACGAAACACAACAATTTCAAGGATATGGAAATTGACTCTGAACTGAGAGGTTCTTTCAGGAGCACACAATTCATCCAGAACCAGACACACCATGAACAACCACTCACTCAGCCGGGCAAAGAATTCACCAGTCTCAATGATCAATTTAATCAAACACAAATAGGAAAACCGAAACTAAGCTTTGATGAAGAAAAGCACAAGAAGATCAAATTGGATGATTTCATTCATTCTGAGTTCGACAAGCAGAATTAGGCTGATAATTCCGTCGAATTGTATTATAGACTTAAACAGAGGCCAAATATATAGATTATGTGGGATGCAAATTATTAGTATTTGTCTCTAGAGTATGACCCCGCACGGGGCTTGGAAACCTCTTGGAATCTTTTTGAAGTTACAGTAAGAAATAGATTATTGCTGTTAATCAGCAAGGAATACTAGAGTGCAATAAGCATTTCTTGGTGCTTTCAAGGGCTCTTAGGAATTGTAGTTGAGATCAGAAACAGCAAAACATGCGCACTTCCCCAGCCAGTTGAGGGCTCCGGGGAATTTTTTCAACTAGAGTGCGAAAAACTCCGAACCTACAAAAAATCCAAAAAATCCAGTATCGGAACAATAGTAACCGAGTGAAGCTAATCATCCCAATACTTTGAAATACAGATCATATTACATTAAAATGTCCACTTTCAAGAAATTCGCCGATCAGGTATTCAGCAAACAAACATTCAGATACTTGTTTACCACGCATTTCTGGGGACCAGTGTCAAACTTTGGTGTTCCAGTAGCTGCGTTGTTAGATTTGAAGAAAGATCCCGATTTGATTTCCGGCCCAATGACAGGTTCATTGATCGTGTATTCCATAGCATTCATGAGATACTCAATGGCTGTGTCACCAAAGAACTACTTGTTGTTCGGATGCCATGCTGTAAATGAAGTTGCTCAATTGGCCCAAGGATTTAGATGGGCTAATCATCATTACTTTAGCGAAGACAAGAAATTGGAAGATGTGTCTCCAAAGGTTGCTTGAACAGGAATCTTTAGAACGTACGACACTCTATATAACTATGACAAAATATAGTACTTAAGTATTAATTTATTCAATATTTACAAGAAAGGTCATGGGCATCATTATTTCGTTAGTTTTGCTCAATCAAATATGGAACGGACCTCATCATGTTGAGTGGCTCCTAGCTCCACCTCCGACTCATCATCGAAGTTTACATTGAATTGGTCGACTTCAGGCTCAAGATCGGAGTATGAGCCGTTATCACCGGTTAATTCTTTTGCCGGATTTAGTAAATTTGGCCTTGAAATAGTTGAGCGACTAGTCAGATGGGTCAAAGCTCCTGTGGCATATTTCAGGGAGTTCCTACCTACTTCCTCAAGCTTATAACTTTTCATGATTGGGTTTTGGGTGATTAGGTTCTCGGTTTGACCGGCTTCATCATTTGTGAGTTGAACAAAGTGCACACATACATGGCGAGTACTTCTCAAGGTAAATAAAACAGGGTCCCCAGGAGCCTTGAAGTAGATTTCGAATTCCTCGCTTTGATCAAGCTTATGGAGCAGGATAAAGCTAATAAGATTTATGAAAATCTTGAAGAACTTCAATTTAAAATTAATCCTCTGGTTAAACTCTGGTGGCATGTTGGTATCAGCAAGTTCGTACAAGTTGAGTGAAATGGTGATTGACATTGGCTGTTTGAGATATTGGTTATCTTTCAAAATCATTTTGGTAAAGCCGTTGAAACTGATCTTGTTGCTCTTGACTTCGATCTTGAATTCTTCAGTTTGTTGTGGAACCAAGTCAACAAACTCCTTCAATATCTTGTGGTCAATTCTAATGTACTTTATGTCCGAATCATGGCAAGTTGGTAAAATATTTTGCTGGCGCTGGTGTTCTGACACATAATATTTCCATACGGGATCGTGTTGGTTTTTCACTGGCTGATAACCGATTTGATACTTCTTTACAATGAGCTTTCTGGTGATGTCAATGAGCATACGGAATTCATTGTCAAAGTTGACACGTAGTTTTATCAAGCTGTCCGTATCCAAAGTTTTGAAAAGGATTGATAAGTGGTTGGAACTGACAATAAACAGGTATGTGGCATCTTCTATATCGAATCCATGCGAAATTGTACCATCAAAAGATACGTGATACTCGTCAAAGAAGTCCCTTTCAAACGAGATGTCTCCATCACTGGTATTAGTTGAATTTACTGCTGAGATGGTAATGGACTTTTCACTGATCACAAACTTGATATCGTCACTAACCAAAGTTAGAGCCAAGACAGACTTAGCCCATAGAAGTAGATGCCTTTCTTGTGCTAAATGAGCAACAAACGACATTCGGAGTGCAAAGTAAAGCCCTTGAATCGATGGTTGAAGATGATAGATGTGGATGGAAATGTGACTCTCGTTGGTACAATTTGACTCTCGTTAACAGTTTTGCGCGTCGCCCCTGGCGATGGAGGGCTTGAAGGAGCAAAATAGGGATTTAAACAATTCTACTTACTACTAGAGCCCTCCCATATGTATAAGTTGTTGGTAATTAACCCCAACTCCAGTGAAAAAGTTACAAATGATATGAGAGACCTTCTCCCACAGGTCCCGGGGATTCAATACGATTTTTACACCGCACCAGCAGCCGCCCCATCGGAAATCGATGGTGAACACGCTGGTGAAGTGTCTGAAGCGGTGGTATACCCGGATTTGATTAAGCGTAAATTACTTGACTATGACGGGTACTTGGTGTGTTGTTACTCCGACCATCCGTTGGTTTATAGTTTGACCCAAAGCACAAACAAGCCAATTTTAGGAATTATGCTTGGATCATTGATCTATTCGGTGCTGAATCCCCGATTCTCCAAACTGATGATTCTCACAAGTACCAGTAGCTGGAACAATACTCTTGACAAGTCCATCCTAAAGTTTTTCAAATCACATTCGTTTCCCCAGTCTATGGCTAGAACCAAAAGTTTTGATATTAATGTCGTGAATTTAAATAACCCCGTAGTGTATGGGGAAATTGTGAAAAAGGTCCAGCTTTACTTGGATGAGGAGCCCCAAGTAAACTGTGTATTGTTGGGATGTGCTGGTATGGTGGGTCTTGATTCTAAGCTCGCAAAGACGTTTCCGGATGTGAGGTTTATCGATAGCGTAAGAGTCAGTGCCGAAATATTGGCGTCGCTTGTTCGATTTGAAACTTCCTGAGACTAGAACCCGGTAAGAATGAAATGCCAGTGAAAATACCAATTCAAAGGTTGAGGTTCCAAAGCTTGTGTTTAATTTGTTCTGTGTTTGAAGGGGTGAGAGGAGCTCTCAATTATAAGTAGTTGAAAAATGCAGCATAGGAATTCAACGAAATATACATGTTTAATGCATAGCTATTCTTTGGTGTGATAATATGTATATATATATAAACAAAGTTAACCTCATCAGATTGCACTCCACAGATTCCTTATCGCGCAGTAGAAATAAAATTATTCAGTACATTGAAACATGTCATCAGCAAACAGACCTTCGTTAATGAGCAAAATTTTATACCGATCTTCCACAAATGACACTACAGACAGTAAAAGTGGAAGTGAAGAATCATTTAGAGAGGAATGGTTACCACCATTAGCTCCTATAGCTTTAAAAGGATATAAGGCTTCGACTCGCCATAAGCTCATGACAGAGGAATTATCAAATAACATTAGAAATTTATTGCCTCCACGTCTTCAATTGTTTGACGAGTGGCTGCTAGTGTACTCTATGGATCAAGATGGAATATCCATTAATACCCTTTACTCCAAGTGTAACTTGAATCACCAGTTAAACGAACTTAAACGCCAGAAGCAATTGGAAAAAGGGTACGGTGACCATATAGTTAGCCAGATGATTCTAACAAATGGTCATGTTCATGACAATAAAAGGCCCTTGGGATATGTTATGGTCATACGAGACTCCAAGGGCAATCGTTTCGGATGCTACTTGAATGAGCATTTACATCCCATGGAACATAGGCGGTATTACGGGAATGGTGAATGCTTTCTTTGGAAACTAGAGAAAATCCACAAGAATTCCACCCAAGACACAGACTTAGATCATCATAGATTCAAAGCATTCATGTACACTGGCATAAACGATAACATTATCTACTCAAACCATGATTTCATAGCCATTGGATCCTCCAAAGGACAAAACGGTTTGTGGATAGGCTCCAACCTTCTAGAAGGTGTGAGTTATCGATGTGATACATTTGGCAATGAAGTTTTGAATGGAATAGGCGATCGGGGTGATAGCAGCAGCTTCGGAGATTCCGTAGTAGGAAAATTCAAAATACTAGGACTAGAAATATGGCGGATTGGTACGTTAGAGTGAAGTGGCATTTTGATTCCTCATTTTAACTTTAAAGAATAAACCTGGAAATCGGTCAAATTTGGGGGTATTGAGAATTCAGGCAGCGTCAAGAAAGTTTAAGTTTTCTATACTGCAAACTAATGCACAATGCCCTATTGGAATTAGATATCGTGAAAAGCAATAATAACATCAACATAAACATTAGTAATAGCTCAACAAATGGTGAACTCGTTTGACTGAATAGACGGTTAATTAATGCTCGTATTTGTGGGATGGCGGAAGGCTGCCGGAAGGCTGCAAATAGGCGATGCAATTCGAAGCTGCAGAAGTTGCCGTTATTCTTGAGCTTGGCAAACAATGGCATGGATAAACTGTGCCGTTCATTCAGGTCCTAAAACTGACAAAGGTGGACATTCCCGAATGGATCAAGGGGGATGTACAAGCATGTATTTTCTAGAAAGTTTATCTCAGAGATTTAGCCGAGCAACTTAAGAAAGGGTGATCGGAGTAATATCATAAATGTTGATGTAAGTAAAAGGGATATTATGATTAGGCTAATTGTCAATAGCAACGATTGGTAAAAGAAGTACCTGGTCGCCTTCTATGGCAATTGGTAATAAAGATAAGCAAAAATTCGGGTAGTATCCCTGATTATTACGTCCAAACACATAAATTAACCGTTAATCTTAAGCACTTCACGGCATTAACACAATTTGATTTTAACTTGCCTTAGAATCAAACGAGTGCCAGGGAGAAAGAAATCAGTTGCTATTTTAAGCATAATATAACCTTTAAACCTTGTATTGAACCCCATTGTACATATCGGCAACATCAAGCAGCAAAAAATTCAAACTCGTGCTTGAGATTCAAAATCCGAAACCTCGTCTACTGACGCCCGTCTCAACCAAAACGTTCGCTTAAAATGTTTAGAGGGGGAGATGCAGCAACAATTTTGAACACTGCCGATGGGAGGATCTACTTCCAAAAATATCTTTGATGGTTTTCGGTATTGTTGAATGACTACTCCATACAAGCGACAAAGAGAAACACCACTATATACTCATAGGGACACTGAAAATTTTAAAGGTCAATTGTACGAGGCCAAGCTTCGACAAAACCTTATTTCTCAGCTTTTTTGATGTACGAAGATTCGTATGCGGATTGTATTAATTTCTGTTTGACGACACCAAGGATCAGCAGCGGTTCTCAGCTTGGAAAAATCAATAAAACCAGATTGACCGGTTTCGTCCATAGAGGTGCAGAGGGGCCTGTGTCCGCATTTATCATGCAATTTTGTGCCACTTAACCGAATCTATATAGATTTACCCTTAATAATAATTCGCATCAGGAGTTTGGGTTAATTTATTTTTCGTTTATATTTGTATGCAGGTATACATATACACTTATGCAAGCCCACATTTTTTTACAGCCAGAGGATGTGGTAAAATGTTTCATCCGTTTCAAATTTATGGGTTATAAATATGCCCAGAAGATCCTACAGTAGTGTATAGTTTTCTATCAATATCATTCGTTATAGCCTCTCATGAAGATTTCTACGGTTCTTTACACTACTAGTTTAGTTTCATTGGCTTTTGCTAACTTTAACCGAAATGGTGATGGAAACAAGGGTAAAGGTGTAGGGGAGGATTGTGATACAACCACAACAAGTACCATAAAACCTCACGGACCAACAACC